ACTGGGTTGGTGTGTTATATTGATAGAGAACCTGGACCGTTAACTACTGGGTTGGTGTGTTATATTGATAGAGAACCTGGACCGTTAACTACTGGGTTGGTGTGTTATAGTGATAGAGAACCTGGACCGTTAACTACTGGGTTGGTGTGTTATAGTGAAGAGACCCTGGGTCGTTAACTACTGGGTTGGTGTGTTATAGTGATAGAGAACCTGGGTCGTTAACTACTGGGTTGGTGTGTTATAGTGAAGAGAACCTGGACCGTTAACTACTGGGTTGGTGTGTTATAGTGAAGATACCCTGGGTCGTTAACTACTTGGGTTGGTGTATTATAGTGATAGAGAATGTGTCCTCTGTAGCTCAGCTGGTAGAGCACCGGCGCTTGTAACGCCAAGGTAGTGTGGTTCGATCCCCGGGACCACCCATACACAAAAAATGTATGCACGCATGACTGTAAGTCTCTTTGGTAAAAGCGTCTGCTAAATGGCATATTATATTATTATTATTATAGAGAACCTGGACCGTTAACTACTGGTTGGTGTGTTATAGTGATAGATGAACCTGGACCGTTAACTACCGGGTTGGTGTGTTATAGTGAAGAGAACCCTGGGTCGTTAACTACTGGGTTGGTGTGTGTATAGTGATAGAGAACCTGGACCGTTAACTACTGGGTTGGTGTGTTATAGTGATAGAGAACCTGGACCGTTAACTACTGGGTTGGTGTGTTATAGTGAAGAGACCCTGGGTCGTTAACTACTGGGTTGGTGTGTTATAGTGATAGAGAACCTGGACGTTAACTACTGGGTTGGTGTGTTTAGTGATAGAGAATCCTGGGTCTTAACTACTGGGTTGGTGTGTTATATTGATAGAGAACCTGGACCGTTAACTACTGGGTTGGTGTGTTATAGGTGAGATACCCTGGGTCGTTAACTACTGGGTTGGTGTGTTATAGTGAAGAGACCCTGGTCGTTAACTACTGGGTTGGTGTGTTATAGTGATAGAGAACCTGGACCGTTAACTACTGGGTTGGTGTGTTATAGTGATAGAGAACCTGGACGTTAACTACTGGGTTGGTGTGTTATAGTGAAGAGAACCTGGCCGTTAACTACTGGGTTGGTGTGTTATAGTGAAGAGAACCTGGACTGTTAACTACTGGGTTGGTGTGTTATAGTGATAGAGAACCTGGACGTTAACTACTGGGTTGGTGTGTTATAGTGATAGAGAACCTGGACCGTTAACTACTGGGTTGGTGTGTTATAGTGAAGAGAACCTGGGACCGTTAACTACTGGGTTGGTGTGTTATAGTGAAGAGACCCTGGGTCGTTAACTACTGGGTTGGTGTGTTATAGTGATAGAGAACCTGGACCGTTAACTACTGGGTTGGTGTGTTATAGTGAAGAGACCCTGGGTCGTTAACTACTGGGTTGGTGTGTTATAGTGATAGAGACCTGGGTCGTTAACTACTGGGTTGGTGTGTTATAGTGTATCAAACCTGGCCGTTACTACTGGGTTGTTTAGGTTTAGAACCTGCAGTAACTATGGGTTGGTGTGTTAAGTGATAAGACACGTGGTCATTACACCAGGGGTTGGTGCAAGTTTAGTGAAGAAACCTGTCGTTACTACTAGGTTGGTGTGTTATATGAAGAGTACGTGGTCGTTACTACGGTTGGTGGTATAGTGAAGGACCCTGGTGAGTAACTACCTTGGGTTGTGGTTATGTTATCAGAACTGGGTCTTACACCTACGGTGGTGTGTTATAGTGAGAACCTGGTCGTTACTACTGGGTAGGTGGGTTATAGTAGAGCACCTGGAGTCGTTAACTACTGGAGTGTTTGATATCATATGAACCTGCCGTTAAGCTACGGTTGTTTTTATGATAGACCTGAGTATTAGCTACTGGGTGGTGTGGTTGAGTAAGAGACCTGGACCATTTAACTTACTGCGGTTTGTGTTATTGTAAGACCTGACTTAGCACAGGGTTTGAGTGTGTTATATGATAAAACCTGGGCATTAACTACGGGTTGGTGTGTATAGTGAGCAACCTGTGTCCTTAACCACGGTTGTGTGTTATATGAAAGAACCTGGGTCGTTAAAGCTGTGGTGTTTAGGATGAGAACCGGGTCAAAACTACTGGTTTGCTTTATTCATGTAGGAATAGAGAAACCTGGTCGTTAACTACTGGGTTGGTGCTGTTTAGTAGAAAGACCTGGTTGTATTAGCATGGGTTGGTGTGTATGTGGAGACCACGGGTCGTTAACAATTACTGGGTTGGGGATTATAAGTGACGAGGTGTGTTATAGCAGGGTTTCCCAAACTCGGTCCTGAGGCTACCCCCTGGGTACACGTTTTGGTATTTGAATCAGCTGTGTAGTGCTAGGGCAAAAACCAAAACATGCACCCAGGGGGGCCCCAGGACCAAGTTTGGGAAACCCTGTATTATAGTGTTGGGCCGTTCCCTATTGGGTTAGTGGGTTATAGTGATCATGGTGACTAGTGTAGATAGTAATGGTAGGGTAGCAGTACCTTGATGTTGGTGACTCTGTTTCCCAGATTGTTCCTCATCCAGGAGATCAGATCCTCTGCCTGCTCCTCTGTCAGACGCTCAGAGGCTATAGACACAGGAGAGAACATGGAGTCAGTATTAGAGTACTTCATATTACTGTCAGAAGCTAGGTTAACTCCTAGATTAGCTCTGGGGCTGTGGTTGGAGGCTAAGGGGCAAATTTAACTTATTCTCCCATTAGCTAGTTTTCCATCCAATTAGCGACAGATTTTCATGTGAATATTCTAAAATCTGCATAAAAACAATAAGTGCATTTCCCACCAGTGATGTGTTTCCATCAAATTGACTTGAGGATAAAAGGCTGTGCGTGATTACATAGTGCACATAAAAATACTATTTGCTATTAAATTCCCATGTACGGAATAAAAAAATGCAAGTTAAATGGGTTTCCATCGCATTTTCAAAAATGTTGTTATATAGCGAGTGTGCCCACTCTGGTATTGGCACGTGTGCTCTAACCAACATCTTGCAGATACAGTGCAGGTATAGCCTACAACATGATGAGATTATTATGGACAAAAGTGCGAGATTCTTTTATTTGTCAAACGGCAGCCAAGCATCGATCATCATGTCACCAGAATAAGACCCTCAATATTTATTGGAAAGCTCATCACCTTGCACTTTCACCACCCTGTGAAGTTCCTGATCATTTATTTAATCTGTAGCCTAATAAACTGCATGCTTTCCCGAGTCGTAGTGGAAGGACCACACAATATTTGCGCATAAAAGCATTTCCACCACAATTTCTCGCATCATTAATTGTACAGACCCAAAAATATCCCACCTTGTCTAGCGTGTTTCGTTTTGTCGACATTTGGAAAGTTAACCGACAAATTAGCTGTTTCCATCAGGCCTGTCGTGACATTTTTTATCCCACAAGTACATTACTGGCATCAAACGGTTGGATGGAAACTTGGTTATTGACATCAATGCACGATTAAGTGAAAATGCGACTTTAGTGAAACTAAGGATTACCCCTCAAATGAATCTAACTTCACACAGCATTCAGTGACCTGGTCTGAGAGAGAGAGAGAGAGAGAGAGAGAGAGAGGTCTTACCTGGCTTGCTGTCCTGGTACTTCTCCTCCTTGTAGTGGTCCACCACAATGTCTGTTTCCACAGAGATCAGCTTCTTCTTGTCAAACTCTCTGAGGTGCAGGAGGGTGAGCTCGTCAAACTGTTCATAGCAGAACAGCACCTGGAGAGACAAAGAAAAAGTTAGACACTGACAACAACTCGAGGGAGTAATGGTGAAACAACTCGAGGGAGTAATGGTGAAACAACTCGAGGGAGTAATGTGAAACAACTCGAGGGAGTAATGGTGAAACACACTCGAGGGAGTAATGGGTGAAACAACTCGAGGGAGTATGGTTGAAACAACTCGAGGAGTAATGGTGAAACAACTAGAGGAGTAATGGTGAAACAACTAGAAGGAGTAATGGTGAAACAACTCGAGGGAGTAATGATGAAACAACTCGAGGGAGTAATGGTGAAACAACTAGAGGGAGTAATGGTGAAACAACTCGAGGGAGTAATGATGAAACAACTAGAGGGAGTAATGATGAAACAACTTGCCCCGCACTTCTGTCTTAAATTCCCATCTGAAAAGTAGCCTGGCCCCAGATGTATGGTCGTTGTTTGACATGACAATGCTCATAGGAGTTAGCAAGACAGCCAACAGATCCCAGTAGCAGGCTATCTGAAAACAACTCACCTCCATGTCTTTCTGCTTCATGGCCTCAAAGTAGGGGGAGTGTTCAGCCAGGTGTCGGTTTGGGGCACACAGGTAGTAGATGTTACGTGTCCCGGCCTTCATACGGGAACCGTACTCCATCAGGTTGGTCTGCTGGCCCGCGGGTAGCGCCGAAGACTCAAATCTCAACAGCTTGCCGATGTCCTCCTGTACACAGAGAGAGAAAGGAGAAGAGAAGACAGAAAACAGAGTGATAATGAGTGTCACATTTCTGATTCTTAACCCTCTTGCTCCCTTCCACAAAAAACCTGATAATACCAAAAACAACCTACATGCATACCAATATGTTTTTCTACTTTACGCCTCCATTCCTCCACCCGAGCTCTCCCCTATCCCAGCCCCCCAGTCTCACCCTGACATCCTGCTCCTGTGTGGTGACGATACCCTCCCTGATGAACAGGCCGTAGTCCTCAAAGAACTTGGCGTACTTCTCAGGTTCCTTCTTACTCTGGTCCATCAGGAACTTGATGATACGCTGCTGTAGCACATCCCTCAGCTTCCTGTAGAGAGAGAGAGGGAGGGATGGAAATCATGAAAGAGGCGGAGAGCATGAGAGAGAATAAAACGAAGGGAGTGAGAGAGCCATGGATGTAAGGGAGTAGGAGTAGAAAGATGCTGTATGGAACAGAGGGGTGATGTGTGCTACAGACTAGCAATAGCTAATTGGAGTGTCATCGTCTGGAAAGAGCTGATGTGTTGTAGGGCTCCAGTCTCACCTGATGAGGGTGCTCTCCTGCAGCAGCTCTCTGCTCAGGTTCAATGGGATATCCTCACTGTCCACCACACCTGTATACACAAATACAGAAACACACTGTTATACTGTAACACTAGCATTTACAATCAACAAAGGATCCGGAAAGAGACCGACAAAGTGAAGTCAGACAAGGAAACACACACCAGAGGGCAGATGAGGGGGGAAAGATGAAGGGAGACAGATTAAGATGGGCACAGCTGAGGAGGTACTGAATAAAGACTGACCTCTAAGGAAGCGTAGCCACTTGGGCAGGATTTCAGTGGCCTTGGTCTGGATGAGAACCTTCCTGCTGTACAGAGCCACGCTGGAGCCCATCTCTCTGCTCACGTCAAACATGGACGGCTTCTGCTCACACACAGTAATATTAGAGACAGTCATGAACATACCGGTACATCCAACATTAACAACTGTGGTGTTATTATGTCACAGAGCCTTGACCTCAGAAAGATCTACTTTAACATCACATTAGTTTCTCTCTGTTCCTCAACAAGTATCTTTGCTCCTTTCCCCTCTCCCCAGCCCTTCCACTCCCCAGTCACACCCCTACCCCTCTATTCCCCCCCTACCCCACAGTGCCACCTACCCCTCTATTCCCCCCCACCCCACAGTGCCACCTACCCCTCTACCCCCCCCCCCCCTACCCCTCTATTCCCCCCCTACCCCACAGAGCCACCTACCCCTCTACCCCCCCCTACCCCTCTATTCCCCCCCTACCCCACAGAGCCACCTACCCCTCTACCCCCCCCTACCCCTCTATTCCCCCCCACCCCACAGAGCCACCTACCCCTCTACCCCCCCCCCCTACCCCTCTATTCCCCCCCACCCCACAGAGCCACCTACCCCTCTACCCCCCCCTACCCCTCTATTCCCACCCAACCCCACAGTGCCACCTACCCCTCTATTCCCCCTACCCCACAGTGCCACCTACCCCTCTATTCCCGCCCCCCATCCCAGTGCCACCTACCCCTCTATCCCCCCCACCCCACAGTGCCCCCTACCCCTCTATTCCCCCCTACCCCACAGTGCCCCTACCCCTCTATTCCCCCCTACCCCACAGTGCCCCCTACCCCTCTATTCCCCCCTACCCCACAGTGCCCCCTACCCCTCTATTCTCTGCTCACAAGCCTCAAGTCCCAACCTTCCAGCCCCCAGTCACACCCTTAGTACATCTTACCCCTCTCCCTAAAGTCCCATCTCCCCACCCCCAAGATCCACCCTGACCCTACTCCCTTTCCTCACCACGTCTGGGACGTAGAAGATGGAGCGGATGTTGACGGGGGCGTCAGCGCGGTAGTGCAGTGTGTAGCGGGGCTTGTCGTACGACTGAGCCACGTAGCGGTAGAACTCCTCATGCTGCCACTCACTGATCGACTTAGGCTCCATCATCCACAGGGCCTGGGGAGAGGGAGGTTAATATACCGTATGATACACTGTTACACAGAGCATGCAGGCAGGTAGATACACACACACTCACTGCACACGGCAGGCAGGCACACACACACTCCACTATAAAATAGGACTAATAACTGGGGATCAGCCCAACAAGTTTTTCAGAACAAATTAGCTGCCAATTAATGTATCAATCAGTTTGTGTCACTTGAATTTGTTCCCCCCCTGATTAGTTGATTCCCTCTATTAGAATCGATGCGGACGCCCTCAATCGACTACTTGATAAATCCAGTAATTTAACTCATCCCTACTAACAGCCCCATGAAGGACATAATAAGCCATCACAATCAGAGTGGTCCAATGAAAAACAATCGCTGTGATCCATCTCAGCCCTGTATGAAGTTGATAGAACCAGAAGAGTGGGCCAGGTACTCACCTGGAGAGTGTTGATTAGTCGCCCGTTCAGGAAGATGGGGAAACTGACAAAGTTGCTGTATTTGGTCACCACCTCTGCAACAACATATGACATCCGTTAGTCCTGACTGGGCAACCAGCAAGCCTCCAACGCTTACACTTACTCTGACATTAATCTTACACAAAAGATTATGCATGTTGAATGTCTACTATGTATGTGGAATGTCTATAAAAGATAGTACAGTCATCAAAGGGGTCTTATATGGTCCATACCTTTGACTCTGTCCTCAGCAGAGAAATCCTTGCAGTCATCCTTGAGGTGCAGCACTATCTTAGTGCCTGTTCTGACCCCACTGGCCTCAGCTATCTCAAACACTCCAGACCTGGGGAGCACAGAGATTACACACTGTGGTCTGAGTCTTTTACATCAAACATATTCAAATGTGTTACTAAGACGTACCTCACTATCACTCCCTTTTCTCGCCCAATCCATCAACCTACCTCTCTCTCCTCCCTGCTCCATCTCTTCTCTCTCTCCATCCCCCTCTTTCTCACCATCCCTTCCTCTTCTCTCGCTCTAATCAATTCCTCTCCCTCCCCATCCCTCCCTCTGCTCTTACCCATCAGAGGACCACTTGTATCCGGGGCTGCCGGGCTCGGCTGACTGGGAGTAGACGTCCACGCGGTCAGCCACCATGAAGGCAGAGTAGAAGCCCACGCCAAACTGACCAATGATGGAGCTGCTGGCCTCCGCCTGGCTCTGCAGGGAATCCAGGAATGCCTAGGAAGGAGGGATGGAGGAGAGAAAGAGAGAGGAAACAGGGCTAAAATATGTGAATTAATGGAAAAGAGACACCAACAAAAGTGAGCAAATTGATTAAATGGGAAAGCTGAGGCCCTGAAATTGTAATTGAATGAGAGATTGTTGATAATGAAAAACAAATTGGGCCGGGACGATACCAGAATCGCGATACTCGTTAGTAGCGTGGTAAAGAAACAATACACAAAGCTGATTTAACTTATTTAGGAAAACAGCCCTAATGTTGGAATCAAACATCATTATGATGTCATCCAGAGTCACATTAAATTATTTTCCAAGCTATACCACTAAATATTTTACATACAGCAGGTTTTTCAAAGGACCAAAGAGTTTTCAGCCCTATAAAAAAATTGTAGAATTTTCCTCAAGTCATTGGAATTAAATCATTAAAAAAATGGGAATGCAGATAATGTGGAAATGTAAGAATTGTAACAAAGATAAGGGAACTAGGTTTTTACCTTGGATCCAGAGCGAGCGATAGTCCCCAGGTTGGCCACCAGCTCCTCTTGGTTCATCCCAACTCCGGTGTCCTAAAAGAGGAAGATAATGACAGAAATACTCTGCTGTTAAGCATCACCAAGAGAAAAGGACCGTTTGGTAGTACATTCCTCCCTATCTTCAGAACTAAAGCCAGCAGTCAGAACTACAACCAGCAAGTTTTATAACTGTGCAGTTCCTTTTCATCCACCAGGTGGCAGACTGATTTAGTGCTATACAGAACTTTGAAATGACGAATAGAAAGATCTAACAGTGATTATGTGCATTTTAAGTCGATCAAATTCGAATTTGAAGTTGATTCATGACTAAAACATTTCTAAGAAAGACAGGATAAAAAATAAAATAAAAACTCTTAAAAGCATTTCAAAAGACCCCATGTTACCAGTCACCATAGCCACCCTACTCCCTCGTCCTGGTTTGGGCGTACCTGGATGGTGAAGGTGCCCTTGGCCTGGTCCGTCTGTAGGTGGATCTCCATGGGGGCCGTGTCGCCCCCTCCCGTTATCAGCTTGTGGCGCAGCTTCTCCAGGGCGTCGCTGCCGTTGGAGATCAGCTCACGGATGAACACCTGAGCAATGGGCCAAGAGGGAAAAGGTTATAAACACAGAATATCTTCACCAAATGTTCCTAAAACACCTAGCTATATACTGCAGGCATATTATCACTGGTCCATCAGTTAGTAATTGATATACATTCAATGAGTTCTCAAGTTGCTGTGACGGGTCAGACCATCACTCACCTCCTTCTCTGAGTACAGAGATCTAGCCACAATGTCCAAGAGTTTCTTGGTCTCAGCCTGGAACTCATGCTTGGAAAAGGTGCCTGGACAAATCAGATTGAAAACTGTTAGCATACAAAGCTAAGCTAATGAAGTTAAGGGAACTGGATGTGGACTACAGTATATCATAGGCTACACATCAAAATATCCAGTGTCCATTAATGTTACCAAAGCATAATACTATGACAATCAATGGCTAGTGATGTTCAAGTTTCAATTGTTATAGCCCAAAACTGAGAATGTTAGCTAACAACAGGTCTGAGGTCAGAAAACATAACATCACCTTGGACATTCTCTGTGTCTTGGATGATTGTGTGCAGGGGTTCTTCCTCGGGAGCTTTCTCCTCTGCCTCTAGAATATTCTGTACTTCTGGAACCTTCTCTGTTGCTGGAGCTTTCTCGGCTTCTAGAACCTTGTCTGCCTCCAGAGTGACTTTCTCTGCTTCCTTGGTGCTGTAGTAGGAGTACTGGGTCAGACCAAGGCCTGGATGGCTGGGGTTCCACATGCCGGTTCTGGACCATTGTTTCTGCTGTTGCCTGACATGAGCATCTGTTGACAGGACAGGAGGAGATAGAAGGCGGGGTGTGAGGTCATGCAATAATCATATTGCATTTTCAAATGCATTGAGTGAGTGTCAGTGGTCATGGTTAGCTTTTCTAGAACGTCCTTGCCTTGGATTTATCTGATGCAACATGGATGAATGCTTACAATATAGTTGTAGGTTAGGTCAAGGATATTTCCTTGGTAAAGATACTGGTCGTCGGTGCTGCGGTACATGCTATGGGCCGGCAGGCAACTATCCCCATATTTATATGTAGTGGTCCGGTCACATATGTCATTCATTCACCAGATGCCAAATATCAAAAGGAGCTAGCTAGCTCAAACAAAAATAGTTGGATGGCTAGCTAGATACATTTGTCAATAAACACCGCATTCCAGTCGTCGACACGTTCATGTTGAATAATGAGAGTGAGTGATCTTGTGTACTGTACCGTTAGGCTAGCTAATGCACTGCAGTTATATGAGCTAGTTCGCTACCGTTAGCTAGCCGGCTAGCAGCTTACCTTCACTGAATGTGCTCGTGACAGTCCTACTACCCAATCCTCGTCCAGAACACAGGAGTCTGGAGTTGGCCCTTTGAGATGAACCCAAAGCGAATTTGAACAATTTCAGGCACCGAGACATCTTTGACAGAGCGAGAGGTCGTTTGACCTATTCAACACACGCTGAACATAAGTGCGACGGCTGCAAGCACAAGTAGGACCTCTTTCGGTCGCACGAAAATGACGTTATCAAAGCTACTAACGTATTGCCTGTGTAGAGATATGAGAAATAAATATGATGAAAATAAGGTCATTAGAGAATTTGGGTGCAAAATGAAAAACCCCATTCCCGGCATAAGAGTACATTTGCATTAAGACAAATCTACAATTTAAGACACAAAAATATCTACATGTTTAAAGTTGCCAGTTCCAAAGGTCTCAATATTTACCTTTAATTGAAGGTCATTGTTGTGTAGACTGATCAAGATAGGTGTGCACTGTGCAGCAATCTATTATTTTACCATCTGTCTGCAACCACCTATATGGTACGTTTCGCTGTATGTAATCAAGTCACCTTTTGGTAAACCATTACATGATGCTGAAATATAGAAAGTTGCACCATCGCCATGCACACAAGAAACGTCCTTGTCATTTATCGCCCTCCAGGTTCCCTTGGAGAGTTCATCAATGAGCTTGACGCCTTGATAAGTTCCTTTCCTGAGGATGGCTCACCCCTCACAGTTCTGGGTGACTTCAACCTCCCTACGTCTACCTTTGACTCATTTCTCTCTGCCTCCTTTCCACTCCTCTCCTCTTTTGACCTCACCCTCTCACCGTTCCCCCCTACTCACAAGGCAGGCAATACGCTTGACCTCATCTTTACTAGATGCTGTTCTTCTACTAATCTCACTGCAACTCCCCTCCATGTCTCCGACCACTACTTTGTATCCTTTTCTCTCTCGCTCTCCTCCAACACTACTCACTCTGCCCCTACTCAGATGGTAATGCGCCGTCGCAACCTTCGCTCTCTCTCTCCCGCTACCCTCTCCTCTTCCATCCCATCATCTCTTCCCTCTGCTCAATCCTCCTCCCTCCAATCTCCTGATTCTGCCTCCTCAACCCTCCTCTCCTCCCTTTCTGCATCCTTTGACTCTCTATGTCCCCTATCCTCCCGGCCGGCTCGGTCCTACCCTCCTGCTCCGTGGCTTGATGACTCATTGCGAGCTCACAGAACAGGGCTCCGGGCAGCCGAGCGGAAATGGAGGAAAACTAGACTCCCTGCGGACCTGGCATCTTTTCACTCCCTCCTCTCTACATTTTCTTCATCCGTTTCTGCTGCTAAAGCCACTTTCTACCACTCTAAATTCCAAGCATCTGCCTCTAACCCTAGGAAGCTCTTTGCCACCTTCTCCTCCCTGCTGAATCCCCCCCTCTCTGTGGATGACTTCGTCAACCATTTTGAAAAGAAGGTTGACGACATCCGATCCTCATTTGTTAAGTCAAATGACACTTATGGTCCTGCTCACACTGCCCTACCCTATGCTTTGACTTCTTTCTCCCCTCTCTCTCCAGATAAAATCTTGCGACTTGTGACGGCCGGCCGCCCAACAACCTGCCCGCTTGAACCCTATCCCCTCCTCTCTTCTCCAGACCACCTCCGGTGACCTTCTCCCTTACCTCACCTCGCTCATCAACTCATCCTTGACCGCTGGCTATGTCCCTTCCATCTTCAAGAGAGCAAGAGTTGCACCCCTTCTCAAAAAACCAACACTCGATCCCTCTGATGTCAACAACTACAGACCAGTATCCCTTCTTTCTTTTCTCTCCAAAACTCTTGAGCGTGCCGTCTTTAGCCAACTCTCTTGCTCTCTCGCTCAGAATGACCTTCTTGATCCAAACCAGTCAGGTTTCAAGACTGGTCATTCAACTGAGACTGCTCTTCTCTGTGTCACGGAGGCTCTCCGCACTGCTAAAGCTAACTCTCTCTCCTCTGCTCTTGTCCTTCTAGACCTGTCTGCTGCCTTTGATACTGTGAACCATCAGATCCTCCTCTCCACCCTCTCCGAGCTGGGCATCTCCGGCGCGGCTCACTCTTGGATTGCGTCCTACCTGACTGGTCGCTCCTACCAAGTGGCGTGGCGAGAATCTGTCTCCGCACCACGTGCTCTCACCACTGGTGTCCCCCAGGGCTCAGTTCTAGGCCCTCTCCTATTCTCGCTATACACCAAGTAATTTGGCTCTGTCATATCCTCACATGGCCTCTCCTAACATTGCTACGCAGACGACACACAACTAATCTTCTCCTTTCCCCCTTCTGATAACCAGGTGGCGAATCGCATCTCTGCATGTCTGGCAGACATATCAGTGTGGATGACGGATCACCACCTCAAGCTGAACCTCGGCAAGACGGAGCTGCTCTTCCTCCCGGGTAAGGACTGCCCGTTCCATGATCTCGCCATCACGGTTGACAACTCTGTTGTGTCCTCCTCCCAGAGTGCGAAGAGCCTTGGCGTGACCCTGGACAACACCCTGTCATTCTCCGCTAACATCAAGGCGGTGACCCGATCCTGTAGGTTCATGCTCTACAACATTCGGAGAGTACGACCCTGCCTTACACAGGAAGCGGCACAGGTCCTAATCCAGGCACTTATCATCTCCCGTCTGGATTACTGCAACTCACTGTTGGCTGGGCTCCCTGCCTGTGCCATTAAACCCCTACAACTCATCCAGAATGCCGCAGCCCGTCTGGTGTTCAACCTTCCCAAGTTCTCTCACGTCACCCCGCTCCTCCGCACACTCCACTGGCTTCCAGTTGAAGCTCGCATCTGCTACAAGACCATGGTGCTTGCCTACGGAGCTGTGAGGGGAACGGCACCGCCGTACCTTCAGGCTCTGATCAGTCCCTACACCCAAACGAGGGCATTGCGTTCATCCACCTCTGGCCTGCTGGCCCCCCTACCTCTGCGGAAGCACAGTTCCCGCTCAGCCCAGTCAAAACTGTTCGCTGCTCTGGCACCCCAATGGTGGAACAAGCTCCCTCACGACGCCAGGACAGCGGAGTCACTCACCACCTTCCGGAGACACTTGAAATCCCACCTCTTTAAGGAATACCTGGGATAGGATAAAGTAATCCTTCTACCCCCCCCTTACCCCACCCCCAAAAAATAAAAATAAAAACATTGTAAAGTGGTTATCCCACTGGCTATAAGGTGAATGCACCAATTTGTAAGTCGCTCTGGATAGGAGCGTCTGCTAAATGACGTAAATGTAAAAATGTAAAATATACAAACTCCATTGTTGTCTGTTTGCACACAGTTTATTTAACAATATGGTATATAAGTACGAAATGAGTCATTTTTAACCAGTTTGTACAGTGATTCATTCTTATTTTTCTGCATATTTACATTGTCAACCTGCATGATTTACAATAGTGAACACTTCCACCTCAATTCAAGTTTAATGCAAGAGGAAAAAAGATGCACAGAACGCTCTCCAATCACAAATCAGCAAGCAGTCCAAAAGGTACACCCCCCACCACAGTTAAGCTCAGGGGGATCAAGACTTCAGATTCTTTAGATCGAAGGAGAAACAAAGCAACAAAGATGTCCAACATCTGAAAGACAGAAATACTGGTTCCAAGCCAGTAGAAAATTAACATTCCGGCACCTGTGGACGAACGAGCATTTGTGCGAGTCTCAGTTTTGCACACCTGAATGTGGCGTTTGGGTGTGCGATAGTTCCTAGCTCTATACAAATACGTTAATATCCCAAGGACTCTTCTGCAGTACAGAAAGAAAATAAGTCTCACCCAAAGGCATGTGTCCTTTTTGAAAAATGGTACATTAGAATAATAAATTAGCCAGGAATGAAGAGGGAGCGAAGAGGCAAAACCTGGCACAAAAAGTTCCCAGACAAAATTATTTTACAATCTTCAACACAAAAACGCTATGATTTTTTTTTTTTTTGCAAAGGTACGAAATAAAAACATTGAATAATAAAATGAAAGACTTTTGTTTTGAAGGTTTCTTTTAAAAAGTCCAGAGACATAACAAAATAAAATAAACAATTAAAACAAACAGAAAGCCCAGAACAAAATTATTTTCATGGCTGGTCTGAACCCAAAAATATATTTGTGTTTTTTTCCCCCATTCTCCTCTTTAAACAGCAATAATTATTCAAATCCCTCCGTTTTGTTGGAAGAAATAGCAGTCCCTTGGTTTAAGGAAAGGTTCACAGTCCTTAGGCCTCATCTGACTCATCTCTTTACATAGCAGTCAGTACAAAAACTATTTGTGGAAAACACAGAAAACAAAACAAGGCCTTTTGAGTCTCTCGTCACAAAATGCTACAATCCTTCAACAAACTTCTCGAGTGAGTCTCCTGTGGTGCCACCCACCATATTCAAGTCATTGCTCAGCCCGCCACGGTTGGGTGTGTTAAGCTGCGGGAGCATGGCGCTCTGCTCGGGCGTGCCCATGTGTCCCTGGTCCATGGAGCCTGGCATGGGGCCGCCCAGACTGGGGTGGGGTGAGCCGGAGTGGAGGTTGGCGTGCTGGGGCGAGGGATGGGGCTGTATCCGGGGGGAGGGGCTGGAATGTGGCGGCTGCTGTGAGGGAGGGTGGGGCGACTGCACCGGGGCTGGAGACCTCACCTGGTTGCCCAGGGTGTTGCCCATGGCCTGGCCAGGCAGGTGAGCTCCTCCCTGGGGCTGTCCTTGGAGCATGTGGGGCTGGGGGCTCATGGAGTTGGCCTGGGCTGAAGAACCCATCTGCTGCTTCAGCATCTGCTGTTGCTGCTGGAGCATCCTCTGCTGGAGGAGGTTCTGGGCCTGGGGCCCGTCCATGCCGGACTGCCCCATCTGGGCCATGGGGGGGAGCTGCATGGCCATCTGTTGCTGCATGCGGAGCTGGGAGTAGCTGGCTGCCCCTCCCTGCTGCTGGGTGAACTGCCCTGGAAGGCCCTGGGGCATGGCTCCTTGCTGTTGTTGTTGTTGTTGTTGTTGCTGCTGTTGTTGCTGCTGCTGTTGTTGTTGCTGCATCTGTTGCATCCGGAGCAGCTGCCTGCGGTAGAGCTGGGGGTTGCCGTTGTGTGCGGCGGTGTTCATCAGCTGTTGTCCCTGGGGGCCCATGGCGGCCATGCCCTGGGGGCCACCAACCTGCTGAGGGCCAGGCTGCTGCTGCTGGGGAGGCATGCCCAACCCCGGCCTCTGCTGCACCGCCCCAGCCTGCATGGCAGCAGCCATGGCTTGCATCCCAGCATGGCCTCCCAGCATCGCCTGGGGGTTCTGCGGTTGTTGTTGGGGGTTCTGCTGCTGCTGGCCCGGTAGTTGGCTGGCCTGGTACTTGGCCGTGCGCTGCTTGATGAAGGCGGCCATGAGGTGGGGGTTGGACTTGAGGATGTTGAGCACCTGCTGCTGCTGCTGGGGAGAGCTGGGCGACTTGAGGGTCCTCAGGAGGTCCTGGAGGGCGTTGGGGGCGATGTTTCCCGGGATGCCCCGGGGCATGCCCCCCTGTTGCTGGGGCGTCATGCCCTGCTGCTGAGAGGGGGCCTGGGGGGGCATCTGGACCCCACCAGGCATCTGAAGGCCGGGCTGCTGCTGCATCATGGGCCGCTGCTGCATCAACTGTGTGGGGTTTCCCTGAGCCTGTTGGGGGGCCATTGGGCCACCTTGCTGGGGGATGCCTTGCTGCTGTTGTTGGACTGCCTGGGGGTTCTGGAGGGGGTTCTGCTGCATCCCCCCCTGGGGGCCCCACTGGCCCTGCTGCTGCATGGCCTGCATCACCTGGGGGCCCCGGGGCCCCATCATCTGCCCTGGCCCCATCTGGCCCTGCATAGGCCCCACCATGCGGGGATGGTTCATGGGCACACCGTTGGGCATGTTCATGTTGTAGTTCTGTTGTTGTTGTTGTTGTTGTTGTTGTTGTTGCTGCTTGGCCTTGGCCACCATCTCTATGTGCCGGGCCATCTTCAGAGCGGCCAGCGGGGGCTGTTGTTGTTGTTGTTGGGGGGGCATCAGTTGTTGTTGTTGTTGGGGGGGCATGTTGGGCAGGGGCGACTGCACCTGATGTAGGGGGGAAGACTGGGGCCCCGGCTTTCCCCCTTGTGGAACCGGCGTTGGCGGCTGGCTGGTGCGCCCGTTGTTGGGGAAGCCGGGTTGTTGTTGGGCCATGCCAGCGGTCACGTTGGGGGGCGGCTGCTGCTGGGGCTGGTTGTTGGGTAAGGACGGCTGGGGAGTGTGGGTGGGCGTGTTGGGGGTCTGCCCGCCCGAGGTTGGGGTGCCGGGGGTGGAAGAGGTTGGTGGCGACGGCAGGCTCTGGGGCGCCATGCCCCTCCCGGCCATGGTGGCCATTCTTCTCCTCATCATCTGAGCCTGTTGTAAGCGGTGCTGGAGCTGCTGCTGCCTCAGCTTGTGCTTGATGTTCAGACAGAAGGGCACAGGACACTTGTTCTCCTGGCAGTGCTTGGCGTGGTAGCAGCACAGGGCGATGAGCTGCTTGCACACGGGGCAGCCGCCGTTGGTCTTGCGCTTGCATCCTTTGGTGTGCTGCACCACGCGCTTCATCTTCTGGCACGAGGGCAGCGAGCAGTTGGCATTGCGGCACTGACAGGCGTGGACCAGGGACTGGATGCAGCGCTGGATGGAGAGGCGACGGGATTCTTGGGGGCTCTGGGAGGCCTCAGCCCCGGCGCCACCCGCTCCGTTGCTGTCGTCGTCCAGCCCGAGGCCCCACTTAACCATCTTGTGCTCGTGGCCCTTGGCAGCGTAGCAGTTGATGCATAGGTCAAAGTCCTGTGAGAGAGAGAAGAACACATATCACGGTTACACTCATAATAATATTTCTATGGTTACACACGCACACCTGCACCAACTTGTAACAAATGTGATGACATTTAATCACAACTCTGCCAATAACAGCTAATTTTCAGTTTCACCCTCCCCACTCAAACCACTCCCAGACAGTCTTAGCAAAATTCCTGCTTGAGAATATGCATAATACCCACCCCAACGTTAACATATACTTTGAATAAATGATGCCCTAAGTTAACTTTTTCAGAGTGAAGTATTAGCATCATACAAGAGCAATGTGTGACAGAGTACACTATATCAATGTCTAAAAACAGCCAAAAAGTAATATACTTCCTAAATGCAACATTTTAAAGTGAAATAAACATACAATAAAGTACATTCTTTGGTTCTAGTTTTCAAAAATCGAACTGACAATATACATGTATTACATTCTGTAAGAGCGTGTGTGTGTTGGTGCATGTGTGATGAATCGGCACTATCGCCCCCTGGCTTACCTCGCAGACGGTGCAGTGCCAGCGTGTCTCCACGTGGTGTTTACACTCGTTGCAGGTGTAGACGAAGCGGTCCTGGCCCTGGTTGTGCAGCTCCACCAACATACACATGGTGCTCCACTTGCACCTCCGCAGAGAGCTGAACTCCCAGTGCTTGTCCCGGGCCAGGGTGAGGAAGGCGTCGCGGCCGTCCATCAGGTCGCAGGTCAGCAGGGGATCTGGGTCCATGATGGGGGGGAGGGTGTTGACCGAGGGTCCCGCGTGCAGGTGGATCACAAAGAACACCTGAGGGAGAGGGTGGAGAGGGAGGTAGAGAGAGAGGGAGACATGAGTCATCAGATAATCAGACAAGTACACCAGTTAGAATGAATGTTCAATGCATTGCTTCAATCTAAGTGGTATGCTAGTGTGAATATTGGATCAGAGCCTCTACAGATACTGTGACCACAGAAGTCCTTACAAAACTGTGATCAACTGAACTAAAGGAGTGAGAGATGAGGAAGGTAACAGGGCTTTACAGAGTATTTCCCCCACTACAACCACAGACTGTATGAACAGAATACAACAGCAGTGTTATAGGAGCGGGTGGAGTGAGTGAGTGATGCCTACCTCCTTGTGTTTCTCCAGGGTGGAGTAGAGCTTCTGGGACAGGTCGTTGGCTACATTGGGCATGCCGGGCTTCTTCTTATTGGCTCGGCTCACGCTGCCCTTGTTTTTATTGGTCTTCTTACTGTTCTTCTTCTTGGCGTTTTTGCTGTCGGCAGTGTGCTGATGAGAGAGAGAGGGAGGGAGGGAGGAGGAGAGAGAGAACGCGCTGTTAACAGAGGCGATGGAGGACACATGGCCATAAATAAATGGCAAAAAAAAGAACAAGTCGGTGACATGTTTTGACCAAGTGGCTGTCGAAAGCGTTTAAATCCTACAGACAGGAGGACAGAAATCTGACACCGGATCAGAAAACATCATCTGCCCTCTCCTCTGATAGGTAGAAGTTTTCGCCGTACTGCTTACACCAATGAAATCCTCTGAGACCTCTACAAATTCATAGGACATGGTGTCTAGGGGTCGGATTGGGTCCACCCCTCCATCGTACAAAGCACTCCCTGTCAGCACAGTCTTACCTCGGGGGTCTCGCAGGAGGCCACGTTCTCCTCCTTCTTCCTCTCCTCCTCCTCCTGCTCCAGCTCCTTGATGCTTTCCTCCAGCACGTTGGGCCAGAAGTCGCCTTCGAAGTAGGGCATCTCGTTGGCACTGGTAATACGGTCCTCCGTGGCCTGCTTGAAGATGTCCTGGAGAAGACAGAGAGACGACGCCTGTTACTTAGACTGTACAGATGGGGATGATGGTGCGGGATAATGCCACACTCAAACAGCATTTAATAAGAAAAGTAAGCATGGGTCCATGACAGAAACCATTATAAAAGACAATTTCTTATTGTATCAAGTCCAGACGATTCCCTCCGAGTTTCAATCCTTTGCCTTCTGTTTGGCGCATAATGAACACAGCCAGGGTCCCCTTCTTGTCTCACCTTGAAATCATGTAGGATCCTCTCTGCGAAGGCCTTCTCCAGCATCTTCCTGTACCACTCCTGCAGCCTCTTGGGCTTGGGGATCTTCTGGTCCTGCGGGTGGCAGTGGAAGATGTAGTCGTCCCCTTCACTGGGGGGGCACGCCCAGATATGACCATACACATACCTGCACGGGACCAGGGAGGGAGAAGACGGCTTTTAGGTTCAACATCACGTATTTCAAGGTACTGAGACAAATATCTTGGGAATATTCTTCGTTAAGAAATTATTGCAATATGAGTATGTAATCGAGATTTAGTTATTCCTAAACTTGCCTGGACACACACTGGGATGGTTTTCCAGACATAAATTAATCCTAGTCCTGGACTAAGAAGCATGTTCATTGGAATATTCTCCACTGAAAGTGTTTTTTAGTCCAGAACTAGGCTAAATCTGTGTCCAGGAAACCAGCCCAATATGTATTTTAAGATGGAAAAGCAATGTGATGATTGAATGGGGGTGTTTGTCCCTGGTATTGAAAACCTACCCGAGTTTCTTGACATACTCCAGATACCCTATCAAGATCTCGTGGTAGACTGCCGTCCTCAACGCCCGGGGCTTGAAGAAATGAATACTGTCCAGATACGATATGTAAACCCGTCTGGAGAGAAGACAAGGAGAAACACTAGGTGTGTTACACTGATAACTACAGCTAACCTGGTTAACTAGGTGTGTTACACTGATAACTATAGCTAACCTGGTTAACTAGGTGTGTCACTAGGCCGTTTTCCATTGACCCAGGTTTATTCGACAAAATAAATGTTGCAACAAAAAAAACCTTTGCGGAATGTGTAATGGAAACTGCAGATATAGGATACATTTCCTAAAGATCGACAACTTTTGATACGTTCGACGAGGGTGGAATTTTCTTTTGTCAAACTTGCTTTATTGCGACAAATGATGGAAACTGTTTTTTTCAGAATAAATGATGATCGAATAATGATGTCATCACATAACTAAAGCTCAACTCCACATTTAACTATTATTAATTAATTAATAAATTAATATTAATTAATATGCCATTTAGCAGACGCTTTTATCCAAAGCGACTTACAGTCATGCGTGCATACATTTTTGTGTATGGGTGGTCCCGGGGATCGAACCCACTACCTTGGCGTTACAAGCGCCGTGCTCTACCAGCTGAGCTGCCTCCTGCTTGCAAAATAAAAAAATGTCAAGTATAAGGATTGTCCTGACTTTCAATAATGCCTGAATTGCTTTGCCTTGCTTTTCTGGTTGGCTAGCAAGTTTCACCATCCAATTATTTCAGATCTACAGGAGTCTCACGATGGCGATACTTAAGCACATGCGAATTATTAGAAAATGGCAAATATTAGTCATGCTGGCTTTTGCGGGCTACCTGAGACATGAAACAGATATGTGGGAGGGCATAGGCTACAGGCTGTCGCCAATGTATTAGGTCTAATGCGCAATTTGCCTAAATGGGGAATGGAAACACTTCAACCACTTAATTTTTATTCTACACTGTAGACTTTTGCAAAAACATATTTTTTGGGGGGTGTGACGTCATTACATCCAGCTGTTTTTAATCGACAAGATAGTTAAATGGAAACGCACCGTAGCATGCAATTCTCACATTTATTTTCTATGCAAACTTTCTAAATGTCTAAAAATCTCTGGACAAGTTAATGGAAACATACAGTACCCCTCACATTTTTGTAAATATTTGAGTATATCTTATCATGTGACAACACTGAAGAAATCACACTTTGCTACAATGTAAAGTAGTGAGTGTACAGCTTGTATAACAGTGTAAATTTGCTGTCCCCTCAAAATAACTCAACACACAGCCATTAATGTCTAACCCGCTGGCAACAAAAGTGAGTACACCCTTAAGTGGAAATGTCCAAATTGGGCCCAAAGTGTCAATATTTGTGTGGCCACCATCATTTTCCAGCACTGCCTTAACCCTCTTGGGCATGGAGTTCACCAGAGCTTCACAGGTTGCCACTGGAGTCCTCTTCCACTCCTCCATGACGACATCACAGAGCTGGTGGATGTTAGAGACCTTGCACTCCTCCACCTTCCGTTTGAGGATGCCCCACAGATGCTCAATAGGGTTTAGGTCTGGAGACATGCTTGGCCAGTCCATCACCTTTACCCTCAGCTTCTTTAGCAAGGCAGTGGTCGTCTTGGAGGTGTGTTTGGGGTCATTATCATGTTGGAGTACTGCCCTGCAGCCCAGTCTCCGAAGGGAGGGGATCATGCTCTGCTTCAGTATGTCACAGTACATGTTGGCATTCATGGTTCCCTCAATGAACTGTAGCTCCCCAGTGCCGGCAGCACTCATGCAGCCCCAGACCATGACACTCCCACCACCATGCTTGACTGTAGGCAAGACACACTTGTCTTTGTACTCCTCACCTGGTTGCCGCCACACACGCTTGACACTATCTGAACCAAAGAAGTTCATCTTGGTCTCATCAGACCACAGGACATGGTTCCAGTAATCCATGTCCTTAGTCTGCTTGTCTTCAGCAAACTGTTTGCGGGCTTTCTTGTGCATCATCTTTAGAAGAGGCTTCCTTCTGGGACGACAGCCATGCAGACCAATTTGATGCAGTGTGCGGCGTATGGTCTGAGCACTGACAGACTGACCCCCCCACCCCTTCAACCTCTGCAGCAATGCTGGCAGCACTCATACGTCTATTTCCCAAAGACAACCTCTGGATATGACGCTGAGCACGTGCACTCAACTTCTTTGGTCGACCATGGCGACGCCTGTTCTGAGTGGAACCTGTCCTGTTAAACCGCTGTATGGTCTTGGCCACCGTGCTGCAGCTCAGTTTCAGGGTCTTGGCAATCTTCTTATAGCCCAGGCCATCTTTATGTAGAGCAACAATTCATTTTTTCAGATCCTCAGAGAGTTCTTTGCCATGAGGTGCCATGTTGAACTTCCAGTGACCAGTATGAGGGAGTGTGAGAGCGATGACACCAAATTTAACACACCTGCTCCCCATTCACACCTGAGACCTTGTAACACTAACGAGTCACATGACACCGGGGAGGGAAAATGGCTAATTGGGCCCAATTTGGACATTTTCACTTAGGGGTGTACTCACTTTTGTTGCCAGCGGTTTAGACATTAATGGCTGTGTGTTGAGTTATTTTGAGGGGACAGCAAATGTACAGTTATACAAGCTGTACACTCACTACTTTACATTGTAGAAAAGTGTCATTTCTTCAGTGTTGTCACATGAAAAGATATACTCAAATATTTACAAAAATGTGAGGGGTGTACTCACTTTTGTGAGATACTGTAGCTACTGATAACTATAGCTAACCTGGTTAACTAGGTGTGTTACACTGGCAACTATAGCTAAGCTGGTCCACTTTGCAGAGAATCGCAAGCCTTCCACTCTTAAGTCTTCCAATACTCAATTACGTAGGCTACTGTTCAGAACAGTATATACTCTACTCTTTAAAAGAATACTACATATATTATCACCATCCTCCTTCTCCTCATTCTGAAGTTACCTGGTGTTGGGGAAGGAGTGTATTACTGTTAAGTGTATTTTAAGAAGTGTATTATGTTGTGTTATTACTAGGTTATAAAGTGTTTACCTGGTGTTGGGGAAGGAGTGTATTATGTTGTGTTATTACTAGGTTATAAAGTGTTTACCTGGTGTTGGGGAAGGAGTGTATTATGTTGTGTTATTACTAGGTTATAAAGTGTTTACCTGGTGTTGGGGAAGGAGTGTATTATGTTGTGTTATTCCTAGGTTATAAAGTGTTTACCTGGTGTTGGGGAAGGAGTGTATTATGTTGTGTTATTACTAGGTTATAAAGTGTTTACCTGGTGTTGGGGAAGGAGTGTATTATGTTGTGTTATTACTAGGTTATAAAGTGTTTACCTGGTGTTGGGGAAGGCGCACTCGGAGCCGTACTCCTGGACGTGCATGCCGAAGAAACACACGTCCACGCCGTCAATCTCCTCAAACGCAAAAAGTGCTTTGGTTCTGTAAGGGAAGGTCTCCTGCATTTCACCCGAGTCCACGAACCTGGGGAGACAAACACAGCTAATCAATTAATTTGTGAATTAAACAGATTTATATAGTGCTTTTACTAGTAAGGGAGAAATCACCACATCCACAACCACATGGAACATCACTCATCATTAACGGTGTAGACTCCTTCTGCCACAGAAACTCCTCAGCACTATCAAGAACACTACCGCTCCATCCCTTTCCAACCAAGGTGCATGAACAAAGGAGCAAACTGAAGATGAGAAACATATATTGGAGCAACTCTTGGAAGACAACTTTATTATAATAATCATCTCTCAACCTCATGTCCAATAAAACCAATTTTAAAGTATTGATAAGGGTCCATTTCACTGTTGTACCAGCTGCAGTCCTTCCTTACCTAGATTTCATGCCAGGTTTGATCTCAACATTTTTGTCGGAGCTGGCCACCACCCGAACAAACACCTCCCCGGCCTCAGGATGGTTCTGCCTCTTCAAGTACTTATTCACCCGGTCCTCGATGTACATTCCCAACCTCGTCGTCTGTAGCCCTGCGAGACAGATGCCATCAAATACTTTAGTTGTCCTACAGGTTATACAGATGCAGGTCATATCAAAACTCACGTCCTCATCACGAGTTACTGAAATAACTCTGATCACACATACAATGGTGGATCCACTCAGATCGCCACAATTATTCAACACACACTCAAACTTACTTTTGGCTGCAAACTTGTTATCCTTTCTCGTCTTACCGGACTTCTTCAGACAGTTGTCGCAAATGAAGCTGAGGGAAAGATAAGTGGAAATGTCAAATAGCTTGTTGAAGCATATCATCAACACTGATCAGAAGACATATAGGGGTGTTAGTCTGTTAAGGGGTACATGAGCTCCCGAGTGGCGCAGCGGTCTAAGGCACTACATCTCAGTGCTTGAGGCGTCACTACAGACCCCCTGGTTCGATTCCAGGCTGTATCACAACCGGCCGTGATTGGGAGTCCCATAGGGCGGCGCACAATTGGCCCAGCGTCGTCCGGGTTTGGCCGGTGTAGGCCGTCATTGTAAATAAGAATTTGTTCTTAACTGACTTGCCTAGTTAAATAAAGGTAAAATAAAAAAAATTAATAAATGAGAAAAGGGAACAAGGCTTACCCCGATGGCCAGATGACATCATAATGCAGCACACAGATCTGGTGCATCTTCCGTCCACAGTCTTTACATTCAACAAACCTGTGTGAGGAAAGAGAGAGAGAAGGCTGGTCAGAGAAGGGACACCAACACCTCAGTCTCCAAGAAGACACTTTATTGTTGCACAGATTTTGCAGAGTGGGCAATAGATGCAACAGATGACTGACATATGGGCATGAGACAAAACACTGATACATTGGATAACTGTATGTACAAGAGTTGGGTCAATTCAGGAAGTGACTTCAATTCATTAAATTCGCAATTGAAATCGAATTGACCCCGAACCTTGATATACACCCCTTTAAAAATGTACAGCGGTAAATGTCAGTGACTGACAGTAATGCAGCCAGTTACATAAAATATAAATTAGAATTTTCACCGTTGCCCATGTACTTGGGGCGGTCATCTCATGCTCTGTGATTGAACAGAAAACGCGAGGGAGAAGTGCAAGAGACAAGGCCCATACACTATTCACCATCAATGGTTATTTACTTTAATTTCTTTGTTTGGCACAGATTTCTCCTCTCAGGACAATACTTTCATCCTCAATGATTTGAAATGCAGTGTATCAACTTGTGTGGCTGACTTGTGTTTTTAAATGGTCCAAATAAATCCAATACTGTGATGCATACTGTACTGTCTACTCAATACCATGATGTCTCAAAGCCAACGGATTTAGAAGCTTTAAAGCAGAATGAAAAGGGCTAAAAGCCCATCAAACGTAAACAGGTTGAGACGTTAAGGTTCAGGTACACAAATACTCACGGTTCTGGATCCAACATGTCGTTCTTCTTTTTTTCAAACTGGTCTTTAGAGATCATACTGGAGGATGGAGAGACAACGGGTGACCAGATAGAATCAGTTCTGATACTCTAAACATGCAGCCCACTCATATCAATACAGATTTGACTATAATTAGCTTAGTCTACCACTTCCGGACCAGTATTTATAGTCATTATGGACTAAGGATATCCACTAGGGAAAGATGGAATCAGTGGAGACTTAAGGACGGTTACTGCCACTAACATAATTTTCATTTAGTCATGCATTGATATCAATGGGAGACTAAGTGAAAATTCAAGTTAAGTGAAAGTTAGGATTCGCCCCAGAATGTCGTCAAAAACACCTACGCAACTAATCCGAATCAAACCCAGTATTGTTTCCCTGTATTTTTCAATGTATTGACAAAAACTTTACCACAGATTCCACAACAAACTTACGTCTGTGGCTGTGCCGGGTCGTCTCCCAGGGTGACGCTGTTGCCCTGGATCTCGTTGAAGCACTTCTCACAGAAGTGATACCTGTCGGCAACAAGGCCATATTTGGGTGAGCTGGAGCGGGCACACACAATGGCAGAAGCACAGGGAAAGTTGGCAAACCAGCACACGGGTGGCAGGATGGATGGTAGAATGGCACAGCATAACACAGGCAGCGGACAGAGACAAGAGGACAGAGACAAGCAGAGTGAAGGTAGAAAACGTTAGTCACCATGGGAACGGTCATGACAGTCATTCACACACAAGCATAATGAAATAACACAGGAATGCTAACTATGTTGACAGTAATAACATTAATATTTATATGAGCAAAGTAATTCATTAGTACATTTTAATAGCCATACTACTAAGTATTACGACTTCGCTGAACTACAAAGTTCCACTACTTCTCCACATAAAGCTTTAGTAACACGCAGGCATATGATATGATAATGATGTCTGTTGGGAGAGACTGTTAGAGTGAATGCCAGCTCTGGTGATGTAGGTGAGAGAGGGGGAAGCATCCAGAACACATCACAGACATATGGAACACCTCTCCTTGTCATCTTTTCATAAGAACACTTTTTGTTGAAATTACTTCTTAAATTTGGGTAAAATGCATCAACTTGCTTCCAGAAGGGATAAAGTAGTTAACCCTAACTAGCCTCATTGCGCTGAGCTGAGAATAACTGTACTACATGCAACTGCAATGCATCGGAATGGATGCAATATTTGGGGCTAGTTAAGTGCATTAGCAATTTGTGAACAGCAGGGGGAGCAGTGCTGCTGATATTGCAGCACATCGGGCTTGCAGGGAAACCTAAGATCCTGTCTATGTAGGCTACACTCCGTTTAACACCATGTAACACTTCCAGTATATAGTATGTACCAAACCCCTCTGGTGAAATACCATCTTAGAATACTCTCATCATAAATATTCATTGTTTTTCATGTACCTAAACTAACATTACAATATGCTGTGAGAGCACAATCCTAGTCCCCTTCTCTCTCCTCATCTCCCCCTTTCCTTCTCAGTAGAACCAGTCCTGCCTACTTACCCCCCTCTCTCTCTTCCCCCCCCCCCCACTCACCTCCGTACCCCCCCGGCGTGTGGTCTTACCTGTTCTGGTAGCTGTAGTAGGTGCCGTCTCTGGAGATGGTGCACAGCTGCTTGCCATAGCAGCAGAGGGTCTGGGGTGAGAACTCATACTGTGGAGGAGCACAGAGAGAAAGGGTTAGTGGAGACACTGTTGTTGAGACATTGTTAGGTCCATTCTACTTCTACACTGTTTAGCATTCAGCCGGTCAGACCTGTCGACAGATTCCCCCCAAATTAAACCCTAGTGTTCCTCTGAAAGTTCTCCTTTCACTGGTACGCATAGTCCCAGGTATGCGTCCCAAATGGCACTCTATTCCCTATGTAGTGCACTACTTTTGACCAGGGCCCATTGGGTATAGTGCACTACATAGGGAATAGGGTGCCATTTGTGAATCACACTCCGTGTCACAAGTGCCACAGGGAGTCAAAACGTTCATCATGTCAAGTCAAGTGTTCAAATCTTTGTAAGGACCGCTGTAGGTCAATGCTAATGTTACCCAGTAAAAACACCCTCTAGCCATGGGGTCATACAGGTTGCTGTCTGTCACACCGTAAACACAGCAGCGCACGGTTATGCATGTCTGGAGGGGTTAGTTAGGGATGTGTTGTTGTGTAATTGCAGGGCACTGTAGAAAGAACGTCCTCTTGAAAGACAGTAGGTCAGCAGCAGCAATGTGACATGGTTTCCCACCTTGAGGATGTCTACAGCCCAAAGCTGCCTAACAGGCCCATATCAAGGGACACAAGTTCTTCCTATTTCATGTGGGCAGGAACAACTCCTGGTCCTAACGATAACCTACAGTTAGAGCTGAGAGTTTCTCCAGGGCCTAACGATAACCTATAGTTAGTTAGAGCTGAGAGTTTCTCCTGGCCCTAACGATAACCTACAGATAGTTAGAGCTGAGAGTTTCTCCTGGCCCTAACGATAACCTACAGATAGTTAGAGCTGAGAGTTTCTCCTGGCCCTAACGATAACCTACAGATAGTTAGAGCTGAGAGTTTCTCCTGGCCCTAACGATAACCTACAGATAGTTAGAGCTGAGAGTTTCTCCTGGCCCTAACGATAACCTACAGATAGTTAGAGCTGAGAGTTTCTCCTGGCCCTAACGATAACCTATAGTTAGTTAGAGCTGAGAGTTTCTCCTGGCCCTAACGATAACCTACAGATAGTTAGAGCTGAGAGTTTCTCCTGGCCCTAACGATAACCTACAGATAGTTAGAGCTGAGAGTTTATCCTGGCCCTAACGATAACCTACAGTTAGAGCTGAGAGTTTCTCCAGGGCCTAACGATAACCTATAGTTAGTTAGAGCTGAGAGTTTCTCCTGGCCCTAACGATAACCTACAGTTAGAGCTGAGAGTTTCTCCTGGCCCTAACGATAACCTACAGATAGTTAGAGCTGAGAGTTTCTCCTGGCCCTAACGATAACCTACAGTTAGAGCTGAGAGTTTCTCCAGGGCCTAACGATAGAGCTGAGAGTTTCTCCTAGCCCTAACAATAACCTACAGTTAGATCGGAGTTTCTCCAGATCACAAAACTTGTAGCATCCCTTCCTCCTTCCTCCACTCCCTCAGCCTCACCTTCCTGCCGCAGCAGTACCCCAGGCTGACCATGACGGGGTTTATCTCCAGCTCAAACACATCTAACCTCCCGCTCTACTCCTTCGCTTTCCTCCACCAACATCCCTCCTCCTTCCCTCCCTTTCCGTCTCACCTTCCTGCCGCAGCAGTACCCCAGGCTGACCATGACGGGGTCTATCTCCAGCTCAAACACCTCGGCCAGCTTGGAGCAGTACTTGTAGACGCGGGACGTCTTGCGGTTGTAGATCCAGGCGTTGTTGAACATGACCCAGATGTCTTCCACGTACTGCCAGGGTTCCTGGTACTGACCTGTGTCCAGCTTACGCTTTATAGTGGACAGGTCCATAGGTTTCTTCACTATGTCAAAGTAGTCCTGGGGGGGTGGAGGGGAATGGTTAGAAGAGAGCTAAGTGATATTGACAGTACAGTCACAGGAATCAGCGTTGCATTGTGTCTTGACAAGACTGACATGGTTATGAGAGTGCTTTATCATTCACTATCAAGCTTCAGTACAATCAATGAAATCTGGTTATGAGAGAGAGCTTAACTGATATTGATCGTCAGCATCATTCGAATTTGCATTGTATCACTGACCAGAATGATATGGACATGGATATGAGAGAGATCCTGTATGAGAGAGATCCTGTATAGAACTGAGTAACGAGTCAATCATTTTAAAGATTTGTCATTTGTTTTCATATCAATACATGACTAGGCATAGCCAATCAAGAGAGACTCTAAGGGTGAACGACTATCTAAGTGTGTATACATGCAGTGTGTGTGTGTGTGTACATGCAGTGTGTGTACATACTGTGTGTGTGTGTGTACATGCAGTGTGTGTACATACTGTGTGTATGTGTGTGTACATGCAGTGTGCGCGTGCGTTTGTACTCACGGGGATGCCCAGCAGCATGGGGTCGACAGGCTGTCTGAAGGGTAGGGACTCTGGGTCCTGTCTGTAGAGGGCCTCTAGTGTGGGCATCAGGGCCTGGCGCAGCTCCTCTGGCTTAAAGACTGCAGGGAGGACAGAGCAGTCAGGGCTCTATTCAGATCGATCATGTAGAACATAGAAATGTATCATGTAGAACAAAAATATAATCTGTCATGTGGAAACGGGGCATCCTGAAAGCTCTATTTATTCTAGTTCTATCTGTGACGTTCAGAACGCTACAGAGTCTTCACAGGGTCCGTTATCATGGTCAAGTCATATTGACAAAGTTGTTGTGAAGATGGGGAGAGAGGCATGTCTTATAAAAAGATGTTCTGTGTTTTTGACACAAAGATCAACTGTACTAGTTGTTCAGCCTCTGATCTTATCCCATCTTGATTACTGTCCTGTAATATGGTCAAGTGCAGCAAAGAAAAACCTAGCAAAGCTGCAGCTGGCTCAGAACAGAGCAGCACACACAGAACAAATATCAACAACATGCATGATAGTCTTTCATGGTTGAGGGTTGAGGAGAAATGTACTAATTCTCTTCTAGTCTTTTTAAGAAACATTTGTGTGTTGAAAATGCCTAACCACTTGTATAATCTATTGCATACACTTCAAAACAGACATACATACCACACCAGTCACACCACTATGGGTTTCTTCACGGTACCCAAACCAAAAACAGATTTAATGCGCCGCTCAGTTATGCATAGAGCAGTCTCATAGTGGAGGTTACGCAGGCAAAAAGCAAGTTTAGCTTTAAAAAACACACAACATATTGTATCACATCGCCTCTACTCTTTCTAAAGATCTATTTAACTGTATATAAGAATATGTATGAATAGTGTGTAAATAGTATTTTTGTTGTCTCTTGGCGTCTTTCCAATATATAACTCTTTATTTTATTTTGAATGTAATGTAATATCTTCTGTTGTTCTTGTCTATTACTGTTCTGTACTTTGTCATGTATTTGTATGTTTTATGTGGACCCCAGGAAGAGTAGCTGCTGCATGTGCAGTAGCTAATTGGGATCCTAATAAACTAAACTAAACAGGGCAAATGTGAGGACTAACATAACTGAGGCCAGAGATGCAATAAGATAGGACCAGCTGTGGAAAAACTACTAGTCAGAAAAAAATTGGAAAAACTCCTGGCCCCGGCTAGTTTTACACAAAACCAGGTCCTCACTTTTTTTGCGGTTCTGGGTGGGGGAGGTGGACGCTGCCGAGCCGTTGGCCCCGCCCTCCTCCTCGGGTTCCTTCTTAATCTCCGGCTTCTTCTCCTCCTTCATCTCCTTTGGCTCCTGCTTAGGCTCCGCCCCGTCTGGCTCCTCCTTCTTGACCGTGAAGGGTTTGGTGTCTTTTGTGTCTTCATCCTGCTATGGGGCACAGCTACATTTAGAGGGTGCACTTAAACAAATCTGTAGGACACTACATTTTGAAAGATGGAGGGCAACGGAGGCCACAGTACCAGATAAACAAGATGAGTTCATGTGAATTTGAACATTTCAATCAAGAATACGTGCATTCATACTGTACATATAAATAGAAGGCTCTGGTTGGTCAAGAGTCTTGTAGTCAATATTGATTCTAGGACTACAAGTTTAAGTCCTCACCTCCATTTTGAAGTCGCTGGGCTGCTTTTTCCCCGAGCCACAGTCGTCGTCCTCGTCGTCATCCTCGTCTTTGGGCTCCGTTTGGGCCATGTCTGGCGGGGCCTGTTGGGAGTGGACCTCTGCCACCGAGCCTGGGGTGGGCATGCGGTTATCTATACTGGCTGGCGTCTGGGACAGCTAGAGGGGAAAAATGAGAGATGTTTAATATCATCCCTTCAAAGCAAAGGCTGGGTGCTGGCTATAACTGTTGACTGGCACAACAAATCATTAAGAGCTGGCATGTGAAATAAACGCCATATTGCCCGCTTAATAAACCTTTAGTATCACTCCAAGCATGCTGTTCCTTCAATATACCTTTTAAAATGTGGAAAAGCTGCATGAGAGCACTGAGGTGCTTTGATAGTAACAAAGTGTGCTTTAAAAAGAGCATCTATGTATTTCCTGACTATATGATATAACCAGGAAACATTCTGGGCCCTAGTGAAAGGATATAACATGAGTTCTCCTCGTCAGTTCACCAGGTCAGGAAGAAGTCCCTATAAGAGTGTTGTGGATCCTAAGCAGGTGTTTTACCGGCGTGCTGGGGTGCTGCTGCGTCTGGCTGGGGGTCCCCGGCTGCTGATGCTGCAGGGGCGTGAGCGGCTGGGAGGGGGCGGCAGGGGACTGCATGCCCAGGGTCGAGGGGGGCCGGGCGGGGAGGCCGCCGCTGGGGACGTGGGTGGGGGTGGAGGACGGTGAAGGCTGAGCCTGGGGGGGTGGGTGGGAGTGGGGATGCTGGAGCTGCTGCAGGTTAGCGGAGGCGTTGGGCGGAGGGGTGGCGCGGGGCAGGGGGGGCTGGGGGCCCAGGGACAGGTTAGAGTTCTGCTGCTGGATGGGGGGGGGGGATACAGAAGTTACAGTTAGAGTTCTATCTACTATTACATATTCACACACATACGCACCTCTGTTACAAACCTACCCACTCAGACACATACATATTCTAACACTACACTTATATTGACAACCATGAACCCATACAACTCAGCTTCTTCAAATATGACCAAACCAACAGCAGATATGATCAATGCAACAGATCACTAGCACCATCTGTGTGTGTGTCTTTCCCTCCTCACCTGAGTGACAGCTGCCTGTGCTTGCGGCTGGCCGAGGGAGCCCACGTTGTTCATATTCATGCCCCCGCCAGGGGCGGTGTTGGGGGAGAACTGGCTCTGGGGCATGAACTGGCTCTGATTGGCTGTCTGTCCCACCATGCTGTTGGCGTGCTGTCCCATCATGCCTTGCACCTGGGGCATCCTGGACGGGGACTTGCCCATCTGGAGAATGGAGAAAAGAACACACACGTTATATGGAGGAAACCTCTCTCTCTACATTGAGCCCTTGCCAAGAATAACAAACTATGCATCTAAATGAGATCAGAACTTCAAATAATATGAAAACGTTTATTTTTTATTTATTTTTTACTTAGGCTGTGCTTGATTGAGGTTACTTGGTGAAATGGAACCAATAGAATAGTCACAAAAGTGCAAACCCCACCCATCTGTTACTCCAGGCGGGCTTAAGCAAATGCTCAAAGTATTTGAAAGATTTAGAAAAGTATTTAAATCCAGGTCTGAATGGGATACAATAACACACACACACCACCAAGACAATAGTCCTTATGAAAGGCCTGGGCATAATAAACTAATAAACAGTGTGCTGATTAAAAACCAGAAGGCAGAGAGGCATCAACAACCAGAAGTAGAGGAACATTAAAAGGTACAAAACCATAAACAGTAAAAATCCAACCCAACTCATTTAAGACATATACAATGCTCAACCACTTTCCCAGTAGAAACAAAGAGTCTACAGTTTACATTTATTTGAATGTATTTATTTTTTGACAGCACCCGTTTTGATTTGAACGAAACCTTCCATACATATTTGCCCATTGTAGAAGTCCTCAAAAAGTGACATTTTGGACCTGAATGCCAAAACATTCAAGAGATAAAGTTGCTCAAAGTTCACCTATTTTGCATACCCACACCATGAGACATCCATGTCTTCATCACTGGAAAAGATAAACGGTTGAGATTGATATAATTTAAAAGCTTACAAACAAGGTTATCAAACTATTTTATAATTTATTTGTAAAAAGTGGTTTTTATAATATATTTTCTGAAACCTTAAACTTCAATTACCTAAAAACGCTTAAACTCCGATTTCTTTTCATATTCACGTTGTAGCTTAGACCCTATTTTACATTATCTGAGATTTTTGTGTTGTGCCCGCCATCGGTTGAAACACAACATGGTCTTGAATACAGGGTGGGTGTCATGTTTTGGCTGATAAATGTACTAAAATGGGAATAAAATTGAAATTTCAACTTTTTAAATGGTACCACAAAGACAGTTGGAGGTCCACACATCAGAGAACGTTGACTTGAATGGGAATGTTGTTTACATTATACTGTCAATCTTCCATAGGAAACCTATTGAAATCATAGAAAAATAGATAATAGAATAGACATAACAATTTAAGTCGACATTCGACGGTGGGTGGACTGGCCGCAATTTTTGTGGTAGTAATTAGAAGTTAAAATGTCAATACAATTTAAATTTCAATGGTGTACCAGCTAAATTGCTGTGGTCTGAAGGGATAGGTCCATTCTATGAATTATATTTCTATGATTGAAATGACACCCACCTTGTATTCAAGAGCATGTTGTGTCTCAACCGATGGTGGGCACAACACAAACCTCAGATGACGTAAAGTAGGGTCTAAGCTACAACATATGTGAATCGTTGATGGACAGCAATATTCAAACCTTGTCTCAGATTTTTTTAAATCAGATCAAGTCAGGACAGACTACACTACTCAGGAACACTCTTGGAAAGCCATTTTGGTGGGTCTTTTGCATAAACGTGTGTAATTGTCCCTATCCCAGGGACAACCCTATACTCTGGGTTAGGTTTTCAGAAGACTGATATGAGTTCTAACTTTTTAACTGGTCTTTGTGCCTTTCATATTTATTTTGATCCTAACAAACTCCCCAGTGTTGTTCACTAGTTTACTCCAAGTAGGGAAAGTAATAAAGGGGAATATATATTTTTTTTAAGGATATGTATGTGTATGTATGTATGTATGCATGTATGTGTGTGTGTGTATATATACAGTGGGGAGAACAAGTACTTGATACACTGCCGATTTTGCAGGTTTTCCTACTTACAAAGCATGTAGAGGTCTGTCATTTTTATCATCAGTACACTTCAACTGTGAGAGACGGAATCTAAAAAATCAAAAATCCAGAAAATCACATTGTATGATTTTTAAGTAATTAATTTGCATTTTATTGCATGACATAAGTATTTGATACATCAGAAAAACAGAACTTAATATTTGGTACAGAATCTATCTCTGCAATTACAGAGATCATACGTTTCCTGTAGGTCTTGACCAGGTTTGCACACACTGCAGCAGGGATTTTGGCCCACTCCTCCATACAGACCTTCTCCAGATCCTTCAGGTGTCGGGGCTGTCGCTGGGCAATACGGACTTTCAGCTCCCTCCAAAGATTTTCTATTGGGTTCAGGTCTGGAGACTGGCAAGGCCACTCCAGGACCTTGAGATGCTTCTTACGGAGCCACTCCTTAGTTGCCCTGGCTGTGTGTTTCGGGTCGTTGTCATGCTGGATGACCCAGCCACGACCCATCTTCAATGCTCTTACTGAGGGAAGGAGGTTGTTGGCCAAGATCTCGCGATACATGGCCCCATCCATCCTCCCCTCAATACGGTGCAGTCGTCCTGTCCCCTTTGCAGAAAAGCATCCCCAAAGAATGATGTTTCCACCTCCATGCTTCACGGTTGGGATGGTGTTCTTGGGGTTGTACTCATCCTTCTTCTTCCTCCAAACACCGCGAGTGGAGTTTAGACCAAAAAGCTCTATTTTTGTCTCATCAGACCACATGACCTTCTCCCATTCCTCCTCTGGATCATCCAGATGGTCATTGGCAAACTTCAGACGGGCCGGGACATGCACTGGCTTGAGCAGGGGAACTTGCGTGCGCTGCAGGATTTTAATCCATGACGGCGTAGTGTGTTAGTAATGGTTTTCTTTGAGACTGTGGTCCCAGCTCTCTTCAGGTCATTGACCAGGTCCTGCGTGTAGTTCTGGGCTGATCCCTCACCTTCCTCATGATCATTGATGCCCCACGAGGTGAGATCTTGCATGGAGCCCCAGACAGAGGGTGATTGACCGTCATCTTGAACTTCTTCCATTTTCTAATAATTGCACCAACAGTTGTTGCCTTCTCACCAAGCTGCTTGCCTATTGTCCTGTAGCCCATCCAAGCCTTGTGCAGGTCTACAATTTTATCCCTGATGTCCTTACACAGCTCTTTGGTCTTGGCCATTGTGGAGAGGTTGGAGTCTGTTTGATTGAGTGTGTGGACAGGTGTCTTTTATACAGGTAACGAGTTCAAATAGGTGCAGTTAATACAGGTAATGAGTGGAGAACAGGAGGGCTTCTTAAAGAAAAACTAACAGGTCTGTGAGAGCCAGAATTCTTACTGGTTGGTAGGTGATCAAATACTTATGTCATGCAATAAAATGCAAATGAATTACTTAAAAATCATACAATGTGATTTTCTGGATTTTTGTTTTAGATCCGTCTCTCACAGTTGAAGTGTACCTATGATAAAAATGACAGACCTCTACATGCTTTGTAAGTAGGAAAACCTGCAAAATCGGCAGTGTATCAAATACTTGTTCTCCCCACTGTATATATATATAAATAAAAAACATGGGGGATTGGAAGTGATGCAGACAATTACATTGATGGAAGTTACAATCTATCTGCAATATTAAGCTGATCTACCCCCCCCCCCCCCCCCCCCCCCCCCCCCCCAAAAAAACAACAACATTGGATTCACTCCATATTACTGGCCTGTATGACAAAGTGAAAAGAAGCCTGTGTTAAAAAATCCACTCCAAATCATCCAAATCAAACAATGCTGTTAAATAATATTGAAAGACAACACAGCAAATAAATAAACCTTTTGGCCTAAATTAAAAACTACAGGGTTGGGTCAAATCCAATACAACAGAGTGAAACCCTCTCCATTTTGAAGTATTGTGGTTGCAGCATCATGTTATGGGTATGCTTGTCAACGGCAGGGAATGGGGAGTTTGTCTGGATCAAAATAAATATGAAAGGCGCAAAGGCCAGGTAAAAAGTTAAGAGGAAAACTCGCCTCAGTTTTCTTAAAACCTAACCATGGGAGAGTTTTATTTTTCAGCGAGTTGTAAAGTTTCTTTCACTTTGAAAATGTGGAGTAGGTTGTGTAGATCTGTAGGGAAAAAATCGAATTTAATCCCTTTTTAGATTTAATTTTAAGGCAGCAAAAATGTTTAAAAAGTTCAAGGTGTAGACTTTCCATAGACACTGTAGTGGAGAAGGACGGGAGGTAAAACGGTTGTTGTCTTCTAATGGAGAGACCGAGACAAAGAGAGTGAGAAGGGGAGAGGAAGACGGGGAGAGAGAGCGATGGAGAGACGGGGAGAGGAAGACGGGGAGAGAGAGAAATGGAGAGACAGGGAGAGGGAGTGAGAGGAGGAGAGAAGAGGAGAGAAGAAAGGGAGGGAAGGAGATACAGAAGGAAAGAGTTAACAGGGGCATAGAGGGAACATGGAAGTCTCACCGCTGGGACAGAGCTCATGTTCATCTGCTGCGAGTGGTTCATGGGCGAGGCGGCGCGGGCCCCCATGGGCGCCTGGGACATCTGCACGTTCTGCATCGCCATGGGGTTGAACTGATTGATTCCTATGCGGGAGAGGAGACACGCACACAAACATAGGGTGCACACACACACACACAATCAGCACACACAGGACTAGTGGTGTCTACAATACTGAGATGTTGTAATTCATTACCCTATGCTCTGATGAGCAGGTGAAGGAGTCACTGAGTCAGTTTGGAGCTAAGTCATAACTTTTCACAAACTTGTTCATTTGCTGTCAGTGTTTCCCCTATATATATTTTTGCGGCGTGGTGGCGGGAGGTCACAGGGTATGCCCCCCCAGGATATTTTTTGGGGGTAGAATGACTGAGGTCATTTACGGGGACTTTAAAAATACATTATACTCCAAAATGATCTATCTATCTATAATCCCCCCAGAAATGAGCCCAATAGCATATTGGTAAAAAATACTTTTAGGGCTGACTCTTTTACCATAGCCTATACATGGCACCATATCGTATTATCAGGCAGATGTTTTATTAGCTGGATCAAAAAGGGGCTATTTCTTTCCCCCATGGAGCCAATAAAGTTTTGAAAGAAATGTTAAGCAATTTTTCAGCTAATCTACACATTCTGTCATGGAGCTGACAGAAAATGTTGCAGTGCAAATTTCCCGCAATTCTACTGAATTTTGCTATGGCTAATTCTGTGTTCTTATGCAAAAATCGGGGCCCCTGGGCATGTGCCACGTGAGCACGGTCGGTAATTCAGCAATCCCAAAAGTACTTCAAAATTAATTGTTTATTATATTGGTTTCATTCCTTTAGCTTTTTAAATGAATACAGGGGAAACACTGGCTGTAATGATCTAAATAAACATTTATGGAGAAACAGTTGCTGAATAAACCATTTAAACTATTTGCGTGTGATTATAGTATCTAAAGCAACTGGCCACCAGGGGGGCTGACAGTCAGTGTGCAGTTGACTGTGTCTGGATGAAAGGAGGATGAGAAACAAATGTTGAAGTGCAGGAGAAGGCCTGGTACCTTGAGACACCTGCATGCGGGGCATGATCTGATTTGGCACGTTGGGCATAGGCACAGATCCATCTGAAAGAGAGGACGACGAGAGGGATGAGATGTGGTCAACATGTCATATACCAAAGCATCCAAATTAGCTAACTACCGCCTCAAACACCTACTTTAAACAAACATATCATTATCCTGTTATAGGGCCAAATGCTAACTTTCACTTAAGTCAAATTTCCACTTAGTCTCCCATTGACATCAATGCATGACTAAATGAAAAAAATGAAGGGTTTGCCCCATACATGGTAATAAGATGATAATAAACATAAGTGATTATGTTGCTCCCTCCTTCAATATAGGGGTCTCCATAGGTCCTGGGAGGAGGGTACTCACTGGCTGGCCGTGGGGACTGGCTGGGACCCATGGAGTTGGGCTGAGGGGCCATGCCTGGCTGCTGCTGGGCCCCCGTCCCCCCCCCTGCCATGGGGCCAGGCTGCTTCTGGAGCCGCGAGCGCCTCTTCTCCTCCAACTCCTTCTGGATCTTATAGATCTTCTCCGCCAGGAAGTGGTAATACTCGTCCTGCAGGAATTGACAACATGAGATTAGAAATAACATATACTTAACAAAAATATAAAACGCAACATGTAAAGTTTTGGTCCCATGTTTCATGAGCTGAAATAAAATATCCCAGAAATGTTCTATATGCACAAAAAGCTTATTTTTCTCAAATGTTGTGCACAAATATGTTTACATCCCTGTTAGTGAGCATTTCTCCTTTGCCAAGATAATCCATCCACTTGACAGGTGTGGCATATCAAGAAGCTGATTAAACAGCATGATCATTACACAGGTGGACCTTGTGCTGTGGACAATAGAAGGCCACTAAAATGTGCAGTTTTGTCACACAACACAATGCCACAGATGTCTGAAGATTTGAGGGATCGTGCAATTGGCATGCTGACTGCAGGAATGTCCACCAGAGCTGTTGTCAGAGAATTTAATGTTCATTTCTCTACCATAAACCGCCTCCACCGTCGTTTTAGAGAATTTGACAGTACGTCCAACTGTTCTCACAACCGCAGACCACGTGTAACCACGCCAGCCCAGGACCTCCACATCCGGCTTCGTCACCTGCGGGACTGTCTGAGACCAGCCAACCGGACAGCTGATGAAACTGAGGAGTATTTCTGTCTATAATAATATTTCTGTCTGTAATAAAGCCCTTTTGTGGGGAAAAACTCATTCTGATTGGCTGTGCCTGGCTCCCCAGTAGGTGGGCCTGGCTCCCATGGCTGCACCCCTGCCCAGTCACATGAAATCCATAGATTAGGGCCTAATGAATTTATTTCAATTAACTGATTTCCTTATATGAACTGTAACTCAGTAAAATTGTTGAAATTGTTGCATGTTGCATTTATATATTTTTGTTCAGTGTACAGTGAGGGAAAAAAGTATTTGATCCCCAGCTGATTTTGTACGTTTGCCCACTGACAAAGACATGATCAGTCTATAATTTTAATGGTAGGTTAATTTCAACAGTGAGAGACAGAATAACAACAACAAAATCCAGAAAAACGCATGTACAAATTTTTTATAAATTGATTTGCATTTTAATGAGGGAAATAAGTATTTGACCCCTGCAAAACATGACTTAGTACTTGGTGGCAAAACCCTTGTTGGCAATCACAGAGGTCAGACGTTTCTTGTAGTTGGCCACCAGGTTTGCACACATCTCAGGAGGGATTTTGTTCCACTCCTCTTTGCAGATCTTCTCCAAGTCATTAAGGTTTCGAGGCTGACGTTTGGCAACTTGAACCTTCAGCTCCCTCCACAGATTTTCTATGGGATTAAGGTCTGGAGACTGGCTAGGCCACTCCAGGACCTTAATGTGCTTCTTCTTGAGCCACTCCTTTGTTGCCTTGGCCGTGCATTTTGGGTCATTGTCATGCTGGAATACCCATCCACGACCCATTTTCAATGCCCTGGCTGAGGGAAGGAGGTTCTCACCCAAGATTTGACGGTACATGGGTCCCGTCCATCATCCCTTTGATGCGGTGAAGTTGTCCTGTCCCCTTAGCAGAAAAACACACCCAAAGCATAAATGTTTCCACCTCCATGTTTGATGGTGGGGATGGTGTTCTTGGGGTCATAGGCAGCATTCCTCCTCCTCCAAACACGGCGAGTTGAGTTGATGCCAAAGAGCTCCATTTTGGTCTCATCCGACCACAACACTTTCACCCAGTTCTCCTCTGAATCATTCAGATGTTCATTGGCAAACTTCTGACAGGAATGTATATGTGCTTTCTTGAGCAGGGGGACCTTGCGGGCGCTGCAGGATTTCAGTCCTTCACGCCGTAGTGTGTTACCAATTGTTTTCTTGGTGACTATGGTCCCAGCTGCCTTGAGATCATTGACAAGATCCTCCCGTGTAGTTCTGGGCTGATTCCTCACCGTTCTCATGATCATTGCAACTCCACGAGGTGAGATCTTGCATGGAGCCCCAGGCCGAGGGAGATTGACAGTTATTTTGTGTTTCTTCCATTTGCGAATAATCGCACCAACTGTTGTCACCTTCTCACCAAGCTGCTTGGCGATGGTCTTGTAGCCCATTCCAGCCTTGTGTAGGTCTACAATCTTGTCCCTGACATCCTTGGAGAGCTCTTTGGTCTTGGCCATGGTGGAGAGTTTGGAATCTGATTGATTGATTGCTTCTGTGGACAGGTGTCTTTTATACAGGTAACAAGCTGAGATTAGGAGCACTCCCTTTAAGAGTGCGCTCCTAATCTCAGCTCGTTACCTGTATAAAAGACACCTGAGAGCCAGAAATCTTTCTGATTGAGAGGGGGTCAAATACTTATTTCCCTCATTAAAATGCAAATCAATTTATAACATTTTTGACAAGCGTTTCTCTGGATTTTTTTGTTATTCTGTCTCTCACTGTTGAAATAAACCTACCATTAAAATTATAGACTGATAATTTCTTTGTCAGTGGGCAAACGTACAAAATCAGCAGGGGATCAAATACTTTTTTCCCTCACTGTATATTTTGTTTACTTTATTGCATGTTATATCAGCTACTTAAAGTGCACACTACGGGAGAAGTGTGGAGATTGGGATGCAGTCTATGTTGGCTTTTCAAGCAGTTGGGAGTAGTGAGTTCATCACAGGAGGTTGGTGGCACCTTAATTGGGGAGGACGTGCTCGTGGTAATGGCTGGAGCGGAATAAGTGGAATTGTATCAAATACATCAAACACGTTTTCCATGTGTTTGATGCCATTCCATTTACTCTGTTCCAGCCATTATTATGAGCCGTCCTCCCCTCAGCAGCCTCCACTGGAGTTCATTACCCTGCAGACTGGTACATGTCCCCCTACACCTTGAGTTAGTTACCCTGCTGTTGGCAGACTCGTACATATCCCCTTCCACCTTCCTAGCGTACGCCACCAGGTTCTCCATCCGCCGGTCCTTCAGTGCTGCGGGGTCTGGGGTGGGGAATATGGCTTGTACTCTGCAGGAGGACATGGAGAAGAAGGGATGGTGGAGGGAAAGAGGGACAGTATAAAGGGAGAATTAAAAAGTGAGTTGGAGTAGAGAGTGGCAACCTCAATGTGTCTCAATAATCTGAAAATTGCATTTCCTTTCATAACACAGACCTGAACGGGCTAGGTAAGTGTACACAATGGTCCAATCCCAAATGGTCCAACTCCTATACCCTTAGCCATATGGTGGCAAAGCCATGTGGGTTGCCCACCTATTTAACCCTGATAGATTAATGGTCATCGAGGAGAGAAAACATTGAAGGGAGGGAATGCAAGCGTCTTGGTGGTACTTACAGTTTGTGCACCAGGTGGGTGCGTAGGTCCTGAGTGACGTGCTCGTGCCACGTCTTCCTCACCCCCGAGGCGGAGAGAGGGTTGGCGCCAGGCAGGTTGCCCATGCCCCCCATGCCCAACCCGTCTGGCATCAACTGACTGGAGAACGGAGAGAAAGAGAGGAGAGCAAGATCACTAAGGAAACATGTTAACATAAGCGTAACACCAAGGTAACTATGAGAGAATAACTTGTGTAATGCTGTGTGTCAGGTAACTAAGTAGAAACAGTGGCATTGTAGCTATCAGGGATGTAACCCCAATTTCAGCCTTTGCCCAACCCCTTCATATATTCAAAAAATGCATTCAGGTGAGAAATGGTGGGTGGGGGAAATTGCTCATACATTTTCATTTTGGGGGTGGGTAAACATAGTGGTACCTGATCCCGACACTTTCTCACTAAAGAATACTTACCAGAAAATCCACTGGCATGCTCTGATAATAACATTGTGTGCATTGCGAGCCAATATGGACTGTTAACTCAGTGGTAAGGTGGCGAGTTCCTGACACCTATTGTCACTTGTGGAGTAAGTTTGAATCCCCCATGGGGCGTAAAAAAATATTTCAAATGTGGACTCACATTTATTGCGGTACTGTGTTGGGAGAAAAAAAAGTGCAATCACCACCTTGAAAATTAAGATATGGGGCTCAATTCAATCCAACCCGCACTGCAGTATTTATGCAGTAGCTCTTTTTCCAATTATCAAATTAACTCACAGATTGGTCTTGGGTACTGTATAAAAACCTACAACTACTACCAGGGCGACCCCTCTCACAGGTATGCTTTCACTTTTCAAAATTAGAAGTGTGTGGGCACGGGATGAATATTATAAATAAAGGATTATTTAATTTGATATCTGCCACATGTAGGATTAGAACTAACATCCATTGAACTATGAGCCAACTGTTTTAGCACACTGCGGCACCAATCAGTCATAGGGAAAGAATACAACGAGTTGACATGACCACGATTGTCATCCATTTCTTATTACGATGGATGTAGCTACGAATATAAACGTATAACCCTCAGACTACATGTTTGTTTTTCTTTGTAAACATGTAGATTTGTATGAAACGGTAAACAAAACCATTTCATTTGGTCATATGCGGAAATGTGCTTTACTGCCTTCTGAATTATGTGTAACATCAGTGGTCTAGTCAAGGAAGCGTCATGCTAAATATATTGATTGGCACAGTCCACTTACCAAGACCATTGCCAAATAAAGCGCACTGTCACCTGCTTTTATAGTAAGCCTTGAGGTGGTACCACCCAGCACTAGAAGGGAGTGTATTTCATACCAAACTCCTCCCCTTGAGATGACGTAGAGGCACCTTCTCTACATCACGATTATAATGGTAGAGTTAAACCAATAGGGGCAAAAAGAGCTAGATTTACTACTAAAATAACACTTTTGCAACAAACTATCAAAATGAAGACCAGAATTGACTTTTCACTATAACTAAGCCTAAAACCTTGTTTTTTTGCAGAATGTTTTCTTTCTTCATGAAAGTTACTATTTAAATTGAGCTCCAAAAGTATTGGGACAGTGACACATTGTTGTTTTGGCTCTGTACTCCAGCACTTTGGATTTGAAATTATACAATGACTATGAGGGTAAAGTGCAGACTGTTAGCTTTAATATGAGGGTATTTCCATCCATATCATATGAACCGCTTAGAAATTACAGCACTTTTTCCATACAGTGCATTCAGAAAGTATTCAGACCCCTTCACTTTTTCCACATTTTGTTACGTTGCAGCCTTATTCTAAAATTGATTAAACAGTTTTTTCCCCCCTCATCAATCTACACACAATACCCCATAATGACAAAGCAAAAAAAGTTTTTTTGGAAATTTTGGAAAATGTATAAAAAATAAAAACAGAAATATCACAATTACATAAGTATTCAGACTCTTTACTCAGTAATAATAATAATATGCCATTAAGCATTTTTACGTATGGTGGTCCCGGGGATCGAACCCACTACCCTGGCGTTACAAGCGCCATGCTCTACCAATTGAGCTAGTCTTCTTGAGTCTTCTTGGGTATGACACTACAAGCATGGCACACCTGTATTTGGAGAGTTTCTCCCGTTCTTCTCTGCAGATCCTCTCAAGCTCTGTTAGTGAGAAAGTTAGATGGACAAATATCATACCCCCACAAAAATGCTAACCTCCCGTTATTGTAATGGTGAGAGGTTAGCATGTCTTGGGGGCATGATATTTGTGCGTCTAACTTTCTCAATCATCATTCACGATTCATTCAGAACTATCTGTAATCATAGTAGCATCCACATTAATGTAGAAGTCTTTGTAAATAAGAATAGAATATGTTTCTAATCAAAGAGACTCCAAAATGACACAATACATTATTTACCATTCATTTCATTTCTATTGGGCACAAAATAATCTGAAACACAACCAAAACAAACAGCAAATGCATCCAACTAGTTTGTTGAGTCGCTAGCTTGATGTAATCATTGCGTGCTAGGAATATGGGACCAAATAATACACTTTTGACTATTTTAATACACATAAGTGAATTTGTCCCAATATTTTTGGACTATGTACAAAAAGTGCTGTAATTTCTAAAATGGTTCACCCGATATGGACGAAAAAACCCTCAAATTAAAGCTGAGACTGCACTTTAACCTCAGTCATTGTATCATTTCAAACCCAAAGTGCTGGGGTACAGAGCCAAAACAAACAAAAAATCCCTCTCCCAATACTTTTGGAGCGCTGCTGTACACTGCGGTGAGCCCAGCTTCGTACCATCCAGTTGGAGTTAACTAGGGCATAGAATTCAGAGAGACAATCCAAACGGGTTAGTGGACTTTAGTGGACTCACTTGTTGAGCGACGAGGGGAGCGAGGAGTCTGAGTGCATGCCGGTCTCCGAGGGCACGCCCATCCCTCCTCCGGCCATGTTCATGTTAGTGCCTGGGAGAAAACACAGCCAACCAGAGTCAGCATTACAACCAAAACAGTGACCAATACCCTCACTATACCCCTTTGACGCATCACACCTGACCCTTATACAGAGAACTACACCAAAATGAATTAACGAGTCAACCAATCAAACAAACAATTCATTGTTTATTTAACCATTTCATGTGTCATCCTCTGGAATTTCAAACTGTGCATATTTGCAAACCCAAAATTCTATTCAGTTGAATCAATCTTATGCGTCTATCAACCCATTTTTACATTTACGATTTAGTCATTTAGAAGATGCTCTTATCCAATTGTCCTGAAGTGCTTTACAGTAATCTAGCCTAGAGACCCAATGAGACCAAGCAACAGTCTGACCTAGTGCATTGATGGAGCGTAGCTGCTGCCCTCCCTGGGCTGTGTTCTGTCCTCCCTGTCCCTGAGCAGCGGACTGGTTACCGTAGGGCAGGCCCAGGGCGGCGTAGGCCCGCTGCATGGAACTGGGGTCGATGTGCCCGCTGCTGGCACTGCCACTGTTCATGGAGGAACCCGGGGAGCTGCCGGGAGGGCCCGTGCCCACCGTGGCACTGATGGCACTCTGCAGGCTAGCACCGGGCGAACCCAGCATGGCTGGAGAGAGAGTGGAGACATTTTTTAGAGAAGAGTGGGGAGAGGAAGAGAAGAGTGGGGGGGGGGGGGGGGGGGGAGAGACAGAAAGTGGAGAGGAGAAGGAGATGTGAGTAATTATGCACACTATTGCACATAACTCCCGTCCCTCCCCCATTTTTCTCATTGACAACAAAACAGAACTACCTTTAGGACTTGGCTTGGGCCTATGTCAATAAACCATTAGTACGCCCTTCCAGAAAAGGTCTGCCGTATGTTACGTTTGATGAAAAGCAATCTACTTACTTATTGGAAAGATTCTCATGGAAGTTATAAAACTCAAGAGTTGTTAAACCAAACAAATCTGTAAATCCTATATCCATATTTTTTACGATCTAAAATAATGTATTTATCTGTTTTCACCCAAAGATCCTACTACTGCTCTATACCTTACTGTATGTTGAACTGTGACAGGCAAAGTGTGTGTGCACGTTGCCTCTTTGGGGGATTTAAATCTGTCACTGCTCTTCAGGCCAATCAGAGAGCATGATCTCCCCGAGCCCCTCCCCCACTGTTAGAAGCTCCCGAGCCCCTCCCCCAGGGTGTCAGATTACAGGCCCATGGTTCTACAGGAATCCTTTATAGCCAGCGAGCCAGCACAGAGCGCAGCCAGGGATAAGGCCTGCAGGTGGCGCCACTGAAAACAACTTCACTCCACACATCCTTTCACTCACTCACTATAGGGTTCTATCCTCTCAGCTCAGCATGCTTCTCTGTTGACAATTTAGTTACATTGTAAAAAATTAAAATAAACCTTTACATCGCATTCCATTTATAGCTAAAGTGTGTTATAGTGTAAAATGCATCTGACTGTTGTAAATTCAATGTGTCAATGTTTTTGTATCTGTGCCTACAGTATGTAAATAACCTGAAATACAATTAAAATGTAATGTGGCTGAGGAGCCAGATTTCTGAATGAAAACTCAGTGCTGAGGGGCGACAACAACCGGTTTATCTGACCAAAAGTAATCTACAGTGCATTCGGAAAGTATTCAGACCCCTTCACTTTTTCCACATTTTGTTACGTTACAGCATTATTTTAAAAAAATTAAAACTATTTTTGCAAATGTATTAAAAATAAAAAAAACAGAAATATCTTATTTACATAAGTATTCAGACTCTTTGCTATGAGACTCGAAATTGAGCTCAAGTGCATCATGTTTCCATTGACCATCCTTGAGATGTTTCTACAACTTGATTGGAGTCCACCTGTGGTAAATTCAATTGATTGGACATTATTTGGAAATGCACACATCTGTCTATATAAGGTCCCACAGTTGACAGTGCATGTCAGAGCAAAATCCAAGCCATGAGGTCGAAGGAATTATTCGTAGAGCTCCGAGACAATCGGGGGAGAAGGGCCTTGGTCAGGGAGGTGACCAAGAACCCAATGGTCACTCTGACAGAGCTCCAGAGCTCCTCTGTGGAGATGGGAGAACCTTTCCTGAAGGACAACCATCTCTGAGGCACTCCACCAATCAGGCCTTTATGGTAGAGTGGCCAGACGGAAGCCACTCCTCAGTAAAAGGCACATGATAGCCCGCTTGGAGTTTGCCAAAAGGCACCTAAAGGACTCTCAGACCATGAGAAACAAGATTCTCTGGTCTGATGAAACCAAGATTGATCTCTTTAGCCTGTACACCAAGCGTCACATCTGGAGGAAACCTTGCACCATCCCTACGATGAAGTATGGTGGTGGCAGCATCATGCTGTGGGGATGTTTTTCAGTGGCAGGGACTGGGAGACTAGTCAGGATTGAGGGAAAGATGAACGGAGCAGAGTACAGGAGATTCTTGATGAAAACCTGCTCCAGAGCGCTCAGGACCTCAGACTGGGGCGAAGGTTCCCCTTCCAACACGACAACGACCCTAAGCACACAGCCAAGACAACGCAGGAGTGGCTTCGGGACAAGTCTCTGAATGTCCTTGAGTGGCCCAGCCAGAGCCCGGACTTGAACCCGATCGAACATCTCTGGAGATACCTGAAAATAGCTGTGCAGCGACGCTCCCCATCCAACCAGACAGAACTTGAGAGGATCTGCAGAGAAGAATGGGAGGAACTCCACAAATACAGGTGTGCTAAGTTTGTAGTGTCATACCCAAGAAGACTCGAGGATGTAAATCGCTGCCAAAGGTGCTTCAACAAAGTACAGAAAAAAGGGTCTGAATACTTATGTAAATGTTATATTTCCGTTTTTTTTATTTGTAATAAATTTACAAAAATTATGGGGTATTGTGTGGACGTAGATTGATGAGGGAAAAAACGATTGAATCCATAACGTAACAAAATGTAGAAAAAGACAAGGGCTCTGAATACTTCCCGAATGCACTGTATCTACTTGAATGGCTATGCTAATGCAAAATCACCTGTATGGGAGGATATTCACAATACCCAACGTCTCACACACACACACACACACACACACACACACACACGCACACGCACACGCACACGCACGCATGCGATGGAGTAAAGGGTCCTAGGGGAAAAACAACAGGTACTCACGCTGCTGGTTCCTTTTGTCGCTGGCGTTCTTCAGCGGCAGGCAGACGGGACAGTCGTGCCGCGTGCAGTTCTTCCAGTGAGAGATTATCTGTCTGGACGACGCACAGTGAGCCACTGTGGGGGGATAGAGGGGTAAGAGAGGAAGACAGAAGGGAAATAGGAGAGATTGAATGAAAGATAGAAAAAGAGCGACAAAGATGAAAGAAAGAGGGATGACAGAAGAGGGATGACAGAAGAGGGATGACAGAAGGCAACGAGTCATTGAAAAACACATACAGTAGCTATGACAAGATGATCACTTATATGACAACATAAAAACTGGCCAAAACACTTGAGCACATAAAAATATGCTTTTGCCCAGTAAATCACAGTCAAAGAAAAAACATAAATCATAAAACGACGTGCCTATTCCCGAGCCGAAGGTGACTGTTGCCTAACGGGCCCTGTGCACACAGTCAGATAATTGCTGTAATAGATTTGATTTACACCCAGGGAATGTAAGTAAATGGTGTGATTGCTCAGGAGGAAGACACCAATAACAGGATGATTAGGGGCTTTAGAGACACATGGTGGTAAAAATCCTAACTTCCACTTAAATCGAATCGTCACTTAGTCTACATTTTTCTTCAACGAGTCGGACGCGAAGGATATTCTACAGACACCAGACAAGGCCCAAATCCCCGTCATTCGCATGAGAAAGAGACGGAGATATCGTGGACGTAGGTCGGGGTGCCTTGTAAGGATCCGACGGCGAGCGAGTAAACCGCCTCTTCCATCAATCCTATTAGCCAATGTTCAATCATTTGAAAATAAATTGGACAACATAAGACTAAGGATATCCTACCAACGGGACATTAAAAACTGTAATATCTTATGTTTCACCGAGTCGTGGCTGAACGACGACATGGACAACATACAGCTGGCGGGATATACGCTACATCGGCTGGATAGAACGGCTGACTCCGGTAAGACAAGGGGTGGCGGTCTGTGTATATTTGTAAACAACAAAATCTAATACTAAGGAAGTCTCGAGGTTTTGCTCGCCTGAGGTAGAGTATCTCATGATAAGCTGTAGATCAGACTATTTACCAAGAGAGTTTCTCTATATTTTTCGTAGCTGTCTATTTACCACCACAAACCAATGCTGGCACTAAGATTGCACTCAATGAGCTGTATAAGGCCATAAGTAAACAGGAAAACGCTCATCCAGAGGCAGCGCTCCTAGTGGCCGGGGACTTTAATGCAGGGAAACTTAAATCAGTTCTACCTCATTTCAACCAGCATGTTAAATGTGCAACCAGAGGAAAAAAATACTCTCGACCACCTTTACTCCCGTAGCACTCACGTCTGTAGCCATGAAGTGCTTTGAAAGGCTGGTCATGGCTCACATCAACACCATTATCCCAGAAAACCTAGACCCACTCAAATTTGCATACCGCCCCAACAGATCCACAGATGATGCAATCTCTATTGCACTCCACACTGCCCTTTCCCACCTGGACAAGAGGAACACCTACGTGAGAATGCTATTCATTGACTACAGCTCAGCGTTCAACACCATAGTGCCCTCAAAGCTCATCACGAAGCTAAGGACCCTGGGACTAAACACCTCCTTCTGCAACTGGATCCTGGACTTCCTGACGAGCCGCCCCCAGGTGATAAGGGTAGGTAACAACACATCTGCCACGCTGATCCTCAACACGGGGCCCCTCAGGGGTGCGTGCTCAGTCCCCTCCTGTACTCCCTGTTCACCCATGACTGCATGGCCAGGCACGACTCCAACACCATCATTAAGGTTGCCGACGACAAAACAGTGGTAGGCCTGATCACCGACAACGATGAGACAGCCTATAGGGAGGTGGTCAGAGACCTGGCCGTGTGGTGCCAGGATAACAACCTCTCCCTCAACGTGATCAAGACAAAGGAGATGATTGTGGACTACAGGAAAAGAAGAGGACCGAGCACGCCCCATTCTCATCGACGGGGCTGTAGTGGAACAAGTTGAGAGCTTCAAGTTCCTTGGTGTCCACATCACCAACAAACTATCATGGTCAAAACACACCAAGACAGTTGTGAAGAGGGCACGACAAAGCCTATTCCCCCTCAGCAGACTGAAAAGATTTGTCATGGGTCCTCAGAAAGTTCTACAGCTGCACCATCGAGAGCATCCTGCCCGGACTATTTGCATTACCCCCCCCCACCACAACCCCCTCTTTTACGCTGCTGCTACTCTTGTTTATTATTTATGCAGTCACTTTAACTCTACTCACATGTACATATTACCTCGACTAACCGGTGCCCCCGCACATTGACTCTGTACCGGTACCCCCTGTGTATAGCCTCCCTACTGTTATTTTATTTTACTGCTGCTCTTTAATTATTTGGTATTTTTTTTTTTTTACTGCATTGTTGGTTAAGGTCTTGTAAGTAAGCATTTCACTGTAAGGTCTACACCTGTTGTATTCAGCATGTGGCAAATTTGATTTGATCAACGCATTGACTGAAGTGGAAGTTAGGATTCACCCCTTCAAGAGTATAAAAGAGGTCATTCTACTCCTGCTAACATCAATAAGTCTCGGCACCAGAGTTTGTATTAACTAAAGAAAAGCCTCAAGTATTTGAGTTATCATTAAGTCACATGGCTTGTAGGTACGTGACATATTACACCACAAAATGTCAAACAAATACAAAATCGGAACCGGCAAACCCAAACAACGAGAGGCCATTTAAATAAACAAACACTAATATAAACCATTTTAAAAACACGTAAACAGCACAACCTAATTAAAAATCGGCTGAGACCTAGAACATCATATATCCTCATTTGACCTCGTCGTCATTAAAACACATTACCAATATGACTGGCACCATGGGGTTAAAGGTCAGAAGCCATTGACCTAGAGAGACCCTTTAATGTCCAGAGCAACGCGGGTCGGGAGGAAAGCTCCGTAGCCACCCAGACAGACCCAGTGTGGAGACTAAAGCCACTTGAGTATTTACATTAGGCCTAAGCACCCAGACAGGCTTTTAAAACAAGCCCTGGGATTTATAGCTGCTGGTGTCCTCACTATTAATATAGGCTGGAGCAGGCTTTCAGTCAGTCACAGGGGCAAACAGGAGGGAGGGAATGGAAGACAATGTTTCTTTCAAAATCCTCAATTCTGCACATCCTCTCTCTTCACTTCCTCCTCAAAACGCACAGAGAAGGTCAGAGGGCAGGGACCTTAGACCTTCTCCTCCAATACGGTTGAGAAGTAGTCGAGCAGATAGGATGCAAGGAATAGCAGAAAGACTAATTCAGATAGAGCCATGGAGGAGAGAGTGGCTTTAGGGACAGCAGAACAGAGAAAGGTAACCAACTGTTGACTTCACCAACGTCAATCAACAAACTATAGCCTTCTAAATGGCAGGAGGAGATATCCATGTCTCTTACATTAAATGGAGTAAAAATGACATCCAGTTGGACATTAACGAGTGTGTGTTCATTCATATTCACACAGGCTCAGTCCACCAACCCTTAACCAGCATCCAACACCACCCAACCTCCTTCCCCAGACACTCACCCTGGCAGGACTTGCCGGCCTGGCAGTGTGTCATGTGGTTGAGGACGTTCTTCATGGTGCGGCAGTGTGGCAGGGCGCAGGCCCGCACCTCCCCATTGGCCTGCTCCCGCCGCTGGCACTTGTGGGCGTGGAGCAGCAGGACCAGCTGCTGCTGGATGAGCTTGCGCTTCTCTGGGTCGGCTGTGTGGCCTGCCGCCGCAGCAGCCACCCCGCCGCCGCTGGGGACCATGGAGGATACCTGCTGCTGCATCTGGGCCTTGGGAGGGGAAACGCACCAAATAAGGAAGTGAGGTAGACTGGATTTATTTGAAACAGCTTGAATTGGAACTGGATTGCTTGATCCTGGATCTGAGGTTTGATGAGGGAGAAAGAGAGAGGGAAAACATTTGTGTGAGAAAGAGTGTGGGTGTGGGTGTGGGTGTGGGGGGGGGGGGAGCGGAGAACAGAGAAAGAACAATTCCCAGACAGAGAATAATGGGACGAGGCCAACGAATGAATCAAAAAGAAAGAAAAGCAGAGAAGCCACACAAAAAAAAGGCCTAGTAAACATCCAACTACTTCACATAAGACTCCTTTAACCTTTAACCAAAATAGAAACGCTTTCAACTATTTCCTCTGTAATGAGTTCATTAGGCCCTTTTCCTGTTCCTGGGAGAGAGACTTGCATGCAGTATTTACTCAGTGCCTTGAAAGAGACCCCTCTCTTTTTCTCATTCTCTCTCTGCACAACTAGGATAACTGCTCAACAATATTCTGAGTGGACTGCCTTTTAACAAATGTTTCCCCCTTCCGGCACTCTCTCATTCTGCATTCCAGGCCTGGCTTTTTGGAGAGGGAAGAGAAATATGTCGGAATAATTGTTCCAATACCGTGGCGGTGGGAACTGCACCGTTATTCAAAGCCAATGCAGAGACGAATGGACTCGCAGACTTCGGTTTAGTTGTGTCACTACGTAAGACTAGATCTGAAAGGATTTGATAGGTGTTAGCGATATGGTAATACATCTTTGTCCTCTGATAGGCAAGGGGTAATTTTCACTGTATTGCTTCAACCAATCCTCTCAGAGTAAATAGGACGTAGGATCTAAGGGTCAATGATAGGGGTTTTAGAGACCCCTCCTCTAACTAGGAAATGATCTAATCTCTTCAGTGTTCACAGATCTGAAAGGACTGGATAAGTCAAATCAAATTTTAATTTGTCACATGCGCCGAATACAACAGGTGTAGTAGACCTTACCGTGAAATGCTTACTTACAAGCCCTTAACCAACAATGCAGTTCAAGAAATAGCATTTAAAAAAAAAACATGGGTACTGTAAGTGTACACATTAATATGACGATGGTGTCACTTAACCCTCCGATAAACTGAGTGGAGCTTCCACATAGTATGGTCAGTCCTTTCATATCTGCTAACACCAAGAGGATAGGGGCAGGGTTACAACAAGTCTGAAACTCAAGGCACGGGGACCACATCAGGCCCGAGAGCTGCTTTTTGTGGTCCCCCAGACAGATATTGGATTCCAACTGGTTAAGGGGGCTAGACGAAGAGGCAAGAGATCCAAATGGAACCAGACCTTTCCCAGAACCCTTTGTTTGGGTTGTCATGTAATCTAAACGCAGGTTTGCATTTCTCCTTTTCTACGAAGTTGGAGGAACTTACCAGGTTTGGCACGCTGCCGGCCCCCTTCAGGTCGCTGGGGAAGGGGGGCAGGCTGTTGGCAAGAGCCGCCTTGTTCTGGAGCTGCTGCTGGGTGTTCACCCCCATCTGCTGCTGGACCCCTCCCTGGCCATACTGCTGCCCAAACGGACTGCCAGCCATACCCATCTACAGAGAAAGAGAAAGAGAAAGAAAGAGAGAGAAAGAGGACAGGGGATTAGGACAATCACTGAGGTGAACCGGTCTCTGCTCATGAGTTTCAAAACGAGTCAAGAAGGATCACGACGATGTATGATTTGGGACTGTAAAACCGTGAAACTAACTAATTGGGTTAAAATGAAATTGGGGCCCCAATATTGCAAAGGCACAGCCACAGGTTTCCCCACTGCACACAATACCAAAGAGCCTAGTGTTTGAGCACTGATTCCGTGGGAAGTGTCTAGAAGGGGAGAGTGACGTGCAATGGCAGGTCTGACGGTTGACGTGTCTCTACGTGGTTGAGATAAGAGGAAGTGGCCCCTGTTACAAGGCCTCCCCAAATCACGCCATCTCTTAACCACAACAACATCTAATATTAAACAAAGGAGAGCACCTAAACCTAACACAGGCTAGGTATAGATATGAATATATGTCTTACAAGTTACTTGTAGAAGATTGTACATGTAGGATCTTGTGGAGGAGCCCATTGAAACGGATGAAAATAGGAGAGCGGTCAGATGCAATGTGACATGGATATTATTGCAACAGGTCCGTGTCCCCCTGTCTTTATAACGGCCAAACCCAAAAACGGGCAAATAAGGAAACAGAGCTATGAAAGAAACATTTACCCATGGGTGGTGGCCAAATCCCGTCCATTTATGTATCCATCTAGCATCATTAAACTTCCTTGACTGGCTTCTCAACACATAGAATACACTATATTTCAGAGCCAACAGGTGGTGCAAGATCTGCTGCAGGCATGGAGAGAATAGTAAAATAACTAGTGCTGAACAGTGTGCAGCTGCAGGCACCTGCAATCTCTTTAGAATAAAACAAACACTCATTTTGATCTTCCAATATGACCAATAAGGTTTAACCCATGTAGGTGTGCAGTCATTTATCGGTTTAATTACCCCGTGCAATTATGACATTACGCTGAGTATACCAAACATTAGAAACACCTTCCTAATATTGAGTTGCACCCCCTTTTGCCCTCAGAACAGCCTAAATTTGTCAGGGCATGGACTCTACAAGTTGTCGAAAGTGTTCCACAGGGATGCTGGCCCATGTTGACACCAATGCTTCCCACAGTTCAGTCAAGTTGGCTGGATGTCCTTTGGGTGGTGGACCATTGTTGATACACACGGGAAACTTTTGAGCGTGAAAACCCCAGCAGCGTTGCAGTTCTTGACACAAACCGGTGCGCCTGGCACCTACTGCCATACCCTGTTCAAAGGCACTTACAGTGCATTTGGAAAGTATTCAGACCACTTCATTTTTTCCACATATTACTTTATAGCCTTATTCTAAAATGGATTGAATTGTTTCCCCCCCCTCAATCTGCACACAATACCCCAAAATGACAAAGCAAAAACAGGTTTGTAGATTTTTTTGCAAATTTATTTAAAAATAGAAAACGTAAATATCACATTTACATAAGTATTCAGACCCTTTACTCAGTACTTTGTTGAAGTACCTTTGGCAACGATTACAGCCTTGAGTCTTCTTGGGTATGACACAAGCTTGGCACACCTGTATTTGGGGAGTTTCTACCATTCTTCTCTGCAGATCCTCTCAAACGCTGTCAGGTTGGATGGGGAGCGTCGCTGCACAGCTATTTTCAGGTCTCTCCAGAGATGTTCGATCGGGTTCAAGTCCGGGCTCTGGCTGGGCCACTCAAGGACATTCAGAGACTTGTCCCAAAGCCACCCGCTGCATTGTCTTGGCTGCGTGCTTAGGGCCGTTGTCCTGTTGGGAATTGAACCTTCGCCCCAGTCTGAGGTCCTGAGAGCTCTGGAGCAGGTTTTCATCAAGGATCTCTGTACTTTGCTCCATTAATCTTTCCCTTAATCCTGACTAGTCTCCCAGTCCCTGCCGCTGAAAAACATCCCAACAGCATGATGCTGCCACCACCATGCTTCACCGTAGGGATGGTGCAAGGTTTCCTCCAGATGAGACGCTTGGCATTCAGGCCAAAGAGTTCAATCTTGGTTTCATCAAACCAGAAAGTCTTGTTCCTCATGGTCCGAGAGTCCTTTAGGTGCCTTTTGGCAAACTCCAAGCGGGCTGTCATGTGCTTTTTAGTGAGGAGTGGCTTCCGTCTGGCCACTCTACCATTAAGGCCTGATTGGTGGAGTGCCGCAGAGATGGTTGTCCTTCTGGAAGGTTCTCCAATCTCCACAGAGGAACTCTAGAGCTCTGTCAGAGTGACCATCGGGTTCATTGTCACCTCCCTGACCAAGGTCCTTCTAACCCGATTGGTCAGTTTGGCCGGGCGGCCAGCTCTAGGAAGAGTCTTGGTGGTTTCAAACTTCTTCCATTTAAGGATGATGGAAGCCACTGTGTTCTTGGGGACCTTCAATGCTGCAGACATTTTTTGGTACCCTTTCCCAGATCTGTGCCTCGACACAATCCTGTCTAGGAGCTCTACGGACAATTCCTTCGACCTCATGGCTTGGTTTTTGCTCAGACATGCACTGTCAACTGTTGGACCTTAAATAAGACAGGCGTGTCTTTCCAAATCATGTCCAATCAATTGAATTGACCACAGGTGGACTCCAATCAAGTTCAATCAAGTCACCATGGCACACATACAAAATCCATGTCTCAATTGTCTCGAGGCTTAAAAATCCTTCTCTAACTCGTATCCTCCCCTTCATCTACATTGATTGAAGTGGATTTAACAACTGACATCAATAAGGGATCATACAGTTGAAGTCGGAAGTTTACATACACCTTAGCCAAATACATTTTAAACTCAGTTTTTCACAATTCCTGACATTTAATCCTAGTAAAAATTCCCTGTCTTAGGTCAGTTAGGATCACCACTTTATTTTAAGAATGTGAAATGTCAGAACAATAGTGGCGAGAATGATTTATTTCAGCTTTTATTTATTTCATCACATTCCCACTGGGTCTGAAGTTTACATACACTCAATTAGTATTTGGTAGCATTGCCTTTAAATTGTTTAACTTGGGTCAAACGTTTCGGGTAGCCTTCCACAAGCTTCCCACAATAAGTTGGGTGAATTTTGGCCCATTCCTCCTGACAGAGCTGGTGTAACTGAGTCAGGTTTGTAGGCCTCCTTGCACACACACGCTTTTTCAGTTCTGCCCACAAATGTTCTATAGGATTGAGGTCAGGGCTTTGTGATGGCCACTTCAATACCTTGACTTTGTTGTCCTTAAGCCATTTTGCCACAACTTTGGAAGTATGCTTGGGGTCATTGTCCATTTGGAAGACCCATTTGCGATCAAGCTTTAACTTCCTGACTGATGTCTTGAGATGTTGCCTCAATATATCCACATAATTTTCCTTCCTCATGATGCCATCTATTTTGTGAAGTACACCAGTCCTTGCTGCAGCAAAGCACCCCCACAGCATGATGCTGCCACCCCCGTGCTTCACGTTTGGAATGGTGTTCTTCGGCTTGCAAGCTGTCCCCTTTTTCCTCCAAACATATTGATGGTCATTATGGCCAAACAGTTATAATTTTGTTTCATCAGACCAGAGGACATTTCTCCAAAAAGTATGATCTTTGTCCCCATGTGCAGTTGCAAACCGTAGTCTGTCTTTTTTTATGGCGGTTTTGGAGCATTGGCTTCTTCCTTGCTGAGCGGCCTTTCAGGTTATGTTGATATAGTACTTGTTTTACTGAGGATATAGATACTTTTGTACCGGTTTCCTCCAGCATCTTCACAAGGTCCTTTGCTGTTATTCTGGGATTGATTTGCACTTTTCAGACAGAACGCGTCTCCTTCCTCAGCGGTATGACGGCTGCGTGGTCCCATGGTGTTTATACTTGCGTACTATTGTTTGTACAGATGAACGTGGTACCTTCAGGCGTTTGAAAACTGCTCCCAAGGATGAACCAGACTTGTAGAGGTCTACAATTTTTTTTCGGAGGTCTTGGCTGATTTCTTTTGATTTTCCCATGATGTCAAGCAAAGAGGCACTGAGTTTGAAGGTAGGCCTTGAAATAAATCCACAGGTACACTTCCAAATGACTCAAATTATGTCAATTAGCCTATCAAAAGCTTCTAATGCCATGACATCATTTTCTGGAATTTTCCAAGCTGTAAGTGTATAGCTCAGGTCTTAAAGGGGCAATCAGCAGTTGCTACATCCATTTTTTGACTTAATGATATGTACCCATGTACCCAAGAAATGCCTCACTAGCTTACAATGTCATACTCCACCAGAACCCAAAATGTAAGCTCGTTTTACTCCAATATTTGTAAACAAAGTAAATGTAAACAAACACTGTCTAGCCTCAAAACTATACTTTTGATATCAAAGACTGTCGTTGCATCCATAGCTCGGTCTATGAATTTGAGAGTGGTTACATTTCCCAAACCCCATCCCGAGAACGATTTGTTATTGTTTGAACTGCTTATTGCCACTTTAATATGTTGGATGACTAGCAATCGAGCATACTAACCTAATCCCTGTCTCCAAACTCCATCCCTCTCCTGGTGTGCATGTGTACACAGCCCTGCCTGCTCTGCTCTAGCAGCATGCTCTTTTACTGTGCTCTGCTGTGCTTAGTGGAGGGGAGAGGAGAGAGAGGAGGAGGCTCTCCCACTGCTGTCAGCGCTCCAGCAGACAGATGAAAGAGCCAGAGACTAGCAGCAGCCACGCTCAGCTCAACAGCTGAGCTCTAGTCTGCTGTCGTGCGTCTGCCCCTCCCCCTACACACACAAAGAGTGGAGCGCTGACGCTCCTGACTTCCGCTCTGCCTCACGTACACTTTAGTTTTAGTCTCCCACAAACAAACACTCTCACGGTCCCTGTCTAGCACAGGCAGGCTTAGTGACTGGCAAACAAACTCACTTCAAGCTTCAACTTTGTTATTCCTTTTTACAGGCTAGATCTTGCTCCAACTAGGCTAGATCTTGCTCCAACTCTAGGCCAGCTCCAGCTCTTGCTCCCACTCTAGGCCAGCTCTTGCTCCAACTCTAGGCCAGCTCTTGCTCCAACTCTAGGCCAGCTCCAGCTCTTGCTCCCACTCTAGGCCAGCTCTTGCTCCAACTCTAGGCCAGCTCTTGCTCCAACTCTAGGCCAGCTCTTGCTCCAACTCTAGGCCAGCTCTTGCTCCAACTCTAGCTCTTGCTCCAACTCTAGCTCTTGCTCCAACTCTAGCTCTTGCTCCAACTCTAGCTCTTGCTCCAACTCTAGCTCTTGCTCCAACTGAGCTGGATAATTTATTTGGCACATCTTAGATAGTTAACTTATAGTTATAAGCAGTGGCGTGTGGCGTCCCCACCCCCCAGCTTTAGGGCACCCCAACACACACATGTCCCCTTTACAGCTCCATTATGAGCCAAGGGGCCAGCACACACAGAACGGGAAGAGAAAGAAAACAAGAGCGAGAGAGAGAGAGACCAAGTGGTCTTCTGTCACAAGGTTGTTGTTGTCCCTCTGTTTCAAATAGTTCTCTCATGTTGTTGTGCCTACTGAATCCCACAGAGACCACCACATTTCTGTGAATGGCAGCAGTAGGTGTACTCTAGCTAGCAGGGGTGCAGTTTGTGAAGCACGTCTGCTCATCGAAGTTGGGGTGAATTCTATTTCAATTCAGGAAGTACACTGAAATTCCAATTCTCTTCAATTAGAAAAATTTGGAATGAAGATGTTCGTTTAGCATACTGTCTAAATTGAATGGAATTGACCCCAACCCTGCTGCTGATCATTACAAATACCCAGAACGGTGGGCTGACACTCTGGTGTCTGCCACACTTCAGCAGCACGCGTTAGTCTTGTGGCAGCTGTGCAATGTCAATACTGCCAGAGCCAGCAACAGCTCTTTCATCTAGCAACCACAGCCTAACCAACGTACCATTGCACGTACACACTAGCCTCCACAGCTTCAAATCACTCTTTCAATATGTCCTTCATTTCTTTCTCTCCATTACTATCCATTTCTCTTGGCAGTAGGTTAGATGGTGAAGATGCACTCAACGTCCTATCAACACCCAGGGTTGACGCTGCTACTGTTGCTGGGGCGTAACTATGGAAAATTTGCAGAAAACTGTAGACATGATATTACTCACTGTCAGTCTTGCACAGTATTGTGTAAGAAAGCAAAGTTGGGCACTCAAGTGCGTGTCAGCGAGCCCGGGGGTTTGTTTAATGTGGTGACGGCCTGCATGTGTCGAGTGTGTATGAACTAGGAAGCTGGTTTCCCCTTGGTTTCTTGTCAAGCCACAACAGTAGCAGATAAGACCCGTAGATATCCATGAAATTATCACTACCACAGAACTACTACTACGCGCTTTTCACATCAACATATAAAGCTAGTCTTCCTCTTGTTTCTTTCTCTGCACAGAATCAAGACATTACTTGTTATCAGTATGTTGCCTTTGCAGAAACAGAAAAATATCCCTTCACCCTCCATCAATAATTTATATCCACATTCTAAAACAACTTGAAGCAAGTAAATAGTAGGCCTAAGTCTATGGGTTATGAATGAAATATCAAGCTATATTTTATATGGGCCTAATGCTCCATGCTTTCGCCTCAGCCTTCCCTACAAGCAAGACAGGCAAGGGAATACCTATATACACCTCATACGATATGAGACTGTTACCCTGCTGTCTGCTCTGACTCCAGTAGCTACAACCAGCTAGCTAAGCAAGGGAATCCAGTGGATAACGTTAGTATTGATCCGCTATGGAGACCTCTGACTCCAGTAGCTACAGGCAGAATCCCGTTATTGGAAAAGGCTGTTCTGAGGGCAGGCCTGTGCTCCTAACATGCTATGAAAGGTCACTTCTGCTGTACTGAAGGGATGTATTCAACACCCCAGCTGGGTGTCCTGTTCCTCCAACAATCCCAGGGTAAGCTTACAGATGGATGTGTGGGAGACAAGGATGCATCAGAGAGAGGGAGACCAACAGATGTATGTGTACACGTATTGACCAACAGGGATTATAGCGCTCAAGCAGTACAAGAACAATGCACACTCACACTCCGATTCTCTCACACACACACAGTGAGTGTATCAAGAGATCAGTCTATATGAGCAGGGAATCCCTGTTCCAAACAGAGAGACATGACTTTGCATCTCATAGCTCAACAGTGATGAGCAGGGATACCAGAGCTGTACCGATGCCACCAAACCAACATCAAGCTTCCTATCTGGACAGACAGACGTACCGATGCAAAGCATGCATGGAACGGACAATGCAATGAACAAGCCATTAAGAAAGCATTGCTCTCAAAGCATGGGAAGACTATGGGACACAGTAAAGCAAGGACATCATTTCCCACTCCCATCTGTGTCAAGACTGGATGAATATAATGAAACAATCTAATCAAAAAGGTGAGATATATACAGTACCAGTCAAAAGTTTGGACACACCTACTCATTCCAGGGTTTTTCTTTATTTTTACTATTTTCTACTTTGTAGAATAATAGTGAAGACATCAAAACTATGAAATAACACATATGGAATCATGTAGTAACCAAAAAAGTGTTACACAAATCAAAATATATTTGATATTTGAGATTCTTCAAAAGTAGCCACCCTTTGCCTTGATGACAGCTTTGCACACTCTTGGCATTCTCTCAACCAGCTTCACGAGGTAGTCACCTGGAATGCATTTCAATTAACAGGTGTGCTTTGTTAAAAGTTACATTTGTGGAATTTCTTTCCTTCTTAATGCGTTTGAGCCAATCAGTTGTGTTGTGACAAGGTAGGGGTGGTATACAGAAGATAGCCCTATTTGGTAAAAGACCAAGTCCATATTATGGCAAGCTCAAATAAGCTGTGAAGGTCAGTCAATACGGGAAATTCCAAGAACTTTGAACGTTTCTTCAAGTGCAGTCGCAAAAACCTTCAAGCGCTATGATGAAACTGGCTCTCATGAGGACCGCCACAGGAAAGGAAGTACACAGAGTTACCTCTGCTGGATAAGTTCATTAGAGAGTTACCAGCCTTAGAAATTGTAGACCAAATAAATGCTTCAAAGTTCAAGTAACAGACACATCTCAACATCAACTGTTCAGAGGAGACTGCGTGAAGCAGACCTTCATGGTCGAATTGCTGCAAAGAAACCACTACTAAAGGACACCAATAAGAAGAAGACTTGCTTGGGCCAAGAAACACGAGCAATGGACATTAGACCGGTGGAAATCTGTCCTTTGGTCTGATGAGTCCAAATTTGAGATTTTTGGTTCCAACAGCTGTGTCTTTGTGAGACGCAGAGTAGGTGAATGGATGATCTCCGCATGTGTGGTTCCCACCGTAAAGCATGGAGGAGGTGGTGTGATGGTGCTTTGCTGGTGACACTGTGTGATTTATTTAGAATTCAAGGCACACTTAACCAGCATGGCTACCACAGCATTCTTCAGCGATACACCATTCCATCTGGTTTGCGCTTAGTGGGACTATCATTTGTTTTTCAACAGGACAATGACCCGACACACCTCCAGGCTGTGTAAGGGCTATTTGACCAAGAAGAAGAGTGATGGAGTGCTGCATCAGATGACCTGGCCTCCACAATCACCCGTCCTCAACCCAATTGAGATAGTTTGGGATGAGTTGGACCGCAGAGTGAAGGAAAAGCAGCCAGCAAGTGCTCAGCACATGTGGGCACTCCTTCAAGACTGTTGGAAAAGCATTCCAGGTGAAGCTGGTTGACAGAATGCCAAGCGCGTGCAAAGCTGTCAAGGCAAAGGGTGGCTACTTTAAAGAATCTCAAATATAAAATATATTTTGATTTGTTTAACACTTTTTTGGTTACGATTCCATGTGTGTTATTTCATAGTTTTGATGTCTTCACTATTATTCTACAATGTAGAAAATAGTAAAAATTAAGAAAAACCCTTGAATGAGCAGGTGTCCAAATCTTTGACTGGCACTGTATATAAATAAATAATTGACAAATGTATTTACTCCAGTTTTACAATCAAAAATCATACGGCAAGGCAATGAGTTTTCCTGGCCAGACTAGTCAAAACCCTAGGTCCCTAGTGAAGCCAGACAGTAAACAGACAGTACATGCACCAACACTCACCTTATTCATGTTGCCAGCCTGCTGGGTGTTCATGGTGTTGTGAGCTCCCATCTGCCCTCCCCCCTGAGCCAGAGTCTCAGCCAGCACACTGCTGCCTCCCGGCCCTGCGCCCCCCCCAGCATCCTGCATGGCCTGGACCTGATACTGCTGCAGCCCCAGCCTGCCCCGTCCCGCCGGCCCCAGGGCCCCGTTCATCACCTGGCCCGGCATCCCGTGTCCCTGGCTGTTCATCATAGCCTGGTTGAAGCCCGCCATGGAGCCGTTGCCTTGTTGTCCGCTGACGGGGCTTCCTTTCTGGGCTTGGTTGGGCGAGCCCTGGCCCATGGGGCCTTTCCCCATCATGGGGCCTTTCCCCATCATGGGGCCCATGCCGCCGGGCCCAGCACTGCCCGCCCTCAGGAGCTCCGACAGCTGCTTGTGCTTGGCGGCAGCATCAGGGACCATGGAGCCCAGGCCCCGGGGACCTCCTCCAGGCACTCCTCCTCCCCCGCCATTGGAGGACATGCCCATCAAGCCACCCAAGTCCCCAATTGGGATCAGCTCGTCCGGGAGGTCATTCTCCAGGTCGAACAGCGACACCAGGTCTAATGGAAGAAAAACATACAGTTTAGGTGGTGTCTTTCTACGCCTGTTCTCTCAGTAACTTTCAGTCATGATTTGCCTGTTGTTGTGCTTGTTTGACAAGACAAATTGTTGCTGTCAACATTAAGCGAAAGTCCCCACAGAACAGAATAGTATCCAATTCACAGGTTGTCAAAATGGCAGTCAGAGTGAGATAAAGGCTTTAGCCAGTTTACTATCAGCCTGTCTGACAGTGTTTAGCCTGGCTGTCAAAGTTAGCAATCCTCCAAACATAGTCCAGGAACAGAACGGACGACAGCACAATACACAAACACACTCTTACTGAAAGTCACATTTAGTAATGACACTATAGTACTGATGAACACGAAAGACACTCACATAACCTACACAGCCAGACACACACTGTCCCAGCTGCTGGAGATGCTAGCTTAAGCTACCCCTTCCTCTTCTCTCCGCTGCTGGATTGGGGCCCAAATGCTAATGTAGGACTGAAGAACTGCAGTCTGCTTGGAAGCTGTGCCGAGACATGTGTGCGTTTCTGCTCACCGTCTCTGGGTTCCCCTGTTCACTGCATAGAGCTCCCTGGCCAATTCCTAAAAATAGCCTAGCCGTGTACAAGGGTTTTCATTAGGAAAATGCGGTGCCTGAGATTTGACCGGCAGCATTTTAAATTTACCGAACATTTTAGAAATTTACCGGACCCATATGCATTGGGTGCGTAACCCGATTAGGGCGTCCACCCACGGTGTGCAGAATGACAGAAATCAGAGGTCAGAACCTTGTAAATACAGGATGTAGGATGGGCCATAAACCTAACAACTTCAATTACTAATTTCTCGTTAACGGGGGGGGGAACAAACTAGCTGAGAATACAATTACATTATTCACCTAATAGCAGGAACAGCCCCATCTAGCGGTCAGAACCTGGTAATATAAGAGACGTTTCTTTGGATTCCTCATGTCTAACTAATTGTTAGAAAAAATGTGGTCCAAATCTGACGTTACGTACTATATTTATTAAATATATGATTCCTATAAATTAAATGGCCAATTTGGGTGCAATCAAAGTACTCTATTTATTAAATATTATATGAATCCAAAAAAATGTAATGGCCAATTTGGGTGCAATCAATTAGCTTAGTTTCTCAGTGATTCAATTATATTTCAACAACATAATGTTGCAGGAATGCTAATATATTTTTCTAACAGAAATGATTTCAGAACAAGCTGAGATGGTGGGAGTCGAAATCCTCTTGTGCTTTTTGAGGTGAAACAACGCTATAGGCTACTTTGAAGCAAGGTAAGACATGCCTCATAATATGAAGTAAAACGTTCAGGTTTCAAACAATTAAGTATGTTTTCAAAATGCATACTGCCTCCACCTCATTGCAAAGTGGTGTGTGAAGCCTGCCTATCGTTGCCTGTGCACTTGAATGGTGAATGGAAAAACGTGCTTCATATACCATAGTATATATTTTTAATCATGACAATCAAAACTGTTTTTAACATGCAATTGCATTTAGAATTCTTGCGAAATGATTGGGCTTATAAAAGCATGTTGCACTCCAGCAGCAACGAACAAGATGTTGGAGGAGCTGTGGCAGCAGCTTTTGCACTGTCTGACAGATTTTCCGCTTAGGTTCAGTATCTGTAAGCTGTGCATGTTAGTGGTGCGCGGGTCAGCTGTTTGTTCATCTGCACCTGCCAGCAATTGCTAATAACCCATCCGCAACCGGCCGACTATATGTGAAAGTGAAAATCTGAGGCCCGCACCCAACCCTAACCCACAAGTATAGAAAATGCGCTATAGGCTACAGTCAAAGACTGCAGAACAATCTTTTTTACAGTGGGTGCAGGATTTTGTTTAGCCTGATTTAGAGAAGTTTCTGCTTATAATTTCCAATATTTTGGTTGGCTATTTGTTAGTCAACTTGTCCATAATTAGATACATGCAGCTTCTCTTCTGTCATTATATGTTGCCCTAGAAGACTAAATAAACCCTTGCTCAACAGAATAATGTCATAGATAGATAGAATGAATGCTTCAATCTAGTTGACGTCAGTAAAGTTCTCTCTGTCATCTTTCGTGGAGCAAAGACGTTTAGGAACTGGGGAGTAAACACAATACGCTCAAATGACATCAGTTTGACCGGTTGTAAAGAAAAAGAAAGCTGTGAAAACGACCCAAAGTGTTTCTGATAAGATTTAAGTTTGGCTTCGATGCATATTTTATGTGGTTAAAATATTATCAGCTTTTATGATGAAGACAACACTTCTACAGATTGTCTAACTGAGCATTGTATTCTCTCAAGATGCAGAATGAAAAAAATGATATTTCTCCACTCCTGTTCCCAAGGCCAAATTTTGCCTACATTTGGTGTATAATTTGACTACAAGAAATGCTTAATTCTGCAGGAGTTATTACTAAGGCTATAGACCTATTTGCACGGGACTAGTATTACTAGAGAACGTTGGTTATGTATTTATGACCCCAGATTGACCGTTATTCCAGAGGACGATTCGGACGGGATACGTTTTTTCCAAACTGCACTGCCCCTGTAATTCGCACTTTAAAATAAAATAAAAAAATAATATATATATACACACACACACACACACACACACTCATACAGTGGGGAGAACAAGTATTTGATACACTGCCGATTTTGCAGGTTTTCCTACTTACAAAGCATGTAGAGGTCTGTAATTTTTATCATAGGTACACTTCAACTGTGAGAGACGGAATCTAAAACAAAAATCCAGAAAATCACATTGTATGATTTTTAAGTAATTAATTTGCATTTTATTGCATGACATAAGTATTTGATACATCAGAAAAGCAGAACTTAATATTTGGTACAGAAACCTTTGTTTGCAATTACAGAGATCATACGTTTCCTGTAGGTCTTGACCAGGTTTGCACAAACTGCAGCAGGGATTTTGGCCCACTCCTCCATACAGACCTTCTCCAGATCCTTCAGGTTTCGGGGCTGTCGCTGGGCAATACGGACTTTCAGCTCCCTCCAAAGATTTTCTATTGGGTTAAGATCTGGAGACTGGCTAGGCCACTCCAGGACCTTGAGATGCTTCTTACGGAGCCACTCCTTAGTTGCCCTGGCTGTGTGTTTCGGGTCGTTGTCATGCTGGAAGACCCAGCCACGACCCATCTTCAATGCTCTTACTGAGGGAAGGAGGTTGTTGGCCAAGATCTCGCGATACATGGCCACATCCATCTTCCCCTCAATACGGTGCAGTCGTCCTGTCCCCTTTGCAGAAAAGAATCCCCAAAGAATTATGTTTCCACCTCCATGCTTCACGGTTGGGATGGTTTTCTTGGGGTTGTACTCATCCTTCTTCTTCCTCCAAACACTGCGAGTGGAGTTTAGACCAAAAAGCTCTATTTTTGTCTCATCAGACCACATGTCCTTCTCCCATTCCTCCTCTGGATCATCCAGATGGTCATTGGCAAACTTCATACGGGCCTGGACATGCGCTGGCTTGAGCAGGGGGACCTTGCGTGCGCTGCAGGATTTTAATCCATGACGGCGTAGTGTGTTACCAATGGTTTTCTTTGAGACTGTGGTCCCAGCTCTCTTCATGTCATTGACCAGGTCCTGCCGTGTAGTTCTGGGCTGATCCCTCACCTTCCTCATGATCATTGATGCCCCACGAGGTGAGATCTTGCATGGAGCCCCAGACCGAGGGTGATTGACCGTCATCTTGAACTTCTTCCATTTTCTAATAATTGCGCCAACAGTTGTTGCCTTCTCACCAAGCTGCTTGCCTATTGTCCTGTAGCCCATCCCAGCCTTGTGCAGGTCTACAATTTTATCCCTGATGTCCTTACACAGCTCTCTGGTCTTGGCCATTGTGGAGAGGTTGGAGTCTGTGGACAGGTGTCTTTAATACAGGTAACGAGTTCAAACAGGTGCAGTTAATACAGGTAATGAGTGGAGAACAGGAGGGCTTCTTAAAGAAAAACTAACAGGTCTGTGAGAGCCGGAATTCTTACTGGTTGGTAGGTGATCAAATACTTATGTCATGCAATAAAATGCAAATGAATTACTTAAAAATCATACAATGTGATTTTCTGACCTCTACATGCTTTGTAAGTAGGAAAACCTGCAAAATCGGCAGTGTATCAAATACTTGTTCTCCCCACTGTATGTATGTATGTATGTATGTATGTATGTATGTATGTATGTATGTATGTATATATGTATATATATATATATATATCTATATATCATAATAGATATATATATATATATATATATTATACATACATATTATACTTAGATATATCATATATATCTATTATTACATACATACACACACAACACACACACACAGTTGAAGTCGGAAGTTTACATACACCTTAGCCAAATACATTTAAACTCAGTTTCACAATTCCTGACATTTAATCCTAGTAAAAATTCCCTGTCTTAGATCAGTTAGGATAACCACTTTATTTTAAGAAAGTGAAATGTCAGAATAATAGTAGAGAGAATTATTTATTTCAGCTTTTATTTATTTCATCACATTCCCAGTGGGTCAGAAGTTTACATACACTCAATTAGTATTTGGTAGCATTGCCTTTAAAATTGTTTAACTTCGGTCAAACAATTCAAGGTAGCCTTCCACAAGCTTCCCACAATAAGTTGGGTGAATTTTGGCCCATTCCTCCTGACAGAGCTGGTGTAACTGAGTCAGGTTTGTAGGCCTCCTTGCTCGCACACGCTTTTTTAGTTTTGCCCACTAATTTTCTATAGGATTGAGGTCAGGGCTTTGTTATAGATATCCAATACCTTGACGTTGTTGTCCTTAAGCCATTTTGCCACAACTTTGGAAGTATGCTTGGGGTCACTGTCCATTTGGAAGACCCATTTGCGACCAAGCTTTAACTTCCTGACTGATGTCTTGAGAGGTTGCTTCAATATATCCACATCATTTTCCTTCACAAAATAGATGGCATCATGAGGAAGTGCACCAGTCCCTCCTGCAGCAAAGCACCCCCACAGCATGATGCTGCCACCCCCGTGCTTCACGGTTGGGATGGTGTTCTTCGGCTTGCAACCTCCCCCCTTTTTCCTCCAAACATAACGATGGTCATTATGGCCAAACAGTTCTATTTTTGTTTCATCAGCCCAGAGGACATTTCTCCAAAAGGTATGATCTTTGTCCCCATGTGCAGTTGCAAACCGTAGTATGGCTTTTTTATGGCGGTTTTGGAGCAGTGGCTTCTTCCTTGCCTTTCGGATTGTGTCGATATAGGACTCGTTTTACTGTGGATATAGATACTTTTGTACCTGTTTCCTCCAGCATCTTCACAAGGTCCTTTGTTGTTGTTCTGGGATTGATTTGCACTTTTCGCACCAAAGTACCTTCATCTCTAGGAGACAGAACGAGTCTCATTCCTGAGCGGTATGACGGCTATGTGGTCCCATGGTGTTTATACTTACGTACTATTGTTTGTACAGATGAACGTGGTACCTTCAGGCATTTGGAAATTGCTCCCAAGGATGAACCAGACTTGTGGAGGTCTACACATTTTTTTCTGAGGTCTTGGCTGATTTATTTTGATTTTCCCATGATGTCAAGCAAAGAGGCACTGAGTTTGAAGGTAGGTGAAATACATCCACAGGTACACCTCCAATTGACTCAAATTATGTCAATTAGCCTACCAGAAGCTTCTAAAGCCATGACATCATTTTCTGGAATTTTCCTAGCTGTTTAAAGGCACAGTCAACTTAGTGTACAGTGAGGGGAAAAAGTATTTGATCCCCTGCTGATTTTGTACGTTTGCCCACTGACAAAGAAATGATCAGTCTATAATTTTAATGGTATTTGAACAGTGAGAGACAGAATAACAAACAAAAAAAAACGCATGTCAAAAATGTTATAAATTGATTTGCATTTTAATGAGGGAAATAAGTATTTGACCCCCTCTCAATCAGAAAGATTTCTGGCTCCCAGGTGTCTTTTATACAGGTAACGAGCTGAGATTAGGAGCACACTCTTAAAGGGAGTGCTCCTAAACTCAGCTTGTTACCTGTATAAAAGACACCTGTCCACAGAAGCAATCAATCAATCAGATTCCAAACTCTCCACCATGGCCAAGACCAAAGAGCTCTCCAAAGATGTCAGGGACAAGATTGTAGACCTACACAAGGCTGGAATGGGCTACAAGACCATCGCCAAGCAGCTTGGTGAGAAGGTGACAACAGTTGGTGCGATTATTCGCAAATGGAAGAAACACAAAAGAACTGTCAATCTCCCTCGGCCTGGGGCTCCATGCAAGATCTCACCTCATGGAGTTGCAATGATCATGAGAACATTGAGGAATCAGTCCAGAACTACACGGGAGGATCTTGTCAATGATCTCAAGGCAGCTGGGAACATAGTCACCAAGAAAACAATTGGTAACACACTACGCCGTGAAGGACAAATCCTGCAGCGCCCGCAAGGTCCCCCTGCTCAAGAAAGCACATATACATGCCCGTCTGAAGTTTGCCAATGAACATCTGAATGATTCAGAGGAGAACTGGGTGAAAGTGTTGTGGTCAGATGAGACCAAAATCGAGCTCTTTGGCATCAACTCAACTCGCCATGTTTGGAGGAGGAGGAATGCTGCCTATGACCCCCAAGAACACCATCCCCACCGTCAAACATGGAGGTGGAAACATTATGCTTTGGGGGTGTTTTTCTGCTAAGGGGACAGGACAACTTCACCGCATCAAAGGGACGATGGACGGCGCCATGTACCGTCAAATCTTGGGTGAGAACCTCCTTCCCTCAGCCAGGGCATTGAAAATGGGTCGTGGATGGGTATTCCAGCATGACAATGACCCAAAACACACAGCCAAGGCAACAAAGGAGTGGCTCAAGAAGAAGCACATTAAGGTCCTGGAGTGGCCTAGCCAGTCTCCAGACCTTAATCCCATAGAAAATCTGTGGAGGGAGCTGAAGGTTCGAGTTGCCAAACGTCAGGCTCGAAACCTTAATGACTTGGAGAAGATCTGCAAAGAGGAGTGGGACAAAATCCCTCCTGAGATGTGTGCAAACCTGGTGGCCAACTACAAGAAACGTCTGACCTCTGTGATTGCCAACAAGGGTTTTGCCACCAAGTACTAAGTCATGTTTTGCAGAGGGTTCAAATACTTATTTCCCTCATTAAAATGCAAATCAATTTCTAACATTTTTGACATGCGTTTTTCTGGATTTTTTTTTGTTATTCTGTCTCTCACTGTTCAAATAAACCTACCATTAAAATTATAGACTGATCATTTCTTTGTCAGTGGGCAAACGTACAAAATCAGCAGGGGATCAAATACTTTTTTCCCTCACTGTATGTAAACTTCTGACCCACTGGAATTGTGATAGTGAATTATAAGTGAAATCATCTGTCTGTAAACAATTGTTGGAAAAATTACTTGTGTCATGCACAAAGTAGATGTCCTAACCGACTTGCCAAAACTATAGTTTGTTAACAATAAATGTGTGTAGTGGTTGAAAAACGAGTTTTAATGACTCCAACCTAAGTGTATGTAAACTTCCGACTTCAACTGTGTGTGTGTATATATATATATATATATATAAATAAAATGACAGTTATGACGGAAGCCTGGGGTTTTTTTCTAGGCGTGAAGATATTTCAACAAGTCCAGGCGATAACAGGCTACACTGATAACTCGAGCTTGGTTCCCAAGTTTCTAAACCATCTTTGGTATAGTGTCACTATAATATTTGAATTGAGGAAGTGTGATCATAATTATAAGGATATTTTAGCGTTCCGCAGTAGAAGACGTCCTAGATGCCCCCCAGCCTACAGATGTGAGCTAAACAGCTAACAGGCTATGGATGAGAAAATGAACTTGTTCCAAACGTTTAGCTCAGTTGTATGCTGCTTTGCGATCTATTAACAGCAAGTGTTTCATTAAATAGGCGCAATATTTTTTTATGATGCATTTGCCGATGTTCAATTCATTTGCACAAAACGTAGAAATAAAAGCATTCACTGTCAAAGTTGATACATGTAGCCCCTTCATATACAGGCTATCCACAGCACTTAGTTCAATTTATCAAATCAGTTATTGTTTTCTTGCTCAAACCACGAGCAACACCTGTCAAACTCAGACATTTCTCTCAAAACACATGGATGTCGATTCGCACAGGACTAGTATTATCAGAGGACTTTAGAGTTTGCCAAAAAACAGTAGATTATTCTGGTTAGTCGTCCAGATTTCAGTTTTAATTTAACCCATCTAAACAGTAGGCTACAGTTCCCTTGACATACCATAGGCCTATTTTAAGACCCTTCTTGTGACTGTAATTTGTATAACGCCTCATCACATATAACATAGCCGGCACTGCTACCAAATATTTTCCAAAAATTACTTTTCTGGCCCTTCCTTCGTTTTATTTTCAACTCTCCTTTGGCAGCTTTTGTCTTATTGAATTACATTTCGACAATGTCCTTTTTGCCTCCGTGGATTCCCAAAAGCATTATTTAGTGATTGGCTGTGTAAGCAATTTGGCACGCGTACAGTTAAGCCCTAAAGTTTAGGCTTATGCACCAATCCCAGATATCCTAAAATAATTAAAGAAAAACCTCAATGTAGACTATATAAATTTCACAATAATTACATATTTATGGATTTTTAAGCTATTGTTTGTCTTTATTCAACCTGTCCGCCACCCACCCACACGCCCTTCAGCCACACAATATTTAATGACCCTAAAGCCGTCCGCCCAGAGGATATAACCGCGGGGACTGCGGGTTATGAGTCAACCCGCGCATCACTAGTCCGCGTGTGATAAAGATAAATAACGACTAAAGAAAACACTCGCCAATTTAATTCCACTAAATTATGCAAATTAACCTACACACCGATCAGCATGACCAGTCAAATGTATTTACATGGACTGGTATTTCCATCAATGAATAGGCTAAAAAGCATTATTTTGCAATGGGATTTTTGCCAAAAGCCAGCTACTACTGGCTAACGGAAACCCTGCCGTGTAGCCTATTCTCCCACCTCACCATCCCAACTCCACAGTCCCAACACATCACTGTCTCCCTGATGTAATAACAGCTGTATACCCCAACAATAACTGTTAGATGACGATGACATCATTGTATTCATTAGGAAGTTCTTTGTGTATCATACATGTTAGTAAGGGGAGAGGTTGCACTGGGTCTAAACCAGGGGTGTCAAACGTCCGGCCCGCGGGCCGGATCAGGCCCGCAAACGGGTTTAATCCGGCCCGCGAGATGATTTTGTAAAGTATAAAAATGCGCTGCAATTTTTCAATAAAATAAACTGCTGTTCCAATTGCGTCCACTGGATGGCGCAATAGCAATTGTGTTAAGCAAGCAAACTGTTTATACCGGGGCAGAGCAAGTAGGTCAAGTCTGTGTTTACTCACAGCCGAGACATCAGTGACGCTGCAGTGAAAGCTAGCTACCTCATTGCTAATGAAATCGCAGTGGCTTCAAAACCATTTAGTGAGGGTGAATTTGTAAAAACATGCATGATGAAGGCAGCTGAGATTGTGTGCCCTGAAAAGAGTCAGGCTTTTGTAAATATCAGCCTGACAAGAAACACAGTTGCAGACAGGATTTCCGATCTTTCAGTGGATTTGGACAGCCAGTTGAAGCAAAAAGTAAAGTCATTTATTGCGTTTTCGGTTGCAATTGATGAAAGCACGGACATTACAGATGTTGCACAACTGGCCATTTTCATCCGCGGAGTTGATGACACATTGACCGTCACCGAGGAGTTCGTGGAGTTGGTGCCGATGACAGATACAACGACAGCAGCTGATATTTTTACCGCACTCGTCGGCGCGCTGGACAGGGTCGGAGTGGACTGGTCCCGCGCTGTCAGCCTGGCTACAGATGGTGCGCCCTCAATGATCGGGAAAAAAGCAGGCGTTGTGACAAAGTTCAGAGAGAAAGTGCAATCTGCAAATGGAGGATGTGATTTTTTGACTTTTCACTGTATTTTGCACCAGGAGGCTTTGTGTTGCAAGTCATTAAAGATGGATAACGTCATGAAGGTGGTCATCCAAACTGTTAATTTCATCCGATCCAGAAGCCTGAATCACCGTCAGTTTGACAGCCTTCTCAGAGAGAAAGACCACATCTATGGCCTGCCATACCACACTGAGGTAAGATGGTTAAGCCGAGGTGCTGAGGCGTTTCTTTGATTTACGAGAAGAAATTGAACAGTGTTAGAATTCCATTCCGCAGAATGGATGCAGGACCTTGCATTTATGGTGGATGTTACAGAGCACCTGAATAACTTGAACAAACAGCTGCAAGGGCGCAACAAAGTTGTCACGCAGTATTATGACAGCATACGTTCTTTCAAGTTGAAGCTGTCATTGTGGGATACGCAACTTGCCGGTGGTGATGCAGCTCACTTCCCCTGTCTGAAAAATGTGTGCGCGACCCAACATGTGGCAGACATGAAGCGGTTCAAAGATAAAATAACGGGACTGTTACGGGAGTTTGAGCAACGCTTTCAGATCTTTGGTGAACTGGAGAAAGACTTCAACGTTTTTTGCTCGCCATTCACCGTGAATCCCTCTGATCTGCCCGTCAGCATCCAACTTTAAATAATAGACTTGCAGTGTGACTCGGATTTGAAGGGCAAATTTGCCGCAGCTGGCTTGGACACATTTAATCAGAATCTCTTGCCAGGTTACCCCAACTTGACAGCCCTCGCTGCAAAACTGTTGTGCATGTTTGGAACCACATATCTTTGTGAGCAAGTTCTCTCTGTAATGAGCATAAATAAAAAAAAGCTGCGCTCAAGGCTCACGCACAAGCACTTGAATCACATCCTGAAGTTGGCTGCCACTCAGGATGTGACGCCTGATATTGATGCGCTGGTGAAAGCTAAAAGATGCCAGGTATCAGGAGTCAAATAAACTATGCAACCCCACTTAAAGTGCTACATGAGACACCCTGATATAGTTCTGTGATCTGTGATATACTTCTGTGAATCACTGAGGCATTGTGTGTTCTTTGTCCTCAGAACTTTTAAATAACTTGAGGTGTTTTATGATTAATAGTGATGTTGTGCTTTTGGACACACTGTCCTCAGGCTCCAGCTTTATGTTTATATGTTTTTATGTTGATGTGCTATTGTTTTTAATTGATTTTATTTTATTTGTATATTTAACCTATTCTTGACTCTGTGGTTCTTGCACTTGTTTGGGGAACAGGATTTCATTCTTTTTATCTACATTTCTGCCTGAGAAATGACCCCCTGATATAGTTCTGTGATCTGTGAAACAGTTCTGTTAATCACTGAGGCATTGTGTGTTTGTGTTCTTTTTCTTTAGAATTTTCAAATAAACTTCAGGTGTTTTATGATTAATAGTGATGTTGTGCTTGTACTATTTTGGACACACTGTCCTCAGGCTCCAGCTTTATGTTGTATGTTGATCGTATTAAAACAAAGAAAACAATCTGAAGTTGTTGTTTTTAAGTTATATATATACCATGATTTTTCCGGTCCGGCCCACTTGGGAATAGATTTTCCTCCATGTGGCCCCTGAGTTAAAATGAGTTTGACACCCCTGGTCTAAACTAATAGGCTTACAATACCATGCCTCGTTAACTGGAGTTGTGCTGAAGAGGGGTTGAGTAGGTGAGGAGGTTCTCCATGTGGCCAGTTGAACCACTTCATGATAACTCTGTTGGGTCTGACAGCAGTGAAGCTATGCCTGAAATGAATGGGCACTGAGGCCTGGGTCGTGTTCACTAGGGCACCCGGTAGCAAAACGTTTTGCTATGGATAACAAAAAATAACAAAAAACATATTGGACAAGTTCATATTCATATAGTACCTCCCTCTTTCACTCGGTATTGGAACGTTTTCTTCCAAGTGAACACAGCCCTGGGCTGGACTGATCAGAGCCGGAGAGTTGAGGGGAACTCAATAATAAGTATGGGCATGCGTGCAGAAAAGGGTGACTGACATAGAAGAGCCTGGGCTATGGGCTTCCCTCCTCTCCAGTCTCCAGAGCAGCAGGGAGCATTCTTGTGGCTGGCTAGGGTCTTAGGGAGGAATTAACTCTGAGCGCTGAGTAAACAACACACACACACACACACACACAGAGCACTAATGAGGCCTAGAGTCCAAATCACATGCTCATGTCAAGGTCCTGTACGTAAGGGTGTGTGTGTGTGTGTGTGTGTGTGTGTTCAGACAAAGATTACAATGGCATGAGAGGCAAACCGTCGCACACACAGCGCAGTGCTTAGACTGTCAGGTTTTCAAGTTGGAGAGATCCTCCCTCTTCCAGAGTGGGAGTGCCTGAACAGTCAGGTTGCCAGGTTGTAATGGGATAGTCTGTCAGTAAGAGAGATCAGTGCTGTCAGAGAACTCTAATGAAGATTTACTGGCAGTTTAGGGGTTAAGGAGCTTGACTCTACTTAGCACCTTTATCAATTAGGCCTGCAGTCACTGAATAATAATAACAACAGCCATTTAGTAGACACTTTTTTCCAAAGCGACTTAGTCATGGGTGCATAACTTTTTTTACGTATGGTGGTCCTGGGAATTGAACCCACGTTCCTGGCATTGCAAAAGCGCCATGCTCTACCAACTGACCTACAGAAGACCACTGAATGGGAAGATATATTTCTACTAGGTCTATACAATATGCAGATATCCTATGAAAGCTAGCACCTGTGTCTCAGACACCATGTCCACAAGTTGCAGCAGCCAGTCCTGTTACAGAATGAGCATGTAGAGGGAGAGAGACCGAGAAATGAGAGTTCCAGAAAGAGAAAACAGCTGAAATACTATAGTACCAGCATTCTGATAGACCATTCATCCATCTGACAACCATAGCTGGAGCACTTAAAAAATAAAAAAATAAAGGTTCCATGGGCGAGAAACCAAAATCCATCCAGGAGACGGCATAATGCCAAGTGCAGCCAGGCGGGACATAAAAGGAGAACGAGTGGGAAATCCTTTGACACTTTGAGTCATCCAAAATCCTGTGAGTTCTCAAGATTCTATAACCTGAAGTGCGGCGGCTGGGCCCCGGCCATGATGATTCACCCTGGTCTTTGTTACGACTGAAGCTGAAAATTCTCTATTAGACACATTCTCCAACCTGAGTGGTAATAACAGTCAGGTCTCAGCACGCAGGCTGGCTGGCTGAGACTCTGGTCCACAGACAACACAGGCTAGAGAGAGGGAGAGACTAGTCCACAGACCGGTTAGCGAGAGGGAGAGACTAGTCCACAGACCGGTTAGAGAGAGGGAGAGACTAGTCCACAGACCGGTTAGAGAGAGGGAGAGACTAGTCCACAGACCGGTTAGCGAGAGGGAGAGACTAGTCCACAGACCGGTTAGCGAGAGGGAGAGACTAGTCCACAGACCGGTTAGAGAGAGGGAGAGACTAGTCCACAGACCGGTTAGAGAGAGGGAGAGACTAGTCCACAGACCGGTTAGAGAGGGAGAGACTAGTCCACAGACCGGTTAGAGAGAGGGAGAGACTAGTCCACAGACCGGTTAGAGAGGGAGAGACTAGTCCACAGACCGGTTAGCGAGAGGGAGAGACTAGTCCACAGACCGGTTAGAGAGAGGGAGAGACTAGTCCACAGACCGGTTAGAGAGAGGGAGAGACTAGTCCACAGACCGGTTAGAGAGGGAGAGACTAGTCCACAGACCGGTTAGAGAGAGGGAGAGACTAGTCCACAGACCGGTTAGAGAGGGAGAGACTAGTCCACAGACCGGTTAGCGAGAGGGAGAGACTAGTCCACAGACCGGTTAGAGAGAGGGAGAGACTAGTCCACAGACCGGTTAGAGAGAGGGAGAGACTAGTCCACAGACCGGTTAGCGAGAGGGAGAGACTAGTCCACAGACCGGTTAGCGAGAGGGAGAGACTAGTCCACAGACCGGTTAGAGAGAGGGAGAGACTAGTCCACAGACCGGTTAGAGAGAGGGAGAGACTAGTCCACAGACCGGTTAGAGAGAGGGAGAGACTAGTCCACAGACCGGTTAGAGAGAGGGAGAGACTAGTCCACAGACCGGTTAGCGAGAGGGAGAGACTAGTCCACAGACCGGTTAGAGAGGGAGAGACTAGTCCACAGACCGGTTAGCGAGAGGGAGAGACTAGTCCACAGACCGGTTAGCGAGAGGGAGAGACTAGTCCACAGACCGGTTAGAGAGAGGGAGAGACTCCTCAGCCACAGCTCCATTAAAACACCTGAGCCCCAGCCATACTCCACTGAAAGGCTTTCTTTGCCTTGCCTACTGATCTGCCTGGAGACTCAAGCCGGGTTAGAATGAGACACTCCTCTCCTCTAGTTCAGCTCCACGGAAACTGTTACAGTCAGTCTCTCTCAGCCTTGTTGCGTATGACAGAAGACATTCTCTCTCAGCCTTGTTGCGTATGACAGAAGACATTCTCTCTCAGCCTTGTTGCGTATGACAGCAGACAGTCTACCTCAGCCTTGTTGCGTATGACGGCAGACAGTCTACCTCAGCCTTGTTGCGTATGACAGCAGACAGTCTAGTGAAGCCAAGCATGAAATGAGAGGCCTCAAATGGATTGCTCTGAGCAGGAGAGTTGAGAAGAACTCAGTGTGTGTGTGTGTACCTGCCAATATCCCTCTGTATCATCCCTTCTGATGGACCCTGACTCGCCCCTAGACTGGCACTGACCTTAGGGCAGTTTGGCATTCCCCCCAGCTACGGTTAGAATTTGGAGAGGGTAAACTGTTCCTATCTGTGCCTAAGGGGCCAGGCAACTCCTTCCTCTAGCTCCTGACAGCCGACTCAGGCAGCGGAGGGGAAGGGAGAAAAAGGCATCGATCGTGGCGCCAATGGGACTGATTAGATTTAAAGGTTCAGACTACACACAGCCGGGAGAATTTAGCATGCAGCCGCCACCACTGCCGCCACAGCAGCGTACGCTTGAACGGCCAATTAGCTGCTGGCGGCGTAGCCTTCAGAGCCGGTCAAAGGGGACGGAGCAAAGTGAGTCTCCAAGCCTAGATAAGACCTTGCCTTCACACACAGGCGTGCACGCACACACACACGGTTCTCCCAAATGGTACCAGGCAAGGGGGGATAAACACTGTGCAATTAGTGCCGTGTGTTACCAATACCTCAACCATATACAGCTCTTAGCTAGCCTAGCTCAGAGAGCAAACAGTGGGGCCAAGATTCTTGAGAAGAAAAAAAACTTTAGCCTAATATTTTTAAACATCCATCTTCAAGTTTTAGCCTACTGCAAATAAAAACCACCTGATTTGACCAATGATGGTCATGGATTTGATTTGTATATTTCTTCCATGCATCTGACAAGTAACAAATCAATCACCAACCAGTGACTATGGTCAGAATCTCAGAGATACTGGGACCTTTATGTGTCAGTTAAAAGACAACGAGACACGGTGGAGGGAGAGAGCAAGAGACATGGAGAGAGAGAAACAGCTCATTTATCAGGACACCTACACCTCACCAGTCTGGTACGCTTCCCAAAAGAAACTTTAAAATCACATTTAATGCCACATTGCTAAAATGGAGGGGGGAGATCAGTCGCCCCAGTTTGTTTGTTCAGCTTTGATTGGAGAGAGACTGTGGTGTAAAAACGTTAATACTGCGCTTTATAAGAGTGAGGTGTGATGACTTCAAGATGTGGAGAATTAGTGGCGCGCTGCACTTGTAAACATGGGCTGCACTCCGCAATCCATTTGCTGCATCGCCTTTATGAACAAACCACAGCCAGCCATTCAAAGGAAAAACAAGGGGAGAACCATCCGAGACACGGTTAAACTAAGCAGTCTTTGAGAGGAGGTCTGAGCTGCAGAGGTGACCAGGGTTTTTTTTCTCCCGCAGCCCTTTTACAGACAGACTCAGAGGTTTAAATGAAAAATGCCCCCGCTGATCAGCAAAATCCTGCCTGTCTCACATCAGAGAGTATATTAGCACCCTGCAGACCAAGAGTGTTCAGAGGATAACAGAGGAGGGGTGGGGAGGGAGAGGTAAGGAGGGGTGAGGGAGAGGTGAGGAGGTGTAAGGGGAGATGAGGGAAGAGGTGAAACAGGGAGTGAGAGACTTGGGCGGTATACCAATGGTATGATTTTAAGCACAAATGTTTATTTTTTGGTCACAAAAATTCAATTGAGCCAGTTACAAAGAGCACATGGAGCAAACGTGACAAATTCACTGGGGTCAAGTTAACGCAGGATTCTGCGTTTTTCATGCAGAAAAGGAAAGATAAAACGCAGAAAGAAATATCTTGCTACGTTTTGTAAACACAAATCTAAAATAATTCTTACTGTAAATTCTTCTCAGCTTTAGTCAGGGTTCGCTCCAAATCATGAATGTAAAAGGACTAATTTCATGCTTCAGTTGCACTTCTCCACTTGGATGAAATATCTTTGCTCTCATCATTGGATCACCAGTTGCTCTCTGACTGATGTGTAGGCTACTTTTCTCTGGTACTTTCCGGTAGCAAGTTAAAATGCAAGATTAACTTCAAGCAAAACATCAGGAAGTGTACAGTGGGGGAAAAAAGTTTTTAGTCAGCCACCAATTGTGCAAGTTCTCCCACTTAAAAAGATGAGAGAGGCCTGTAATTTTCATCATAGGTACACGTCAACTATGACAGACAAATTGAGGGAAAAAAATCCAGAAAATCACATTGTAGGATTTTTAATGAATTGATTTGCAAATTATGGTGGAAAATAAGTATTTGGTCACCTACAAACAAGCAAGATCTGGCTCTCACAGACCTGTAACTTCTTCTTTAAGAGGCTCCTCTGTCCTCCACTCGTTACCTGTATTAATGGCACCTGTTTGAACTTGTTATCAGTATAAAAGACACCTGTCCACAACCTCAAACAGTCACACTCCAAACTCCACTATTGCCAAGACCAAAGAGCTGTCAAAGGACACCAGAAACAAAATTGTAGACCTGCACCAGGCTGGGAAGACTGAATCTGCAATAGGTAAGCAGCTTGGTTTGAAGAAATCAACTGTGGGAGCAATTATTAGGAAATGGAAGACATACAAGACCACTGATAATCTCCCTCGATCTGGGGCTCCACGCAAGATCTCACCCCGTGGGGTCAAAATGATCACAAGAACGGTGAGCAAAAATCCCAGAACCACACGGGGGGACCTAGTGAATGACCTGCAGAGAGCTGGGACCAAAGTAACAAAGCCTACCATCAGTAACACAATACGCCGCCAGGGACTCAAATCCTGCAGTGCAGACGTGTCCCCCTGCTTAAGCCAGTACATGTCCAGGCCCGTCTGAAGTTTGCTAGAGTGCATTTGGATGATCCAGAAGAGGATTGGGAGAATGTCATATGGTCAGATGAAACCAAAATAGAACTTTTTGGTAAAAACTCAACTCGTCGTGTTTGGAGGACAAAGAATGCTGAGTTGCATCCAAAGAACACCATACCTACTGTGAAGCATGGGGGTGGAAACATCATGCTTTGGGGCTGTTTTTCTGCAAAGGGACCAGGACGACTGATCCGTGTAAAGGAAAGAATGAATGGGGCCATGTATCGTGAGATTTTGAGTGAAAACCTCCTTCCATCAGCAAGGGCATTGAAGATGAAACGTGGCTGGGTCTTTCAGCATGACAATGATCCCAAACACACCGCCCGGGCAACGAAGGAGTGGCTTCGTAAGAAGCATTTCAAGGTCCTGGAGTGGCCTAGTTAGTCTCCAGATCTCAACCCCATAGAAAATCTTTGGAGGGAGTTGAAAGTCCGTGTTGCCCAGCGACAGCCCCAAAACATCACTGCTCTAGAGGAGATCTGCATGGAGGAATGGGCCAAAATACCAGCAACAGTGTGTGAAAACTTATAGAAAACGTTTCACCTGTGTCATTGCCAACAAAGGGTATATAACAAAAGTATTGAGAAACTTTTGTTATTGACCAAATACTTATTTTCCACCATAATTTGCAAATAAATTCATTAAAAATCCTACAATGTGATTTTATGGATTTTTTTTCCTCATTTTGTCTGTCATAGTTGACGTGTACCTATGATGAAAATTACAGGCCTCTCATCTTAAGTGGGAGAACTTGCACAATTGGTGGCTGACTAAATACTTTTTTTCCCCCACTGTAGCTAGCTAAATTTTTTCTATGATAAACATTAGAAATATGATGGCCATCTATTGTTTTTGCAAAAAATACCTTGCTTTTACATTGTAATCTAGCTAATTTATTAAAGTGGGCTGCTAACCAAATTATGTTGCACTTCTGTTGTCATCTGATCAAAATGATTTTCTGCCAAATGTGTTGCACTAATGCATTTTGTGTGAAGGAAAACTATAGTTGCACGTCCCTGACTTTCAATATAAAAACACAGGTGAAATTCTTTAAAATGCAGATTTGGTCTGTGTTTGGTCTGTGTTTTGAAAATGCAGACTTCTTAAATTGAATGCGACCCCTGCTAATGTTTGCCAACTGAATATCTTATAACTTTAAGTTAACCATCTAAGATGTGCCAAATGCATTTTCTCCAGCTATTCATTTGGTTTGCTAACTTGGTAGCTATAGGCGGCTAGCTTGGGAAATAAATAGCGCCCCTTGTGTGCACTGCTGGTAATACTGTATACCCCCTGTATGAAGAGTATGGAAATCTGGATAACGCCCACAACCATAGTGTGCAGCAGGGCTCCATGTTGGCCCCACTCCCATTTTGGGGGGGACATCTGCAGTAGTGCCCCCCTCACCCCACACACCCCTCCATCCCATTCAAATCAGTTCCACTTCAGCAGATACATTAACCCGCACAGCGCGCGCACCGCCTGGGCCGTTCCCCTGTTTCCCCTGAAGCGGGTGGAACTGAAGGCAGTGTTTTTACGCTTGGCTGTATGTACACTAATGCTAACATGGGTGGAATAATGCTCACCCACCCAGGGGTTGGTGCCCATTCACCGAGCCCGGACTGAGGAGAGAACACCCACTAGGTAAGCGATGTGCCAGATGAATACTTGTCTGGAGCAAATTTCTCACGACGGGCACCAACAGACAGTGAACAACCACTAGCATACAGATCAAAACAAACACAGACAGATATTGGCCGGCAGGCATGGATCAAACACACACGAAATAACAATCTGTCACACATTAACACGCACATCAAACCAGGGGTCGCAAACAGTGTGTTAAGGCCAGCCGCCCCACCTACACTGGCTGACAGGCTGTAAGGTGCTCTGTAGAGCTGGGAGGGGCAAAGCGGAGCGTGTGTTTGAGGTCTATCACAGTAATAATGGGACTCAGAAACATGACTTGAGCCAGCCAAACCCATGACAACACACACTATGCTTTTATGCAGTGAATCCATAGCCAAGCCCTTTACTATAGGCCAGTGGTTCTCAATCCTGGTCCTGGGGACCCAAAGGGGTGCACTTTTTGGGGGGGGCGCTAGCACTACACACCTGATTCAAATTATCAACTCACTATCAGGCTTTGATGATTTGAATCAGGTGTGTAGTGCTAAGGCAAAAACTAAAATGTTCACCCCTTTGGGTCCCCAGGACCAGGATTGAGAACCACGGCTATAGGCTAAATCGGGCCATTAAAGATTGTGAGGAAGAAGGTGTGTGGTTTCATTTGTGGCTTAGCAGGGAAAAAAGCAATTCAGCATTGGTCGTTTTCTAAACAAATAAAGATGCAGAGTGTGGGACAAATAGTCTAGCTAGGTAGGCTAGAACTCTCATCAGGATGTCAAAACCTGTCAAATAATACTAAGGCAACACCCATCAAATTCACATCCATTCATACAGGTTGTCTAGTCATCTTCGACACCTCCAAGAGAGCGCAGTCTTCTACTCTCTCGTCATAACTCCTCCCTCCCGGCATAATTTTCTCGTTCTCTCGCGTTAGCCAATGGGCCGAGGGCTGAGTGGGAGTGAGAAGGAGTGAGTGGGAGTGAGGAGAGGAAAGATGATGAGGAGGAGGAATCTGCTCTCGTCGCAGGTCTGCCTGAGGAAGTTCAGGGAATTGGGCTTTTTCAAGCCAAACAAAACCCTATTTTGTCTCTGCTGCCATCTGCAATCTGGAGCTCTAAATCTTCTCTGTGTCCTCAGGACCCCGTGCTGCTTCTCAACTTCAAAGGAAAGCAGGTCTGAGGCACACTATGCCGTGCCTCGCTGAGCTGTTGGTGACTGAGTGAGTGTGTGTGCGGTGCTGGGCTATTAGAGAGGATGTGTGTGTGTTTGTGTCTGCTGGGCCGTTCATTAGAGGTGTGTGTGTGTAAAACATGCATTAGTGTGTACTTCGTTGTGTGTGTGTGTGTGTGTACACTGAGGTAGACAGCGTCTGGCATAGCAGCCCTCTCTAAAGAGGCAGCAGAGTGAGTGTCATGCTGCCTTATTGCCCAGCAACAGCTCTTCACCCCACTGAAAGATGAGCTAGGGCCGCAAAGGACCCCGGCCTGTCAGTGGGGAAGAGAGACTACAGCCCAGGACAGAACCAAAGAGCTGTTTGTAAAACGGGTTGTATTCATTAGGCACCAAAGGGAATAAACTGACAAAACAAAGAGTGACTCGCTGCACTTAAGAAATAATAACCTGCAATAAGAAATGCTTGTTTTTGTTTTCCGCTGCAAAACATTTAGCGATGGTGTATCGTAATGAATGTGACCCAGTTGACAGACAATCTTTTGCCTTGCCGTCTCTCTGTATGTACGGTACAGAGGTGGAAATTGGGCAATGGATACATTGAGTGATTTTAACACTTTCCTTGAATGAGAATAAAGAGTTGGTTGTGGTGTCTGTAATCCCTAAATTGGCCTCATTAGAGATGAAGAGGTTTGCGTTTCCCCCCCAGCGTTTGAAAGTGGTGGAGAATTTACAGTTGCACAATGGACACATCCATTCATACCACAACTCTAATGGATGCAGACTTCACACTGCACTACCGAATGCACAATGAACCCCGACCACAATTCACTACCACAACTCTACAATGGCCGTAAGCTACACATGGCATTGCCGTATAAAATACAGAAATAAAAATAATAAAAGGGACCTCACCAAAGTCATGGAGAGCATTTAGGTTAAGTCACATTATTTAAAGTGCATTTTACAGCGACAGTTCAAATACAAGATAATCTGATAGCAGTGAAGGTCATAGGGTGCCCTCTGAACTTTGCAGCCCTCCCGTAGTCTACCGGCCGCCATTTAGACTACTCTCTAGTCTTGGCTTTGACATCAGACACCAGCAGCTGGTTCTGAGGCAGCTAGTCACACCCCTGGGAACAACTCAACATGTAGCAGGGGATTTAAAACTGGCTTCTCTTCCAGGACAGGCCTGGGTAGCCTTACCACGTTTCATCAGAGCTACCGGACAATACAATTGAACCTCAACTTTTTGGGGTTGTGAGTGTGACCCATTCTTTTCATTTATTTTAGAGCCACCAAATCAATAAAACAATGTTCTACAAACTGCTTGACCCAGGAACCCCACCCCCAACCCAAAATGTGGGGGAAACACTGGTGTAAGTAACTACAGCCCTGATTGGGGTTAACCAAGCCACATAGGGTCAATTCAACTTATCGGGATATCATTTAGCCAAGTCTGAGTGTGGTGCAGGCAACCACACACACACATCCCACACACTTCAGAACAGATGTGCAGCATAGGTGTGTGTGTGTGTGTGTGTGTGTGTGTGTGTGTGTGTGTGTTAGTGCTGAGAGATTTTTCCGTTTATAAAACGAATTGACCGACATCGGTTAAATTGTTTGAATTCCATTTATTTCTGGGGGTTTTCTGTGAGCTCGATGTGCAGTTTCTGTAGAGATAAACTGTGCGATGTGCGCATTGAGTTCACTGAAAGAAACCAGAACGAAATGGAACTCAAATAATAATTGAACCAATGTCGGTCAATTAGTTGTTTAAAAAACGAAAAATAACTCAGCATTACCAACAGGCCAATATTCTACATAGTTTAGCAAAGAAAACGTGATAATTAACTACAGTGACCATAATCAATTCGCAAGCCTGAAAATACATGATCTAAGTGATTGATAAATGTTTCATGGTGTACAACACTCCTGTCTGATTCACGCGGAGTAGACTGATCCATTGTGGAGGCTGTGGGGATGACACAGTCCATCACTTTAAGACATGTGCTACTGAAATTGTATATGATTAAATTAAGTAAGAACAATAGTGCAACACTAATAAAATAATATTTTATAACAAATGCGCTTTCTCCCGCGTTGGATAGCGGTCGCTGTCCGTGGTTCTGAAACACATCAGTGCGCAGCTGAATTGGCACATTTTCCTAGACCATGTTGCTATGTGCATAACAGCAAAGTTAACCAGCATATTGGTGTGGAGAACAATGCAGCAGCGGCAGCAGGAGTTAGGAGACGAGAAAACAGCCCTTACCTTAACTGTCTAAGAAAAGTGAGGAGAGCGGAAACCTCAACTTAATTAGGCCTATAATCAATAGCCTAACTGTTAAATGTGCCTGGTTTATAAAGTATCCATATATACACTACCGGTCAAAAGTTTTAGAACACCTACTCATTCAAGGGTTTTTATTTTTACTATTTTCTACATTGTAGAATAATAGTGAAGACATCAAAACTATGAAATAACACATATGGAATCATGTAGTAACCAATTTTTTTTTTTACAAATCCAAATATATTTTATATTTGAGATTTTTCAAATAGCCACCCTTTGCCTTGATGAAAGCTTTGCACTCTTGGCATTCTCTCAACCAGCTTCATGAGGTAGTCACCTGGAATGCATTTCAATTAACAGGTGTGTGGGTGAACGGATGATCTCCACATGTGTATTTCCCACCGTAAAACATGGAGGAGGAGGTGTTATGGTGTGGGGGTGCTTTGTTGGTGATACGGTCTGTGATTTATTTAGAATTCAAGGCGCACTTAACCAGCATGGTTACCACAGCATTCTGCAGCGATACGCCATCCTGTCTGGTTTGGGCTTAGTGGGACTATCATTTATTTTTCAACAGGACAATGACCCAACACACCTCCAGGCTGGGTAAGGACTATTTCACCAAGAAGGAGAGTGATGGAGTGCTGCATCAGATGACCTGGCCTCCACAATCCCCCGACCTCAACCAAATTGAGATGGTTTGGGATGAGTCGGACCGCAGAGTGAAGGAAAAGCAGCCAACAAGTGCTCAGCATGTGGGAACTCCTTCAAGACTGTTGGAAAAGCATTCCAGGTGAAGCTGGTTGAGAGAATGCCAAGAGTGTGCAAAGCTGTCATCATCGCAAAGGGTGGCTATTTGAAGAATCTCAAATATAAAATATATTTTGATTTGATTAACACTTTTTTTGGTTACTACATGATTCCATATGTGTTATTTAATTGTTTTGATGTCTTCACTATTATTCTACAATGTAGAAAATAGCAAAAATAAAGAAAAACCCATGAATGAGTAGGTGTTCTAAAACGTTTGACCGGTAGTGTATAGCTACAGAAATAAGGCAGACCCTGCTTCTGTTGCCTGTTTCAGTTTGTTTAATAGCTACTGATTCTGTGAGCATCATGCCTCACGCAACCACAACATGTCAGATAAACTATTTCACAAATTCGGCTGTTTTTAATCTTTGCTATGCTGTAATAAAGACTTTACTCTTGTTTTTGTTAGAACAGCCTCTGGTATTATTTTTAATGTATTTAGTGTTGTTTACACTGTTCCGAATTGTCCATTATTTATTTATTTATAATATCTCTCCTTTTCTTGATCTCATGATTAGTTTTATTATTATTATTATTATTATTATGATCATCATTAATGTCATTATCATTAGTAGGCTTAGTATAGCAGCCTTGTATAACCACCATTGAGCTGTAGGCCTAAGAGCGTATCCTGTTTAGTCTTAATACCGTAACTTACTTAGGCCTATATTTCAATACTTATAGGCTACTGTATCAATCAATCATTCATTCATGTTATCACACAGCATACAAGTCATTCATGATTTGAAATGCAATCAAGCATAGTTTTAAAATAACAAACCGACCCTTGAATAATTAGCGTAAACTATAAATAAACTGTTCAATTTCAGAAATTGCATTCACGAATGAATGCGACTGTTTTTAGTCTTTGCTGTAATAAAGGCTTTACCAAAAAACTAAACATTACAGACTCTCTGGTACACTTATAATTTATTTCATGTTGTTTACATTGTTCCAAATGGTCAGAAAAATGATTTTGTAATCTAACAGCACCTGTTTGGCATACATAATATGCATGCAGCACTTGCTCCTTACCTTATTTTTCTTGACCTCCAGTATTTTCCACAACCAGTCACATTTATTCCACAAATCTGACTTCCCGTTTTCCTCCCGAGTAACAAGTAAACATTCCCCAGTTTTGAGTTTGTCATGTCCTCTGCATCCATTTTGCTCTCACACTGTGTTATGGTGCTCGGAGTTTGTTATAACCATTGTATTGATGTGATAATGATATGCTATAGGTCAGGCCCTATTGGTCAAGTGCATGTGATGCATACATGTGTCACGTAAAGAGAGCAAGGGTTGAGGGAATAGGGAATGTTTTTCCTAAACAAATTGGGGATTTCGGTAACAGAACTTTTCAGTCAGAAATGGCTGTAATTGTGTTGCAGCTTCAGCAACACCGACAGCACGATAAACACTGCTGATGTTCTGTGGTGGTCGCTACAGCAGGGAGGAGAGAGACAACGGGTGCTAGTCAGTCACTCGAGCAGCAAGTCTGAGCCCGGCAGAATCAAATAAATTGCGGTCGGACTCCCTCTAGTCATGTGTGTGTCTTAATTATTTAATCAAACAGTGCGCTTAAATCAGACAAGCTCAGTGCTTATCGTGGATTTTATTAAAACACACAGGATGTGGAAAGATACGTTTTAAAATGTCAACCAATCGATTGGTCGAAAGAACAGATTACTATTGTCAACCAAGATTGTTTGTCAGGGACTGCCCTAATTGTTCTATTCGGTGTTGTTACAGCATACAACTCACATAATGCAAAGTCAAAGAAATAATCGAAACCAAAATCGAAAACCGTGATTTTTTTTTTATAATTTAACCGAACCCAAAGTCAAAAAGCACTAATCGCTCAGCACTAGTGTGTGGAGGGAGAGGGGGGGGGTGCAGCCGCCACTGCAATATCACACAATGTTAACCATAAAATATGACAGGTTATTAAATACCCATATTAAACGATATGTTGGCTGGCTGCTGCTAGCGATGTGAGGCCAGGAGAAGTTGTTGTACAGGTTTTGGAGTGTTTGGGTGGGTACAGTGTGGTGGTAGACCCTGAGACTAGGTTTAGGCGTAACGTCCTTCTCTCTCTGATGGAAACCAACCAAGGCAGCGCTGTTTTAGAGTTTTGTTATGGTCTGGGAGGTTTATGAGCGCAGGAGACCTGTGAGCCAGAGTGCAAAGCTGATATCCCATTATCCATAAACTTCACTGCAGGGCCCCTATTCAAGGACAGCGCCCAAGACATTCCTATCAGTTTCACTCTGTATGAACATTTATATAATCTTACCTTCAAGTTCATGTTGACACTTCTGTTCACTGTGCTCAGACAATAGTCTTATACGGTAGGTTAATAAGTGTCCGTGTTGAAATGAACCGAATTCAACAGGTAGCAGCCCACTGTTCGTTCAACAAAATTCCTGACGTTGTACTTTTCTTTTGAACAGATGCGGCGGCTATATCACAAGTCTCGTCTGCGATCGGACAGCTGCTCCAGCTCACACTCCACCGCAATGACATTATCGGGCACATAGGAGTGACATGTTTTCAGAGGCGTAGCCAGCAAATGGAGAAGGAGCGACAGACATCAGCACATGGTGCAATACCAACACGGCCAGTAGGCTGGCTTTACTACCAAGGCATATGGGCAAGTCGAGAAGAGAGCAGCGGGGGTTGGCTACTAGAGACGGGTGACTGTAGATTCAGTGACAGTCGGGTGTGACAATTTGATACCACGAGCAACTACACTGCAAAGCTCGAGAGCTGACAAATTAAAGTTCCAGGTGAGGAACATTGTGCACGAGCGAACGCAGTCAACACCAGACAAAACGTAAAAGTACAGTTTTCATTAACACTCAAATAACTTAGCATAAATGTACTTTATCAATAGACTGATGACAAAATAGGCCCTACTTAGTGCTTACCTGGACCATCTGACGCTGAAAGAGCAGGTGAATTGAGTTTCGGTCGTTTTGCGTTGGGAGGTCCGACGTCCAGCAAATTGTCAGCCATTCTGATCCGTAAGAATGATCACTAAATAATGATGCAAAATGAAATCCGACTCCTTCCAGCTCGAAAAATGTACTGACAACAATCTTTTTTTCTTACTCACACACCACGTATAGGGGTATTTAACCAGCTAGCTGGCAAGCTAGAAAAATGCTTGCACTAGTCAGCGGAGTAGAATGTTTCAAAATAAAGGCAACAGCGCCACGCTTCGCCGCTGACAATCACCCCATGATAATCCAACACCCAACACCCACATAATTATCGTTAATAATTATTGCCAAAAAATATTTCAGTTCACGACAAATAAATTAAAATAGTAGCAAAAAAAGTCTATAGTGTGGATTCAAGTCCCTTTCTCCATAAATCCCTAGATAGGTATATTTAAATAAGCACCTTTTCCCGGTCCAAATGAACAGCCTTAAATTCCATTTTCGCCTCCAATAAAGACAAGAAATTTCCCAAAATATTTTGTATGCGCCGATTTATTTTTCTCGATACTGTCTCCCGATAAATACATCGTCTCGGAACTGAGATACCGAGAAGCGGCGCTCGCTGAAGGGGAAATCAAATATACGAGGGGCTCTCCAGACGACAAAAACCGATCCAATCCTCGTTTTTTCTCAATAATTATCTTCGAAGGAATAAAGACTTCGATTTTCTGCAGAATAAAGCCGTTTCAGCACGGTCTAAATGGCTCGTTTCGGTCTAAAAAAGATTGCTCTCCCGAAATCCAGATTCTGAGCCGCGTCAAGATGGCGGGTGTTGATTCCTCCGATACAAAAAGTTTTTTTCTTTCTAGCTAGACTGTGGGGGGGGGGAGGGGCTGTGTAATCACGCCCTACGCAAACCTATGCCCTGCCGTGCGTCATGTGGACGTACATCAACTAGCCTCTAGGGGTGGAATAACCCCCAAAATGAAGGAGCTGTCAAAGCACTTTCTAACCTAAAGCGTTGCGAACAATGTACAAGTGAGCAGTTATTGTGGTTTTTTTTACTTCTGAAATGCTTAATAATTACAGCCCCCCGTATACATTGTGTATTATGCGTCACCAAGTCTCATAAGACCATTTTGGGGCCCTTCACCCTTGTCCATCCATCAAGTAAGCTACATTTGTATCAACTTCAGGAGCCAAGCAACAGAAGTTTACATGTCAATTGTAAATGCGCAAAATCTTCAAGAGTTACATCAAGAGTTGTAATAATGGGTAAATATCAAGCAATGCAAACAGAACCATCAAAACAAATCTCAGAAAATAATCACTTTATTCTTTTTTTTCTTCTTTTTTTACCTTCATTTGCGGACCCCTCCAAAGATGCAGCGTGCTATAGGCTGCACAAAAGACAGTCGGAGGGAGGCCAAAGATCTACCAGCCGTAACTGTACAGTAGGCGTATATGAAACAGGGTCTGAAAACATGAACAGAAATCTAGCAGTGTGAATTTACCTTGCAGTGTGTTGATGATGTAGCCTGGTCCCAGATCTGTTTGCACTGTCTAGTCAACTCCTATGGTCATTGTTTGCTGTTACATTGACCATAGGAGCTGCCAACAGCACAAACCAATCTGAGACTGACCAGGCTACTCATAGGGGAATACCATTGGATCCCTTAGGAAGGAGAGATCTGTAGCCTAGGCCTATATAGAAGTAGTGGTGGCAGGAAAATGTCCTTATAGGTCCTTGTCAGCGTCCCGTGTGACTCAGTTGGTAGAGCATGGCACTTGCAACGCCAAGTTGTAGGTTCGATTCCCACGGGGGACCAGTATGGGAAAAAAAGTATGAAAAAGGTATGCACTCACTACTGTCAGTTGCTCTGGATCAGAGCATCTGCTAAATTACAAAAATGTAAATTGAATTCGACAATGTGGTGAAAAGAAATTGACAATTTCAGGCAGCACACAATCCTAGGGCTACTGGGGTTAGTTAAAGCATCCCTCTCCCACAATCATACAGTTACACAAACGTTCGTACAGGTAGGTACATATACTGTACATGCAGGCAAACATGACATTTGGAAATAATTGCAAAAATGTTCTAACATTTATCTAACCTTCCATGTATTCCTCAACCCTTCAACAATGGCACCTGTGTAAATAATATTAAATGCATATGTACATACATACATATCATACTAGTTAGTATAGAAACAACCCATCATCAATGTGCACAAGACAGAGCAAATGAAGACGGGAAAGAAAGGCAAAACATACATCAAATCAATGAGGACACTCTTGGCATCAAAACTAGTCCCAATGTGCCATTCTGTTAGTTCACAACATTTCAATCCCATTGTCAATCTATGAAGTCATTTTTGCAGTGAAGGCAAGTTATTACAAAAAAACACTAAGCTTTTTTGAAGTAGGGAGCCCAATACCCTTTTCACACTACTGAGCCCAACCGAGCTGTACTGTGCTGGTCCGGTAACACATCCACCACAGTTGCAGTGTGAAAAGAAAATAGAGCCATCATCACACTACGCAGTGGTGGAAAAAGTACTCAAATTGTCATACTTGAGTAAAAGTAAAGATACCTTAATAGAAAATGACAAGTAAAAGTGAAAGTCACCCAATAAAATACTACTTGAGTAAAAGTCTAAAAGTATTTGGTTTTAAATATATTTAAGTATTAAAAGTAAATGGAATTGCTAAAATGTCCTTAAGTATCAAAAGTAAAAGTATAAACCATTTCAAATTCCTTATTTTAAGCAAACCAGACGGCATAATTTTCTTGGTTTTTTAAATTTACGGCTAGCCAGGGGCACAATCCAACACTCAGACATAATTTACAAACGAAGCATGTGTGATTAGTGAGTCCGCCAGATCAGAGGCAGTAGGGATGACCAGGGATGTTCTCTTGATACAGTAAGGGAAAAAAGTATTTGATCCCCTGCTGATTTTGTACGTTTGCCCACTGACAAAGACATGATCAGTCTATAATTTTAATGGTAGGTTTATTTGAACAGTGAGAGACAGAATAACAAGAAAAAAATCCAGAAAAACGCATGTCAAAAATGTTATAAATTGATTTGCATTTTAATGAGGGAAATAAGTATTTGACCCCTCTGCAAAACATGACTTAGTACTTGGTGGCAAAACCCTTGTTGGCAATCACAGAGATCAGACGTTTCTTGTAGTTGGCCACCAGGTTTGCACACATCTCAGGAGGGATTTTGTTCCACTCCTCTTTGCAGATCTTCTCCAAGTCATTAAGGTTTCTAGGCTGATGTTTGGCAACTCGAACCTTCAGCTCCCTCCACAGATTTTCTATGGGATTAAGGTCTGGATTTCTGGCTAGGCCACTCCAGGACCTTAATGTGCTCCTTCTTGAGCCACTCCTTTGTTGCCTTCGCCGTGTGTTTTGGGTTATTGTCATGCTGGAATACCCATCCACGACCCATTTTCAATGCCCTGGCTGAGGGAAGGAGGTTCTCACCCAAGATTTGACGGTACATTGCCCCATCCATCGTCCCTTTGATGTCCTGTCCCCTTAGCAGAAAAACACCCCCAAAGCATGTTTGACGGTGGGGATGGTGTTCTTGGGGTCATAGGCAGCATTCCTCCTCCTCCAAACACGGCGAGTTGAGTTGATGCCAAAGAGCTCGATTTTGGTCTCGTCTGACCACAACACTTTCACCCAGTTCTCCTCTGAATCATTCAGATGTTCATTGGCAAATTTCAGACGGGCATGTATATGTGCTTTCTTGAGCAGGGGGACCTTGTGGGCGCTGCAGGATTTCAGTCCTTCACGGCGTATTGTGTTACCAATTGTTTTCTTGGTGACTATGATCCCAGCTGCCTTGAGATCATTGACAAGATCCTCCCGTGTAGTTCTGGGCTGATTCCTCACTGTTCTCATGATCATTGCAACTCCACGAGGTGAGATCTTGCATGGAGCCCCAGGCCGAGGGAGATTGACAGGTCTTGGCGATGGTCTTGTAGCCCATTCCAGCCTTGTGTAGGTCTACAATCTTGTCCCTGACATCCTTGGAGAGCTCTTTGGTCTTGGCCATAGTGGAGAGTTTGGAATCGGATTGATTGATTGCTTCTGTGGACAGGTGTCTTTTATACAGGTAACAAGCTGAGATCAGGAGCACTCCCTTTAAGAGTGTGCTCCTAATCTCAGCTCGTTACCTGTATAAAAGACACCTGGGAGCCATAAATCTTTCTGATTGAGAGGGGGTCAAATACTTATTTCCCTCATTAAAATGCAAATCAATTTATTACATTTTTGACATGCGTTTTTCTTAATTTTGTTGTTGTTATTCTGTCTCTCACTGTTCAAATAAACCTACCATTAAAATTATAGACTGATCATTTCTTTGTCAGTGGGCAAACGTACAAAATCAGCAGGGGATCAAATACTTTCTTCCCTCACTGTAAGTGTGTGAATTGGACCATTTTCCTGTCAAAATGTAACGAGTACTTTTGGATGTAAAAGTCAAAGTAAAAGTTGGCAAAATAGTTTAAATAGTAAAGTAAAGTACATATACCCCAAAAAACTACTTAAGTAGTACTTTAAAGTATTTTTACTTAAGTACTTTACACCACTGACAGTACGGTTCGGACTGAATCGGGCATAAGATTTGGGCTCCAACACCTCTGAGAGTTAGCCTTAAATGAAACTATTTATTTCCCTTTGTTTTCTAAAGAACAGTACTTATCCAGCACCAACACGATAAAACACCAGGAATCCATAGGTTGATAAGCAGAGTTTCTCAAAGGCAGTAAGAGAAGCTGTAGCTAATATGGCCTTTTATCTTCCTTTCATGTGTCCAGACTTCAATTATGCAGTTTCCCCTTCCTTGGGACATTTAGCAAGATAACACTGTGTGAAGTTTATTATTTAAACTGATTGTTCTGATATGTCCCTTTATTGTAATCGATGGAATTTGGGTAGGTTACAACAAGGGTTGTGTGCTCATAATCGGCAAGAATAAATTTTACCTTTTGAAAACAATGCCATTTGTAGATTAATGCACTTAAAATGGGCCTAGCCCCATTCAAGCAATTCTACACAGCACAACAATATCCAGCCAAACAAAGTAAAACTACATTTTTGTTATTCCCTAAACTAATCATTCATTGTGCTGTGTACCAAAAAGTGGCAATGAACTGCAATATTGAGTTTCACACTCATATCAGTGAATCTAAATGTTGGAAACAATTTCTCAGCAGATTATGTAGTAGAAAAGGCACATGTCAAATTCAAATAAAAAGTGAAAAGAACTTGGATGAGAAAAATATGTAAAAATATGTAAAACATGTAAGCACTACACATGTAAAAAAGTTCCAAACATTTGTATTCAAGGAGGTTTGAGAAATAAAATGTGGCAATCTTCATTAAATTATGTCAGAGTTGATTTAGAGAGGATTTTCCTATGACTGAAAATGCACTACTAGCAAACTCTTGCAGTACACACAAGGAACCTGTAGTAAAACAAATGATGGCACTACAAAAGAGAAAGTTAAGTGCTGAAAGTTGAAAGATGCACTTAAAACCCAAATGATTGCTAGTATCTCCATCTTTACTAAACTAAAACATGTTGGTTTGGAGTCTTTTACTATTAACATTGACTTCCCAAGTAATAGTCCTAATTCAGAAAGCTTTGATATTGTACCTTTGAGGTTTCAAAGTATGTCTGAGGTCACAAATAATATAAGACGTTTCCATCCCCAGTTTTTATGTGAGTAAAGTCATACTGCATAATAAATACAAAATCACGACATCTGTGATGGAAACAGGAAGTTTCGGTACAATTTTATAAATTGCCGAAAGATCATTTGTTCGTTCGACGTGGTGTGATCTTTCTGTGTTGGTAAAATAACAAATTATGCGAGGTAAATATTCATATAATAACCATCATATCGAAGTAAACCATGAGTCATGCGATGATATACAGTTTATTAGGCTACACATGAAATAGGCCTAACTTATGATGAACTTCACAGGGTGATGAAAGTGCACAGTGAGCTTGATGTTCCTTTCCAATAAATATTGAGGGTCTGATTCTGGTGACATGTTAATCGATGCTTGACTGCAATTTAAAATATATACATTTTCTCGCTCTTATCCATAATAATCTTATCATGTAGACTAGCCTACCCACACTGTATCTGCAAGCTGTTGGTTAGAGCGCACATGCCAAGACCAGAGTAGGCAAATTTGGTAGAGTTGAAAATGCAATAGAAACACATTGAACTTTGATTTTTATTTGGTACATGAAAACTTAAGTGAAAAAGTACATTTTGTGTGCACTGTGTCATCACGCACTGATTTTTATCCGCAACAAATCCATTTGGTGGAAACACACCACTGGTGGGAAAATGCGCATATTTCCTTTATGCAGATTTCAGAATATTTGCATGAAAATCTCTCACCAATTGGATGGAAACCTAGTCGTAGCATTACTTGTTTTGTTCTTTCCCCCGAGCACCCAAGCCCTTTTACTAAAACAGAGAGACAGTGACATGGATGATTAGACTTGCAGTTGGAGGAAATGCACTGTACAGTTTACCATACTCAATTCTCTCAAGAAAGGGTCTGATAAAACAATGCATACAGTACATATTAAAAAAAAGTACAAACTACGAGATCTCAACTTCGACAAATCAAACACACAAAACAAATAGGAAAATATGTAGCACTGACTGAACATGCACACTTTACATGTTTATTATATGTTGCTTACATGACACATGTTAGAAACTTCCCTCATTATCCAGGATCTGATTTGGCAGGAATGCCGTAACAAGAGCAATCGGGTGCATTCCCTTGCATGTAATTCTAAATAGCCAGACGGTAGAGTAATAGGAGTGGGGCATGGCAATAGCAGATCAAGTCCTATTTGAAGGTCAATATACCAATCTACCATTCCATTAAACTGGATCACTCAACATCTTAACTCAGAAGCCAGAAAGAAATCTCTGTTAACGGTCCGTCACAAGAGACTACTCAAGATTAGCCTGGTCCCAGATCTGTTGTGCTCAAGCCTATTTCACATGATATGTATGTGACGCACGTGTAACATGTAACAATTTTAGCAGATTGTTAACTGTATTGTAAGCAAGCCAGTACGTTCTATAGAAACCACCTATTAGGAGGCCTACCTAGAGGCGTGCACTTCAAACCTCCACAACAGTAGCCTAACAACAGATTGCATTCCTGTAAAAGACTAGGAAGAGGTTATGGCACATGAACCAACCTGTGGTGCTAAAATGTAGCTTTATAGACTTGAAACACTAATGTGCAGTTGAAGTTAATTAATTATATGTTAAAGAGTTAGGGTCGAGTCCTAACTTAAACATTTTCACTTAGTCATGCATCGATGTCAATGGGAGACTATGACTTAAAACAGACTTAAGTGGGAGTTAGGATTCTGCCCTAATTTATATTACCAAGGTCTAGATGAGGGCTTAAGGCTGGTAAGACAGAGGTCCTTACTTTTAACCAGGGCCAGGAGAAAAGATACCACATCAGCAAGAGGGATTTCATTATTTCTTGATCACACTCCCGACCTTCTTAGTCATCCCACGGTTTCATCTGTTTCAGAATGACAACTTCCAGCCACCTCTCCACATGAGGCCGTGGACGGCAGTTATTACTGTAGTGTAGCGCACGAACACAAGCACACAGTCAGGCCTTCCGACTGATGTTCTAGATGTTGTTGTGGGTTTGTCTGAGAGCGTTGTGCGAGGCCTGTGCTTTTCTTAGACAATTTAAAGTGATTCACTGTGAAAAGACGACTCCATCTTGCTTCCCTTTGTAACCCATCATTCACTCTTCACTGTGGCATTCCTTATTGTGCTGATTCTTGTAAACTCCTTAACTACAGTAACAAAAACAATGTCATAGCTACACAGACCAAAGACAACTATAACAAACTGACAGAAACCAAGCTTTTGCCTTAAAATGTACATAAGGTTCACAGTTTTGTAGTATAGAAGTCTTTCCCAGTTTTCTTTTCCCTTTATTGTTTCTTCCTCTTTCATTGTCCAGATCAGCTTGGTCTACACATTATTTTGTGCTAAAGGCACTTAATCAAAAAACATTACAAAAACAAAGGCAGGGAAAAAAAAGAAGAAAAAAACCACACCAAAAATAAAGACTAAAGATGTTAGTGAGAATCAAGTAGATCATGGGAGGCTATGGGTTTCTATAGCAACATAAGTTCATCTTCTTATTCACTCTTACTGTGATCCATACAGTGCCCACCAGAGACATCGGTTGTGTTCAGTGGGCATGAACCGGAAGAAAACAGACGTAGTATCTGAACTTGTTCAATAAGAAATGCTCATTTTCACTTCCAGTTGCAAGAAGTTTTACAAAAGGTGTGCCCTAATGAACATGACCCTGGAGAAGAATTGACAACAGAGGTGCCAGAAACTGGTTTCTTGCAGTCTGCCATTTTGGTGCTTCCTCCTGTATGCCTTCTCATCACATATGCTTGTTCCATAATAAGCTTAAACTGGCAGGAACGCAAGAAAGACCATACTTAAAGGGCTGAAGGCTAATGCAAAAAGCTATCGCAGACATAACAGTCTTAGAGTTTCGTTAGCTCGCCAATAATGTCATCATCGTCCTTCTCCACTTTCTCTTTTTTCACCTCCTTCCGTGACTCAGTTGCTGTGGCATTCTGAGGGGAGAGAGGCTGGAGGGAGGCAGGCGCCACAGGTTTTGGTTGTTGGAGGACGTTTGTTGGAGGAGCTCCAGCTAGACTAGTGACGGGCAGATTTGATTCTTGGACGTTGGTTGAAGGAGCTTCACCTTTATTAGTGATGGGAATAATTGGTTGTTGGACATTTGTCGATGTTTGAGGAGCACCTGCTAGACTAGTGATGGGCAGATTTGGTTGTTGGACTTTTGTGGAAGGAGATCCACCTAAACTAATGATGGGCAGAGTCGGTTGTTGGACTTTCAAAGTAGCTCCAGCTTGACTAGTGATAGGCAGGGAGGCTAGACCAACGTAGGACGAGGAGGAGGAGGAGCGTCTGGCTGTGATGGTCTCTGTAGTATTAGGGCTACAGTAGTATTGTTCCCGGCTGTCTGGCCTATCTCCAGCCTCCACCATCCCCCTCTCAGGCCGCAGCAGACCCGTGGACACCCTAGGGCTGAGCGAGGGACTGGTGGTACTGGGTACACCAGCCATGGAGCTAGGCACCATATTAGAGAGCTCATCCGTTGGCGAGCGCCCGATACTCCCGTCCACCTGCACCCGGATCTCTGGCGATACGGAGAGCAGGTACTGAGGCACGGGGGCACCGCTGTCCGCACTCTTGGGGAACAGAAAGGTCTTCATTTGACCTTTGCCCTTGACATTGACTGTGCCGCGGTAGTCGAAGTTGTAGTCCATGGCACTGAGCGCACAGTAGCTCTCCTCGCTCACCTGCACGCGGCACTCCACGCCCGTGGTGTCCATGCGACTGGCGATGTTCACTGTGTCGCCCCAGATGTCGTAGAGCAGCTTAGTGGTGCCGATCACCCCTGCGGTCAAAGGACCATGGTTGAACCCAATGCGCAACTTGAACTTGAAGCCCAGCATGTTCTTGTTGAAGTCGTCCACCACGCGCATCATCTCCAGTGCGAAGTCAAACAGCGCCCGCAGGTGGCCGTGCGGGTGCGGCGCCTCGGCGCACTGCTGCGCGTTCAGCCCGGCCGCCGCCATGTACGTGGCGCCGATGGTCTTGATCTTCTCAATGTTGTTGAAGGGCGGCTCGCGAAGCAGCTCATCAAAGTCACCGATGAGCTCATTGAGCACGCGGTAGCACTCCTTGCCGCCCTCGTAACTCTCCTCGTAGAACTCGCTAAAGTTCACGATACTGGCAAAAATCACGCCAATGTTACCATGGTTTTTTGAGTAACTCTGGGTCACTTTGAGCTGCTCTGCCACGTGGATGGGGATGATGTTCCTAAGCAACCAATCGGCTTGGTCCCTCATGTTCTGGATCTTGATGCGGTGTTGGTCGGCCTCCACGTTGCCGTGGTAATGGAGGCGGTAGCTGACCTCGAACTCGCGGTTGAGGAACCAGACGAGCAGCAGAAGCAGGAAGAAGGCCACTCCCACCTCGGGGCCCAGCAGGTCCTGAGGGCGGGGCAGGGGGTCAGTGGCGGGCTCAGGCTGACCAGGCACAACACTGCTGTGGTTACTGTTGTTGGTGGCGTCACCAGACCTGGAGGAGAGAGAAAGGGAGGGAGAAACAAGGAAGGAGAGAAGAAAGGAGGGATGGAGAGATGGAAGGAGGGATGGTGAAAAAGAGAGGGAAGAAGTTAAGGAAGAGAGATATATTTAAAATCTGAGAATACAGCATGGCCATCCAATGATACATTGTGAATGCATCAATAGTTGTATAGATAACTTCATTCTACTCACCAAAATAACATACTCTTGGCAGAACTGGAAGACAGAGGAGACAAAAACATGGGACACGGTCGGATAAGATTAATTGAGTTCACAACAAATTAAATTACACAGTGTCAGCACAAAGGAAAAGTCATACTAAAGGATGACATTGTGGTAATATTGTATACAATATCCTATCGAACCTCAGTGAGTGCATTGGTAGTGGATTAAATGGGCAATATACAAATTTGAGGGTGGTTACATTTCTCCAGCCCCGTTCCTCAGTTGTTTACCAAAACAGTGACAGGGTGTCCGTGTTGTTATTGTTTGAACTGCAGATGCCCCTTTAAGGTCCTTTCTGACCAACAAAAAGGGCCATAAATGTGTTAAAAAAGATATCATTCATTATAATGTGTCTGACCTGCAGGGGGGGCTGAAGAGCAGGACGAGCAGCATTATAATGTGTCTGACCTGCAGGGGGGGCTGAAGAGCAGGACGAGCAGCACCATTCCCACCACGGTAGCCATGGCCGAGCGCATCCAGCAGCTCAGCTGGCAGAAGTTACAGTACTGGATGATGGCAATGATCACTGCACAGCAGGTGAGCATGGTGAACTGGGAGACACAGATAGAGACACAGGAAGGAACAATCGTTAGCATTGTCAAACTCTGGAGGAAATGACCGGGGCAAATTAACAGAATAGACACGCTCACCTGTATGGAGAGGTGCATGTCACAGGTGACGTGTGAGAAGACGGACACAGTGGGCAGGGACACCAGCACGGCCCCTATCAGGTGACGGGGGACCCAGCCAGAGATGGCCCTCAGCAGGGTCCTAGTGCAGCTCATCACGCTGTCCAGGTAGAAGGCCATCCTGGGAGAGGAGGAGAGGAGGTTAGCTCAGAGAGGGCTGATAGACAGTATGTGTACAGTAATCCAACCCCATTGAAAAACAGACTAATAGCCTCCCCTTTTCCCCCCCCATCTTCAAACCTCACCCCACTAAGTTCTCTCCCATTCAACATCCTCCCCCTCTTCCTCTCCTCCCCAGTTCCTCCCCACCTCTCATATCCCTCTCCCCACCCCCTTACCGTATAGACAGCACCAGCGCCAGGGCCTCCAGCAGGGCGGCCACGGCAACCAGGGCGAGGGCCGGGGCAGGCAGGGGGGCCTTAGGGAGGGAGAGCAGGGGCCGGAGGAGGCAGGCCAGGGAGAGGGCCAGGAACACAGAGCAGCACAGGACCATGTCCAGGAAAGAGCTGAAGGTAGGACTGGCAAAGGTCTGCACCGCCGCCTGGGTCTCCACCTGGGGACGGGAGGGAATAGAAGAGAATAAATACTTTGTCATTTTTCAATGGAAATTGATTGATTTGCTGTCACAATAGCCAACCTCATACACACACAAAGACACACAAGGCTGGGAGCAGCACAGCGTTAGCCGCAGAGCACTGCCAGAGCAATTGTAGGAGTTAAGTGCCTTGCTAAAGGCACAATGGCAATGAATGGTACCTGGGTCCGGTTGCAAAGAGTAAAGAAATAAAGAGAGGGGAGGATTGGAAAGGGTAAAAGAGAGAGAGCAAAGGAAAGGAACAGATGATTAAAAAAATAACAAAGGTTGCGGGAGAGAATAGAGAAGCATGAGGAATGGAAGTCTTTAAAAAAACTCTTGTTGTGATTAAGTCGTAAGTATGAAACTGAATTGGCCTTCTGTAGCTCAGTTGGTAGAGCATGGCGCTTGCAACGCCAGGGTTGTGGGTTCGATTCCCACGGGGGGACCAGTATGAAAAACTTTATGCACTCACTAACTGTAAGTCGCTCTGGATAAGAGCGTCTGCTAAATGACTAAAATGTAAATGTAAACTAAACATTATCCAGACGTGAAGTTGAACATGCAGTTCCCCCACTTTATCAGCAGAGGGCTTCACAAGCCAAGAGGACATTCCTATTGAGGTCCTGCAGTGATTTCCCTGCCTTTGCCGCAGTCCTGACAGGCCATACATAGTGCAGTGCTTACAGGTTACTCAGAGAACACACACACAGAGAGCTAGACAGACATGAAGAAAAGCAGGGTGAAACGGATAGGGAGTCAGAGGGACAGACAAGAAAAGACAAACCAGGTCTAGTCTAGTAGACAGAGAGAAGTAGTGAGACATTAGAAAGACAAATAAGAGGAACAGAGACAGACAGACAGGCAGAGTAATAGATAGGGGACAGACAGACCAAAGAGGGGGGGGGAATTGTTGACAGGGAGAGGCAGATAGCGAGAGAGACAGAAAAGAGGGATACACACCTCTTCCTGGTAGCTGGTCCTGTAGGCAGACTCCAGGGTTCTGTCCAGGAAGGTGTGGCTCAGCTTGTTGATGGGAGGCTTGAAGAAGTAGTCCTTCATCAGACTGGGAGATGGACAGATCAACAGACGTCAGTCAGTCAGTGTAGAGAAGACGGACTCGGGGGAGAGAGTTACACCAACCTATCATACCACCAGGGCCGTCCGTGTTCATTAGGCACCAAACGATTTGCAATGGAAAATGAAAATGAGCTTTTCTTATTGGACCAGATAGTCCGTCACCTGTATCATGTCTGTTTTCGTCCGTTTGGTGCTTAATGAACACGACCCAGGGGCTTATTCAGTGGGCAGAAGCGTAAGGATCACTTTAACAAAATAGCATGGAGCAGATCATACCGCAGTGTGTGTTCTATATAGGATTGCAAAATTCTGGTAACTTTGTCTAAATTCAATTTAAAAATATAAGCAGGAAATCCAGATCCTCCAACCACGATTTCTGGAAAATTGGGAATTTTAGGGAAAGCTACGGAATTTTTGGAACCTTAGTTCTATAGTGTACATTGTAAATAGACACACTGTACCAAAACAGACATTGATTCCACATTAAAGATACGTGTGGGTCTGCTTCTTACATAACAGTTCTACCTTCAGCGTTCAGAATCTTATCCTTGTATTTCCTGGTTTCAGATCTATTTGTGCAATCCTGCCAACTCCCCAAAAAGCTCCACCACATCCATCAAGCCCGGTTTCAGATCAGTTTGTGTGATCTGGGACCAGGCTAACATCCATCCACCCACCTGTCCTCCTTGATAACATCCACAAAGTGAGCGTCGCTCCTCTCTCTGAAGTTCTTGGAGCGCAGGGGGATGAGGGCAGAGTGGTCCATGCCCATCCCCATGGCCCCTCCACCCCACTTCTTCTCCTTCTCCTGTAGCATCTCACACAGGGACGTCTGGCTGTTGGTCAGGGGATCCTCCAGCCTGGGGCTCAGCAGACCGTTCAGGGCCTTGGGGCTGTGGCCAACGGGGCCTACGGGGGCCTGGGAGGGACATTTGAGAGATGAGGTGTCCTGGTGGAGTTGAGAGGAGAGAGGCTGGTGAGAAGCTGTGTGATGTTGATTGATTGTGTGTGTGTGTGCGTGCGTACGTATTGAAACGGAGAGAGGAGAGTGAGAAGTGTTAGACCTGAGGTCTTGGATAAGAGTGATTAATGACATAGTTAGTGAAGTCAAATTAATCAAAACATTTCCGTTTGGATAGGTTCTATAAAGTGATGTCAGGCTTGTTCTTGTCATTCCATCATGTACAGTATAGCGATATAAATATGACTTAAGAAATACAATGTGATAACACTAGCCTAGTTTGATAAACTGGGGTTAGATTTAAGTGAAGTCAGGTTGGGATTAGTAAAGGTCACGGCCAGGTTCAAAGGTCAAACGTTCACTAGAGTGAGGTAAGGTGAGGCAAACCTTGCTGCTATTGGTCGTGTGGTCGTCATGGCAACCGTTCTGCACCATGCCCTCCTCCAGAACCTGATCCTCCTCTGGTACTACAGCCACACTGCAGGAGAGACAGGGAGACTGGAGAGAAGGAGAGAGCGAAAGAGAGGGATTTGTCTATTTATATCATTTATATCGTTTTTCAATCCAAGTATTGACAAATTCTCATACTGTAGTTTACACACAGCCCATTCACTCTTGTGTTGTGTGTGGTTGGTGTGCTTAGCCTAAGTATTGATTGGGTGCATCAACCACACACACACACGCATCAAAAACACACAAAACCGTTTTATTTTTCTTAATTCACTAACATGCAAACATTATTTTTTTCACAGACGCCCACACACTCTTACACACTCTCTCTCTCTCTCACACACACACACACACTTGGATTTCTATATTTGCTTGTTAACCTCCACTCTACCCACATATATATATACACATTTATGATATGAGATCATTAACAATTCTTCCTGGAATATCCAGGGCTTGTACTCTTCTAGCTTAGGTCTTAAAACCACAAACCCAGATATTCTTAACAATACCAAAGTCTTGACATAATAATTATTCTAGAAACATGGTGTCATAGATACTCAATGTCCTCCAGGCTATAGGGAAATGTTACTTCCATCATTCAAACATAAAAACATAAAACAGAGCAGTAACTCGGGAGGATTGATCATATGGTATAAACGGGACCTTTCACTAAACCAGATCAAAAAGGGTAACACCCACATTTGGTTCAAACTCAACAAAAGCACAATCATTACTAAGAATTATATATACACACATATATATATATATACACATATATATATATATATATATATATATATATATATATACATACATACAGTGGGGGAAAAAAGTATTTAGTCAGCCACCAATTGTGCAAGTTCTCCCACTTAAAAAGATGAGAGAGGCCTGTAATTTTCATCATAGGTACACGTCAACTATGACAGACAAATTGAGAATTATTTTTCCAGAAAATCACATTGTAGGATTTTTTATGAATTTATTTGGTCACCTACAAACAAACAAGATTTCTGGCTCTCACAGACCTGTAACTTCTTCTTTAAGAGGCTCCTCTGTCCTCCACTCGTTACCTGTATTAATGGCACCTGTTTGAACTTGTTATCAGTATAAAAGACACCTGTCCACAACCTAAAACAGTCACACTCCAAACTCCACTATGGCCAAGACCAAAGAGCTGTCAAAGGACACCAGAAAAAAAATTGTAGACCAGCACCAGGCTGGGAAGACTGAATCTGCAATAGGTAAGCAGCTTGGTTTGAAGAAATCAACTGTGGGAGCAATTATTAGGAAATGGAAGACATACAAGACCACTGATAATCTCCCTCGATCTGGGGCTCCACGCAAGATCTCAACCGCGTGGGGTCAAAATGATCACTAGAACGGTGAGCAAAAATCCTAGAACCACACGGGGGGACCTAGTGAATGACCTGAAGAGAGCTGGGACCACAGTCTCAAAGAAAACCATTAGTAACACACTACGCCGTCATGGATTAAAATCCTGCAGCGCACGCAAGGTCCCCCTGCTCAAGCCAGCGCATGTCCAGGCACGTCTGAAGTTTGCCAATGACCATCTGGATGATCCAGAGGAGGAATGGGAGAAGGTCATGTGGTCTGATGAGACAAAAATAGAGCTTTTTGGTCTAAACTCCACTCGCCGTGTTTGGAGGAAGAAGAAGGATGAGTACAACCCCAAGAACACCATCCCAACCGTGAAGCATGGAGGTGGAAACATCATTCTTTGGGGATGCTTTTCTGCAAAGGGGACAAAACGACTGCACCGTATTGAGGGGAGGATGGATGGGGCCATGTATCGCGAGATCTTGGCCAAAAACCTCCTTCCCTCAGTAAGAGCATCGAAGATGGGTCATGGCTGGGTCTTCCAGCATGACAACGACCCGAAACACACAGCCAGGACAACTAAGGAGTGGCTCCGTAAGAAGCATTTCAAGGTCCTGGAGTGGCCTAGCCAGTCTCCAGACCTGAACCGAATAGAAGATCTTTGGAGGGAGCTGAAAGTCCGTATTGCCCAGCGACAGCCCCGAAACCTGAAGGATCTGAAGAAGGTCTGTATGGAGGAGTGGGCCAAAATCCCTGCTGCAGTGTGTGCAAACCTGGTCAAGACCTACAGGAAACGTATGATCTCTGTAATTTCAAACAAAGGTTTCTGTACCAAATATTAAGTTCTGCTTTTCTGATGTATCAAATACTTATGTCATGCAATAAAATGCAAATGAATTACTTAAAAATCATACAATGTGATTTTCTGGATTTTTGTTTTAGATTCTGTCTCTCACAGTTGAAGTGTACCTATGATAAAAATTACAGACCTCTACATGCTTTGTAAGTAGGAAAACCTGCAAAATCGGCAGTGTATCAAATACTTGTTCTCCCCACTGTATATATATACACAAATATATACACATATATATATATATATATATATATATATATATATATATATATATATATATACACTACCAGTCAAAAGTTTGGACACACCAACTCATTCAAGGGGTTTTCATTATTTTTTAATATTTTCTACATTGTAGAATAATAGTGAAGACATCAAAACTATGAAATAACACATATGGAATCATGTAGTAACCAAAAAAAGTGTTAAACAAATCAAAATATACTTTATATTTGAGATTCTTCAAATAGTCACCCTTTGCCTTGATGACAGCTTTGCACACTCTTGGCATTCTCTCAACCAGCTTCATGAGGTAGTCACCTCGAACGCATTTCAATTAACAGGTGTGCCTTCTTAAAAGTTAATTTGTGGAATTTCTTTCCTTCTTAATGTGTTTGAGCCAATCAGTTATATAAAGCAAAGAGAAACGACAGTCCATCAGTACTTTAAGACATGAGTCAGTCGGGTTTCAAAAACTTTCCCCCGACGGAAATGGGGGAAAAAGGGACACCCGAAAAGGGGGCCCCTTTAGGGAAACGGGGGAAAAGGGGGCCAAAGGGGGACCCCCCAGCCCCCCCCAAAAGTGGGGGGCCCAAAAAGGTGTAAAGGGTTGGCAACCTGGGAGGAGGAGGGGGAGAGAGGGGGTTTTAGTCAGAGAGGGGGATAGCAGATGTGACGTAATCCAACCCCTTAAAAAAACAGACTAAAGCCCCCCTTTTCCCCCCCTTTTAAAAACCTCACCCCAAAGGGTTCTCCCCTTTCCCATCCTCCCCCTCCCCTCCCCAGGCCCCCCCCCCCAACCCTCCTACCCCCCTTTTCTCCTTCCCCCATCCCCCCAACTCCCCCCCCCTTTTCCCCCCCTCCCCTCCTCCTTCCCCCACCCCCCTTCCCCTCCCCTTCCTCCCCCCCACCAGTTTTCCCGTTAGACAGACATCCCCGGGGGCCCTCCGCAGGGGGGCCCCGGCAGCCGGGGCGAGGGCCCGGGGGGGGCAGGGGGGCTTGGGGAGGGGGGCAGGGGCGGAGGGGCGGGCCCAGGGAGGGGGCCGGAACAAGCCGCACAGGACCAGTCCAGGAAAAATGAAGGAGGTGGCAAAGGTTGCACCGCCGCCGGTTCCCCCGGGGGCGGGGGGGAAATAGAAAAAAAAATACTTTGTATTTTCAAGGGAAAATGTTTGTTTTGCGTCACAATAGAAAACCTTCACACACAAACACAAAGTGGAGCGCCAGCGTTAGCCGCAGAGCCTGCCAGAGCAATTGGGGGATTTTAAGGGCCCTTGCAAAAAGGAAAATGGCAATAAAGGGTACCGGGGTTTGGGTTTGCAAGAGTAAAAAAATAAAGAGAGGAAATTTTTGGGGAAGGGTAAAGGGGAAAAAAGGAAAAGGAAGTGTAAGAAAATAAAAAGGTTTCGGGGGGGAAGGAAGGGAAATGGAAAAAGTTTTAAAAAAATTTGTGTTTAAAGGCGAAGTAGAAAACAAAATTGGGGCCCCCGTAGCCTTTGGAGAGTGGCCTTGCTCGCCAGGGGTGGGTTGTTCCCCGGGGGGGCCAGTTAAAAAAAGTATGACCCAACTGAGTCCCCCTCGGATGGAGTTGCAAATGTTTAAAATGTAAATTTAAAACTAAACATTACCCCAAGTGAAGGAAACATGCATTTTCCCCCCCTTTTTTTATCAGCGAGGGCTTCACAAACCGAGGACATTTTAGGGCCCCTGCAGTGATTTCCCGCCTTTTTCCGCAGCCCTGACGGCCATAAAAGGCAGGTAAGGTTATCGAAACAACACACAAAACTAACGACAAAGAAAAGAGGGTAAACGGATAGGATAGAGGAAAAGAAAGAAAAGCAAACCGGTTAGTCTTTTAGAGGAGAAGTATGAGACATTAGAAAGACAAATAAGGGAAATAGAGAAGAAGAAAGTAATAGATGGGGGGAAAGGGGACGACCAAAGGGGGGGGAAATTTTTACAGGGAGGGGCCGATACGAGAGGACGAAAAGGGGGATACAACCCCTTTTCCGGTAGCTGGTCCTGTGGGCAACCCCAGGGTTCTGTCCGGAAGGGGGCTAGTTGTTGAGGGAGGCTTGAAGAAGTGCCCTTTATCGGGGGAGATGGAAGATCAACAGACGTCGTCATCAGGTAAAAAGAAGACTCGGGGAGAGATTTTACCCCAAACCCTACAACCCCCGGGGCCGTCCGTTTTTATTAGGCCCAACGTTTTCAAGGAAAAGAAAATGAGCTTTTTTTTTGGAAACCCGATAGTCCGCACCGTATCTGTCTGTTTTGTCCGTTTGGTGCTAAGAACCCGCCCCGGGGGGTTTTTCGGGGGAGAAGCAAAAGGATCATAAAACAAAATAGCGGGACGTCTACCGCGTGTTTTTTATAGTTTGAAAAAACCTGGTTTTCCTAAAATTCCATTTAAAAAAAAATATAATTAATATTTTTACCCCAGCTGGAAAATTCCCCCAGAATCAGGGGGGAAATAAGCGGGAAACCGACCCTAAAAACCACGATTTCTGGAAAATTGGGGAATTTTGGGGAAATACGGAATTTTTGGGAACCCTTTCTATATTTTACATTGTAAATAACACAGTACCAAACAACATGATTCACATAAAAGAACGGGGGTCTACTTTTACAAACAGTTCTCCTTTCCGTTCAGAATTTATCCTTGGATTTCCTACCCGGGTTTCAGATTTTTTTTTGGCTTCCTGCCAAACCCCCCCAAAAAGTCCCCAACCATCAAGCCTTTTTCAGATCAGTTTTGTGATCGGGGGACCAGGTAAATCCTTTTCCACCTCCCCATCCCCCCCCTTCCCCCCTTTGAAAAACCCAAAAAGTGAGGTCGTCCCCCCTTTGAAGTTCTTGGCGAGGGGGGGATGGGGGCCCCAGAGTGGTCCTGCCACCCCCCGGGGCCCCCCAAACCCCCCACTTCTTCCCCTTCCGTGCATCTAAACAGGACTTTGGGGCGTTGGTCGGGGGATCCCCACCCGGGGCTCAGCAGCCCCGTTCGGGGCCTTTGGGGCTGCGGCCAAGGGGGCCTACGGGGGCCTGGGGGACATTGGAGAGAGGGGGGTGCCTGGTGGAGTTAGAGGAGAAATGGGGAAAAGCTGTGTGATGTGATTATTTTTTGGGTGGTGTGTGTGGTGCGTCGTATTAAGAGAGAGGGGGTGAAAAGTTTAACCGGGGGTCTTGGATAGAGGTTTAAATGACATTTGGGCCCAAAATTTTAAAAACTTTTCCTTTTTGGGGGTTCTAAATGATGTAGGGGTTTTTGTCATGTCTTCCATCTGAAAAGTATAGGATAAAAATATATTAAAAAATAAAAGTGAAAAAACACTAGTTTTTAAAAGGGGTTAGATTAAGTGAAAGGGGGAAGAAGGCAAGATTTAAAAGGTAAACGTTCCTAGGTGAGGTTAAGGGTGAGGCAAACCTTGCTGCGATTGGTCGTGTGGTCGTCATGGCAACCGTTCTGCACCATGCCCTCCTCCAGAACCTGATCATCCTCTGGTACTACAGCCCACACTGCAGGAGAGACAGGGAGAACTGGAGAGAAGGAGAGAGCGAAAGAGAGGGATTTGTCTATTTATATCATTTATATCGTTTTTCAATCCAAGTATTGACAAATTCTCATACTGTAGTTTACACACAGCCCATTCACTCTTGTGTTGTGTGTGGTTGGTGTGCTTAGCCTAAGTATTGATTGGGTGCATCAACCACACACACACAAAAACCATTTTATTTTTCTTAATTCACTAACACGCAAACATTATTTTTTTCACAGATGCCCACACACTCTTACACTCTCTCTCTCTCTCTCTCTCACACACACACACACACACACACACACACACACACACACACACACACACACACACTTCGATTTCTATATTTGCTTGTTAACCTCCACTCTACCCAAATTATATACATATATATATATACACACATTTATGATATGAGATCATTAGCAATTCGTTCCTGGAATATCCAGGGCTTGTACTCTTCTAGCTTAGGTCTTAAAACCACAAACCCAGATATTCTTAACAATACCAAAGTCTTGACATAATAATGATTCTAGAAACATAGTGTCATAGATACTCAATGTCCTCCAGGCTATAGGGAAATGTTACTTCCATCATTCAAACATAAAAACATAAAACAGAGCAGTAACTCGGGAGGATTGATCATATGGTATAAACGGGACCTTTCACTAAACCAGATCAAAAAGGGTAACACCCACATTTGGTTCAAACTCAACAAAAGCACAATCATTACTAATAATTATATATAGACACATATATACAGTGGGGAAAAAAAGTATTTAGTCAGCCACCAATTGTGCAAGTTCTCCCACTTAAAAAGATGAGAGAGGCCTGTAATTTTCATCATAGGTACACGTCAACTATGACAGACAAAATGAGATTTTTTTTTCCAGAAAATCACATTGTAGGATTTTTAATGAATTTATTTGCAAATCATGGTGGAAAATAAGTATTTGGTCAATAACAAAAGTTTCTCAATACTTTGTTATATACATTTTACATTTACATTTTAGTCATTTAGCAGACGCTCTTATCCAGAGCGACTTACAGTTAGTGAGTGCATACATTATTATTTTTTTTTGTTAAAAAAAATTCATACTGGCCCCCTGTGGGACACGAACCCACAACCCTGGCGCTGCAAACGCCATGCTCTACCAACTGAGCTACATCCCTGCCGGCCATTCCCTCCCATACCCTGGACCAATTGTGCGCCGCCCCATGGGTCTCCCGCTCGCGGCCGGCTACGACAGAGCCTGGATTTGAACCAGGATCTCTAGTGGCACAGCTAGCACTGCGATGCAGTGCCTTAGACCACTGCGCCACTCGGGAGACATATATACCCTTTGTTGGCAATGACACAGGTCAAACGTTTTCTGTAAGTCTTCACAAGGTTTTCACACACTGTTGCTGGTATTTTGGCCCATTCCTCCATGCAGATCTCCTCTAGAGCAGTGATGTTTTGGGGCTGTTGCTGGGCAACACGGACTTTCAACTCCCTCCAAAGATTTTCTATGGGGTTGAGATCTGGAGACTGGCTAGGCCACTCCAGGACCTTGAAATGCTTCTTACGAAGCCACTCCTTCGTTGCCCGGGCGGTGTGTTTGGGATCATTGTCATGCTGAAAGACCCAGCCACGTTTCATCTTCAATGCCCTTGCTGATGGAAGGAGGTTTTCACTCAAAATCTCACGATACATGGCCCCATTCATTCTTTCCTTTACACGGATCAGTCGTCCTGGTCCCTTTGCAGAAAAACAGCCCCAAAGCATGATGTTTCCACCCCCATGCTTCACAGTAGGTATGGTGTTCTTTGGATGCAACTCAGCATTCTTTGTCCTCCAAACACGACGAGTTGAGTTTTTTACCCAAAAGTTATATTTTGGTTTCATCTGACCATATGACATTCTCCCAATCCTCTTCTGGATCATCCAAATGCACTCTAGCAAACTTCAGACGGGCCTGGACATGTACTGGCTTAAGCAGGGGGACACGTCTGGCACTGCAGGATTTGAGTCCCTGGCGGCGTAGTGTTTTACTGATGCTAGGCTTTGTTACTTTGGTCCCAGCTCCCCGTGTGGTTCTGGGATTTTTGCTCACCGTTCTTGTGATCATTTTGACCCCACGGGGTGAGATCTTGCGTGGAGCCCCAGATCGAGGGAGATTATCAGTGGTCTTGTATGTCTTCCATTTCCTAATAATTGCTCCCACAGTTGATTTCTTCAAACCAAGCTGCTTACCTATTGCAGATTCAGTCTTCCCAGCCTGGTGCAGGTCTACAATTTTGTTTCTGGTGTCCTTTGACAGCTCTTTGGTCTTGGCCATAGTGGAGTTTGGAGTGTGACTGTTTGAGGTTGTGGACAGGTGTCTTTTATACTGATAACAAGTTCAAACAGGTGCCATTAATACAGGTAACGAGTGGAGGACAGAGGAGCCTCTTAAAGAAGAAGTTACAGGTCTGTGAGAGCCAGAAATCTTGCTTGTTTGTAGGTGACCAAATACTTATTTTCCACCATAATTTGCAAATAAATTCATAAAAAAATCCTACAATGTGATTTTCTGGATTTTTTTTTCTCAATTTGTCTGTCATAGTTGACGTGTACCTATGATACTCACTGGTCCTCAATGATACCTCGGTAAAAAAAATATACATATAGAAAAACCCTTGAATGAGTAGGTGTGTCCAAACTTTTGACTGGTAGTGTATGTAATCTCACACTTGGACCCCTCCACCATTAGTGCTTTCACTGTCAGACAAGACACCATTGTCTGACCACTGCCAAATTCATGTATTTTTGAAAACACTTCCCCACCCAAAGACCACACAAACGGATTAATCGAAATAAAAAGTACAGATGGGCACCTGGCAGCGCAACACACTTCAACACAGCGTTGCACTCCCCAGAAATTACAACCTGTATCAATGATTTCCTTTCGAGTACATTTAGCCCTAACCTACCGGTTTAAATTTTGTAGTAAAAAAAAAAGGTGATCTATTATAAAGCATCAACAAAAGCAAATTTATAATTCTAATTGGAAACCTCAAACAGAGAAATGGATTCATGCCGAATGTAAACAAGGTTTTGTTTATATATATTTATCCAATAGAAAACATTACCAACCACAAGATACAGACTTTCGGCAAGAATATTGTGAAATATTGAAAGAACACAAGCAAAACCTAAGATGTAAGAAATGGAAGCATTTTGAAAACACTCTGAAAGAGATTGAAGAATGATCTAGCCATTCAAAATGGCAACATTTGGAAAGATCATTTTGAAAGTCTCTATTCCATCAGAAGAACTTACTTTAACCCAAATAAATATCCAAGAAAAACTCAGCTCCCTAGAACACACAATTAAAAACAACCAGAACCCAACGGACTACCAAATTACACACGCTGAACTTTCAAAGAAAATACAAAGCCTTAAATCTGGAAAGGCTTGTGGCACTGACAGGAATTAAATGCTTAAACACAGTACTCCTGAGCTACAGGATGCCTTTTTTTTGTTTTACTATTCAACCTGGTTTTTGAGAGTGGCTGCTTCCCTGATACTTGGAACCAGGGGCTCATAACCACAAAATACAAAAAAGGTGATAAATTAGACCCTAATAATTATAGGGGAATGTGTTTGCTATTAACATGGGAAAACTGTTCTGCTGTATTCTAAATGACCGAACACAGACCTTACTTACAAAACATAACGCTCTCAGCAAAAAACTAATTGTCTTTCTACCCAAATACAGAACAACAGACCACATACACACATTACACATGCTAATAAACCAGCATGTTCATCAGAAAAACAGAGGGAAAGTATTTGCATGTTTTGTTGATTTTAAGAATGCTTTTGATTCCATTTGCCATGATGGATTATATTAACAAACCCTCCAAAGTGGTGTTGGGGGTAAAGTATACGACGTCATTAAATCTATTTACGCGAATAACTAATGTAGTATTAAACAATACAATAAAATAATAGTTTTTTGCACAAGAGAGGGGAGTGAGACAAGGGTGTTGTTTAAGTCCAACCCTGTTCAATGTCTACTAGAGGTCTTCACGGATCCACCTGTACCCAAATACCCAAGACCCAGAATTCTAAATAATGTCACGGGTCTGGGTCGGATCTGATATGATTGTCAGGGGTCTCGGGTATGTGTAATTTTAACTGTCTGGTCCGGAAGGGCCCGTACAGATCCGAACGCAAGAGAGAGAGAGAGCGAGAGAGACATTTTATAATTTATGCAACCGCTCTTGCTTTTCACGAGACTGGAGCATGGCGCATGTAGCTTGTTGTTGGCCAATCGTAAGTCATCAATAGGCTACAGTCATAGAACCTCGCTATGTGTGTGGCAAAAGTTAGGAGTTAAAGGAGAAGGATAGGCTACAACGACCAAGAGCCAACAGGTAGGCAGGCTGCTACTTAATGTTCTGAATGGAGTTGTTGTTATTTGTAACTGTAGAATGAGACAGTGCATGCACTGCAGCCTCAGTTAGCCTAGCTAGCTAACGTTTGCTAGCTTAACTAGCGTCTCCCGGTTTGATGCAAACCAAGACAGGTACTAAGTACGTAATCATATTTGATGATAAATAACCTAGCTATGACAGCTATTAGTCTACTATAGCGCGAGTCGGCTTGGTTGGTTGCGGTCTCTGATCTCTCCCTCCCTCCTCCCTGCTCCCCATGTTACTCACTCACAGTACAGCCCCTACCCCACCTGCTAGAGCGGCACCTCTCTCCCTCTTTATAATTTCCCGTTAATAAAGTAGCTTAAAAATGAATTTTCTGCTGCTTCCCTTTGTTAGATCGGACCGGGTCTGGATCTGACTAGGTCTATACAAAATGGGTGTAGTTGTCCTCGGGTCCGTTTGGAACGGCTCTCTATATTTAGAAAATTAATTTATGCATATCGGGTCCGAGTGGGAAAGACTCAGGTCCATTTCGGAACGAGTCCAACTTGTTGAACCTGTGAAGACCTCTAACGTCTACAGTGACAAACTCGCAGTGTTGTTGTACCGACCTGCAGCCCATGGACTCACTGTCAAGGCTGAGGTGTATGTGGTGTGGGAGTCAGGCGCAGGACACCGAAGCTAGTCCAACAAAGTTTACTGGTGAAAAATGCAAGGCAAAGATACAGTAAACGGCCTCAAGAAAACAGAGGCGAGCTATACGCAAACTATGCGTAACGCAATAAACAACGAAACAGAAATACAAAACACGCAGCACTACGGACAGGCGAAAAACAACACACAACCTAACCAATACAACACAGGCAACTTATAGAACACGTAATCAGACACAAACGGACACAGGTGTGACAGACAGACAAAAGCAATCACACATAGAACATTCAACGGTGGCATCTAGTACTCCGGGGACGACGAACGCCGAAGCCTGCCCGAACCAGGAGGAGGAGCAGTCTCGGCAGAATCCGTGACACTCACCCTCAAAGACGAAGAGGTCAGATTCCTGCTCTATGCAGATTACATTGTCCTGCTGTCACCAACAGAGCAAGGTCTACAGGAGTAACTAGACATTCTATGGGAATACAGCACCAACTGGGCAATCAACCTTCATTTTCATAAAACCAACGTTGTGATTTTCCAGAAAAAGGCCAGGTACAACTACCTGGGACGAAAAATCTGTGCCTCTGTTGGATTTGGTCTGGTAGTGAATGCACTAAAAGAAAAAGCCTGCAATGCTTTTTACTCCATAAAAAGACAATTCTCCAAAATAAATATTCCAATCCAAATCTGGTGCAAAATAATCACTAGTGTCATTTTACCATTTTACCAAAACCCAATAGAAAATCTGCATACAGAATTCTGCAGAATTAACCTAAATATCCAAAAGAAACGACCAAATAATTAGTGTAGAGCGGAACTCGGAAGATTCCCTCTAATTGTTCATATAAAGAAACAGACACTTACATTTTGGCACCAATTCAAATTAAGCCCCAAAACATCCCTCCAATTCAAAGCACAGGAAACCCAAGAGCTGAACCCTATGTCAGCTGTTAAAAACACTAAGCAACCCTATTATCCAAACACACACGGAAATCAATCAGTCAGATTGTTACAGAAATTAAAACCTATTTGAAAAATTGGGAAAATTAAACAAAAACACAGAATAAACTAAATTGCTATTTGGCCCTAAAAAGATGATAGAGATAGTCCGAATATCTCTACGCTTTCAGAGATACAAAACAGAGGCAGATCCTGACTAAATACAAGCTCAGCCACCACCAATTGGCTATAGAAAAAGGGAGACAGGGCCAGGGCGATAGAGGAGAGGTGGAGAGAGGGATGACATAGAAGAGGCTGGGGTAGGCTGAAGGAATGGACAGAGACAGATTGTTCAAGGTACTCTGTAACATCGTGACGCAGACACATGTGTGTACGTGCGCACCCACACAACCTACAGAATTAAAACAGACAGCCAGACGATACTGTGAACACTGGCTCACTTTCAGGCGACACACACAGCCTGATACACATACAGATACACACTCAGCCAAGTCAGGCTCTGAGGACCAGTGAGTGTGTGAGAGGAGTGAGAAGCCCACAGAAAGGACACGGCTTCAAAGAGGCGTCATTAAACCTAGTGAAGTGTGAGTGAGTGAGTGAGAGAGAGAGAGCCAATGAAGTGAAGGTTTGTACCAGTGAAGTGTGTGCGCCCACGTGAAGGGCTTTCTAATGCCTCGCCACATGTGTTACCTCATTAATGCCAAGGACCCGGCAGTTTGCCCGCCAACCTCCTCTCCTCTCCCCTCTTCACTTCTCCTCTCATCCTTCTCATCCGCCTTCCCCTAACGAGACCCCCACGACCAGCACTGATAGATGTAGTGGTGGTACGGGACGCTTACAGTGGGGCTGTGGGGGGCTAATTGGTATCTATAAAGCAAGTATGTGTGTGTACTGTATGACTGAGGAGAGTAGTGACTACTGGATATAGGAATAGCAGCAGAGTAAATATACAGTATCTTGTCTTTGACCTATATGGCGCCTCATTACTCCATCATGACACTAGAACCATCGGGACCAAATAGGATTTACACTAATGTCAACACATTCACCTGGGCCCGTATTCAGAGTAGGAGTGCTGATCTAGGATCAGGTTTGCCTTTTAGATCATAATGAATAAGACTCAGGGGGGACCTGATCCTAGGTCAGCACTCCTACACTTTATGAGTAACAGTAACAGAGTAGAGAATTGTCTCTGTTGGTGAATATTATATTATATGCATTGTGGATAAGCAAGGGTCAGCCAGATGTAGATATCTTGTTAAATTAGGGCCCTGTGTTTTGCACAATTATGTAACATGCCTGGATTTTAACCTTCATTTCAACTTTGATTAACTTTTTAGGTCAGATGGTCCAACACCATCCTCAGACAATTGCTTTCATTTTTGGTGTAATTCTAATTTCTGGATAAGGCTTAAAATACAGAATACAATCTCATGTCACATGACTGCTCAAAACACAGGACCCTACAATTATGTTCTGAAGAGATGTCTACTGGGCTAAACATTTGATCCACTATGACCATTTTTCAAATGAAGTCAAAGTACAGAATGTTAACAACCAAATAATATGGCTATCCATCTTCACAGTAGAAAACCACCAAAAAGGGGAATGAGCAAACACCTGACCCTCATCTCCCCTTTACCCTGCAGTATACTGTCACGATCGTCGAACACAGTGGACCAATGCGCAGCGTGATAAGTGAACATACTTTTATTTAGATTCACCACACGAACAAAACAACAAAACGATAACGTGAAGTCCTTGGTTACAATACAAAACCAACACGGAACAAGATCCCACCATACACTGTGCCAAACAGGCTCCCTAAGTATGGTTCCCAATCAGAGACAACAAGCAACAGCTGATTCTCGTTGCCTCTGATTGAGAACCACCCCGGCCAACATAGATACACATGAACTAGATCCTAACATAGAAACACAAACACATAGAATCTACACACCCTGGCTCAACATATAAGAGTCCCAAAGCCAGGGCGTGACAGTACCCCCCCCCAAAGGCGCGGACTGCGACCGCGCCAAACATAAACCGAACAGGGGAGGGCCGGGTGGGCATTCCTCCTCGGAGGCGGATCCGGCTCCGGGCGTGACCACCACCCTCTAATAACCCCCCCGTAGTGCCCCTGGTCTGGTCCCGCTGGCTGGAGCTGGACTGGACATTGGTGGAGCGGATTGCTTAGGCTCCGGTGTGGAGCAGCTGACCGGTACCTGACCAGGCACCGGTGAACCGGGCACGGGCTGTGCCGGACTGACGACATGCACCCCTGGCTTGGTGCGGGGAGCAGGAACGGGCCGGACCGGGCTGACGATGCGCACCACAGGCTTGGTGCGGGGAGCAGGAATGGACCGGACCGGGCTGACAACGCGCACCCCCTGGCTTGGTGCGGGGAGCAGGAACGGGCCGGACCGGGCTGAGGATGCGCACCACAGGCTTGGTGCGGGGAGCAAGAATGGGCCGGACCGGGCTGACGACGCGCACCCCTGGCTTGGTGCGGGGAGCAGGAATGGCCGGACCGGGCTGGCGACGCGCACCATAGGCTTGGTGCGGGGAGCAGGAACAGGCCGGGCCGGGATGGGCGACGCGCACCATAGGCTTGGTGCGGGGAGCAGGAACAGGCCGGGCCGGGCTGGCGACGCGCACCATAGGCTTTGTGCGGGGAGCAGGAACAGGCCGGGCCGGGCTGGCGACGCGCACCATTGGCTTGGTGCGGGGAGCAGGAACAGGCCGGGCCGGGCTGGCGACGCGCACCATTGGCTTGGTGCGAGGGGCAGGAACAGGCCGGGTCGGGCTGGCGACGCGCACCATAGGCTTGGTGCGAGGGGCAGGAACAGGCCGGACCGGGCTGGCGACGCGCATCACAGGCTTGGTGCGAGGGACAGGAACAGGCCGGACCGCACTGGGAACACACACCACTGGCCTTATACGGGGATCAGGAACGGGCCGGACCGGACTGGCAACACACTTCAGTACCTCTCGCCGTGCCTCTACACTTTCCCTCCCTCTAATCACCAATGACTCCCGTAACCCGGTGGCCTTCTCTCCTCGTCCACAAACTCGCCCCTTATCTGCCTCCAGCAGCCCCGTCGTCCATGCCATGTGCCCCCCCCTAAAAATTTATTGGGGTTGCCTCTCGCCTGTCCGACGACGACACTGTTGGCGCCGTACCTCCTCTCTCGCCAAGGCTTTAACCTTTGCCCATGGTCCTCTGCCCTCGAACATGTCCTCCCAGGACCACCATTGGCCCACCTGGGCCATCGCCAACTTCTCCATCTCCTTACCCGGCGTTAGCTCCGAAACACGCTGCTTGGTCCAGTATTGGTGGGATCTTGTTCCGTGTTGGTTTTGTATTGTAACCAAGGACTTCACGTTATCGTTTTGTTGTTTTGTTCGTGTGGTGAATCTAAATAAAAGTATGTTCACTTATCACGCTGCGCATTGGTCCACTGTGTTCGTTGATCGTGACAGAAGATCCCACCAAAACTGGACCAAGCAGCGTGTCCAGGAGCCAACGCCAGAGGTAACTCTAGCGAATATCCACCTCGACTGGGTCAAGCAGCGTGTCCAGGAGCCAACGCCAGAGGTAACTCTAGCGGATATCCACCTCGACTGGGTCAAGCAGTGTGAGGAGGAGAGAGGTTGGACCTGGGAGCAGAGGATGGAGAGTCTGGCGAGAGCCATGGAGGCCATATCCACGGGGGAGAGACAAGCCCAATAAATGTTAAGGGGGGGGGCTCACACTGTGGACGACGGGGCTGCTGGAGGCAGATAAGGGGCGAGTTAGTGGACGAGGAGTGAAGGCCACCGGGTTACGGGAGCCATTGGCGAGTAGAGGGAAGGAAAATGTAGAGGCACGGCGAGAGGTACTGAGGTGTGTTGCCAGTCCGGTCCGGCCCGTTCCTGATCCCCGGGTAAGGCCAGTGGTGTGTGTTCCCAGTGCGGTCCGGCCTGTTCCTGTCCCTCGCACCAAGCCTGTGATGCGCGTCGCCAGCCCGGTCCGGCCTGTTCCTGCCTCTCGCACCAAGCCAATGGTGCGCGTCGCCAGCCCGGCCCGGCCTGTTCCTGCTCCCCGCACCAAGCCAATGGTGCGCGTCGCCAGCCCGGCCCGGCCTGTTCCTGCTCCCCGCACAAAGCCTGGGGTGCGCGTCGTCAGCCTGGTCCGGCCCGTTCCTGCTCCCCGCACCAAGCCTGTGGTGCGCATCGTCAGCCCGGTTCGGCCCGTCCCTGCTCCCCGCACCAAGCCTGTGGTGCGCATCGTCAGTCCGGCACAGCCCGTGCCTGGGTCACCGGTGCCTGGTCAGGTACCGGTCAGCTGCTCCACATCGGAGCCTAAGCAATCCGCTCCACCGATGTCCAGTCCAGCTCCAGCCAGCGGGGCCAGACCGGACCAGGGGCGCTACGGGGGAATTGTTGGAGGGTGGTGGTCAAGCCCGGAGCCGGAACCGCCTCCGAGGAGGAATGCCCACCCGGCCCTCCCCTGTTCGGTTTATGTTTGGCGCGGTCACAGTCCGCGCCTTTGGGGGGGGGGGGGGGTACTGTCACGCCCTGGCTCTGGGACTCTGTTATGTTGAGCCAGGGTGTGTAGTTTCTATGTATTTGTGTTCTAGGTTCGTTATCTAGCTCATGTGTTTCTATGTTGGCCGGGGTGGTTCTCAATCAGAGGCAACGAGTGTCAGCTGTTGCTTGTTGTCTCTGATTGGGAACCATACTTAGGCAACCTGTTTTCCACAGTGTTTTGTGGGATCTTGTTCCGTGTAAGGTTTGTGTCTGTTACCTAGGACTTCACGTATCGTTTTGTTGTTTTGTTTCGTGTGGTGAATCAAATTAAAAGTATGTTCACTCATCACGCTGCGCATTGGTCCACTTCCTCCAACGATCGTGACATATACCATGTCCTCACCTTGGCCCTGTCGGGAGCCCCTTCCTGGGGTAGGCCGCAGGCTGAGGGGGCTCTGGGGGGTCCATCTGGGGTGTGGGCACGGGGTGTGGGACAGCGGGTGTCCCCCCCAGGCTCCAGGCCAGCCAGGCGAAGCTGGGAACAGCTACAGTGGCACGGCTCCACCTTCCTCCCTGAGATCAGGTAGGTCTTCAATCCTGAAGGAGCCAGAACACAGAGATAGATGTCAGTGACAGAGACTCTTATCAACACACATACTGTAAAACGTAGAAGAAAAGTGCCTTTTATGTGAAGAAAATGTGGCTTCATTTACATTTTATTTTCTCAACTTACAGATCTAAGCGACAATAAGGCCTTCAGAGTTTCTGTAACTACACAGGGGCGCAACTTTCACTGGGGACGGGGTCATGACCCTCTAATATGCTTCTCTGCTAAATTCTGAGTAAAAGATTGAAAGGAATGTGAGTCTTATTCAGTACATTTAGTCATTGCTTGCTTTTCTAAAGTTTACCAACCATGCCAGCAGCCATGTCAGCTAAGATAGTTAGACAAGCTAGCTACTCTCACTTGATTGGTAGCTAGTAATGAGGATGGGAGATTTGGAACCTACTGTATCTGGGCTAGCTAAAGCCAACTTCATTAAATTGTAGTATTACAGAGATTTTTTTTTACATTTAACCAAAAAATTAAATGGCTGGCTTTAGTTGACTGATGTAGCTGGCAAGGTAACTGCGGTCTGACTTAACAGAAGAAAAATAATTAAACTGGTGTTTATTCCCAGTGCTGAGCTAGTAGGATAATCTCTACAAGCAGACTATGACCAACCCCATGTACACACAAACAGCATGGGCAGTTTGAAACCCACAGAAGGGTCACATCACATAAACCTGGTATACAGTTACGATCTGGTCGTTAGGTAGTTTTGCGACGGAAAACAAAAAATGAGCATTTCTTATTGGACAAGCTTAGGTAGTTAATGTCTGTTTCAGTCTGTTTTCTTCTGTTTGGTGCCTAATGAACAGAACCCAGTTGAACTCCCCTGGCCTCATGATTCTCTCTTGCTCTCCAAGCTTGGTTGAAACCAGCTGAGGCTGCCACAAGTATTTGCACATAACACTGCATGGTGATTGAGAGAGGAAACAACAGCGACCACAGTGTAGGGTATCCAATCAAAGCTCATTATTTGACCAATGGGTAAATAATATGTTAATTATGTAGATAATCCTCTAAGAAAACCAATGGTCCAAACCTCATGTCTCTATCAAAATCCGTTCAAATTTTATTTGAGTTTTTACCTTTGTAGGACGGTCAAAATTAGGGCGACTAAATCAATGGAGGCCAGAGAAAAAAAGTGGTCATAAATCAGGAAAATAGTTTCAGGTCAGCTAGGCTGGATGCTGTGCGAGTTTTAAGGCTACCGGACCGGCTTACCATTGAACTTGTCATCTTTCTTCTCAAATCCAGAGGACATAAAACAATATAGAGGTCAGATAGATATTGATTTTGAGACATAACATATACACTGAACAAAAATATAAACACAACATGTAAAGTGTTGGTCCCATGTTTCATGAGCTGAAATAAAAGATCCCATACATTTTCCATATGCACAAAAAGCTTATTTCTCTCAAATTGTGCACAAATTTGTTTACATCTCTGTTAGTGAGCATTTCTCATTTGCCAAGATAATTCACCTGACAGGTGTGGCATATCAAGATGCTGATCTTGTGCTGGTAACAATAAAAGGCCACTCTAAAATGTGCAGTCATCCGTCCAGAGTCTTGACCTGACTGCAGTTCGACATCGTAACAGACTTCAGTGGGCAAATGCTCACCTTCGATGGCCACTGGCATGCTGGAGAAGTGTGCTCTTCACAGATTAATCCTGGTTTCAACTGTATTGGGTAGATGGCAGACAGCGTTTATGGTGTCTTGTGGGCGAGTGGTTTGCTGATGTAAATGTTGTGAACAGAGTGCCCCATGGTGGCGGTGGTATGGGCATAAGCTACGGACAACAAACACAATTGCATTTTATCGATGGCAATTTGAATGCACAGAGATACCGTGACGAGATCCTGAGGCCCATTGTCATGCCATTCATCCACCACCATCACCTCATGTTTCAGCATGATAATGCACGGCCCCATGTCGTAAGGATCTGTACACAATTCCTGGAAGCTGAAAATGTCCCAGTTCTTCCATGCATAGTCACCAGACACGTCACCCATTGAGCATGTTTGGGATGCTATGGATCGACGTGTACGACAGCGTGTTCCAGTTCCCGCCAATATCCAGCAACTTCGCACAGCCATTGAAGAGGAGTGGAACAACATTCCACAGGCCACAATCAACAGCCTGCTCAACCTTATGCGAAGAAGATGTGTCGTGCTGCATGAGGCAAATGGTGGTCACACCAGATACTGATTGGTTTTCTGATCCACGCCCCTACTTTTTTTTAAGGTACCTGTGTCCAACAGATGCATATCTCTATTCCCAGTCATGTGAAATCCATAGATTAACGCCAAATTAATTTATTTCAATTGACTGATTTCCTTATATGAACTGTAACTCAGTAAAATCTTTGAAATTGTTGTATGTTGCGTTTATATTTGAGTTCAGTGTAGTATTTTAATATACGCTGTTCATATTACTGTGAAGTTCCTGTACTTTCTCGAAGACTTCTCACAAAAACAAGCGCATCTCTGTGAAATGTCAACGGAGCACTGTCGAATCCTTTTACATTTAATTAAACTCGTATCATGCAAATTTTGCTATCTACAACCAGCGGAAACAACTCGGAAGACGACCACAAAATGTAAAATCCTCAAAAGTTTAGGTGATAACGCTGCACCGCTCAGAGCGACAGAGCTCTGTGCTTATTATCAGATGTATTAGGTTACGAAATCGGACTTTTTGGATATAATGTTAATGATATGCTCGAGAAAGACCCCACTGAACGATTCAGAACATGAAGAGTCCCATTTGTCTTGGTAAAATGCATTTTATAACATAAGGAAGTGAAACGTCATCACCAAAGCGGGTTTCCACCCACTCTGGGCAGAGTAGGCTAACTGATATACAGAGATAACAAACAATGTATTAGTGAGGTGTGTGTGTGTGCGTGTGATCCAGCCGATGTCAGGCTATTTAAACACACCACCAATTTGAAAGGGAAATGAACAGCCTGTACCTCAAGGAAGTCTTTCCCCTGATTGAAATTATAATGTTTGGTTGATTAGAGCAACAGTGTTGATTTGAAACACATTCAATGTCTTTGCCATGGTGATCATTCCATAAAAATACAATTACTATTGAATATGATGTTATCAAAACAGAAAATTGCAACTTTAATAGAATTATAAATGTTAGAATGTTTGGTTGATAGACACCAATGTTGATTTGGAACTCACTTTTGGTGGCAACAACCGCAAGACTAGATATGCAACTTGCTTCTGCTATCTAAAGTTGGCCATTTTTAAACAATCAGCTTCTAAACCCAGCGATTTGATCAGTCTGGACCATTAATAGCACAGGGACATCAGCATCTTCCTGCAAGACCATCAGATTCTATCGTCATCAATCTTAAGAGCCAAATACTGTGTTCTTACCAGGACTTCGTTCATTACTTATTTTTGTGTATTTCTCACATTCAATGTTTAGAATGCATTAAGGTACATCTAGAACTGGTTGTATGTCTGAATTTAGGTCAGGCCCTCCCGAGTTTCTCAGAGATCTTGCATTGTGAGTGGTACTGGAAGTCCCTACACATGGCCAGCTTCGCTGCCACCACCAGCACCTGCCTGAACATGAGAAACACTGTCTGTTCCACCAGCACATGGAGTACAGGTGCAATGTGGAGTTGAGAGGAGGGCTGTGGAGGTCATTACATTTTGTCAGCCAGTGATTGTCAAGCAAATACAGTGCCTTCGGAAAGTATTCAGACCCCTTGACTTTTTCCACATTTTGTTAGGTTACAACCTTATTCTAAAATTTATTAAATTGTTTGTCTACACACATTACCCCATAATGACAAAGCAAAAACAGGTTTTTTGAAATGTATGCTAATTTATAAAAAACTGAAATATGACATTTACATAAGTATTCAGACCCTTTACTCAGTACTTTGTTGAAGCAGCTTTGGCAGCAATTACAGCCTCGATTCTTCTTGGGTATGACACTACAAGCTTGGCACACCTGTATTTGGGGAGTTTCTCCCATTCTTCTCTGCAGATCCTCTCAAGCTCTGTCAGGTTGGATGGGGAGCATCGCTGCACAGCCATTTTCAGGTCTCTCCAGAGATGTTCGATCGGGTTCAAGTCCAGGCTCTGGCTGGGCCACTCAAGGACATTCAGAGACTTGTCCCGAAGCCACTCCTGCGTTGTCTTGGCTGTGTGCTTAGGGTCGTTGTTGTGTTGGAAGGTGAACCTTCTCCCCAGTCTGAGGTCCTGAGTGCTCTGGAGCAGGTTTTCATCAAGAATCTCTCTGTACTTTGCTCCGTTCATCTTTCCCTCAATCCTGACTAGTCTCCCAGTCCCTGCCACTGGAAAACATCCCCACAGCATGACGCTGCCACCACCATGCTTCACCTCCATACGTGACGCTTAGCATTCAGGCCAAAGAGTTCAATCGGTTTCATCAGACCAGAGAATCTTGTTTCTCATGTTCTGAGAGTCTTTGGGTGCCTTTTGGCAAACTCCAAGCGGGCTGTCATGTGCCTTTTACTGAGGAGTGGCTTCCGTCTGGCCACTCTACCATAAAGGCCTGATTGGTGGAGTGCTGCAGAGATGGTTGTCCTTCTGGAAGGTTCTCCCATCTCCACAGAGGAACTCTAGAGCTCTGTCAGAGTGACCATCGGGTTCTTGGTCACCTCCCTGACCAAGGCCCTTCTCCCCCGATTGTTCAGTTTAGACAGGTGGCTAGCTCTAGGAAGAGTCTTGGTGGTTCCAAACTTCTTCCATTTAAGAATGATGGAGGCCACTGTGTTTTTGGGGACCTTCAATGCTGCAGACATTTTTTGGTACCCTTCCCCAGATCTGTGCCTCGACACAATCCTGTCTCGGAGCTCTATGGACAATTCCTTCGACCTCATGGCTTGGTTTTTGCTCTGACATGCACTGTCAACTGTGAGACCTTATATAGACAGGTGTGTGTCTTTCCAAATCATGTCTAATCAATTGAATTTACCACAGGTGGACTCCAATCAAGTTGTAAAAACATCTCAAGGATGATCAATAGAAACAGGAGGCACCTGAGCGCAATTTCGAGTCTCATAGCGAAGGGTCTGAATACTTATGTAATTAAGGTAACTGTTTTTTATTTGCTAAAATTTCTAAAAACCTGTTTTCACTTTGTCATTATGGGGTATTGTGTTTAGATTGCTAAGGACCTTTTTTTATTTAATCCATTTTAGAATAATGCTGTAACGTAACAAAATGTGGAAAAAGTCAAGGGGTCTGAATATTTTCCGAAGGCACTGTAACTGCCGGTCTCACAAGTAATTGACCGTTAATTAACATAAAACACATTTAGCACCTCCACTGATGCAGACCTTTGGAACATCTACATTTGAAAAAGTTGAATAAATCCATATAATATAGCCTACACGGTCACAATAAATCCATTATTTATTTTAGACGGGTCTAGAGAAACATGAATTAAGAAAATGTAGTCTATTTCAGAAGAACAGAATAGCATACTCTGAGTTGTCCTTATGTTAGGCCATGATCTGACTATGCCATATGGCTGTGGGCTACACTAGTTCATTTAGCAGACAAGATTTGCTTAGAATTCCGTGGCATTATTTTATATTATTTTATAGTATGAAGACTACAATTGAACATAGCTTTCAATTGAACGGCTATCTACCTCTCTGTCAACCGGACGGGACCTCCTAGTGTTGACACTGAGCCCCGCCGATCCAACACGACTGGTCTGCCGACGAAATAGTCTGATCTGGTTTCAACAGGCTTCCCGTTGCGACGACCACGAAGATCCATCTGCCAGCCCCGGCCCGCTAGCACACGCAAACTACAACTGTGCTCCCTGCTAGCTGTGCTGAAGCACCAATTTGAACTGCTCTCGGACTCACATATTGCTGTTCACTGGACCTTATGATCACTCAGCTGCACAGCTGATGCCTGCTGGACTGTTCCTTTACACGGTACCCTGTCCTGTTTATTCTGTTTAGCCTTAGCCCAAACGTTATCGCTATTTCCAGTTGTTGTCTTAGCTCTCTCTAATAACACCTGTGACTGCTTTATGCCTCTCTCCCATGTCAATTATGCCTTGCCTATTGCTGTTTGGGTTAGTTCTTATTATACAATTTCACTGTAGAACCCCTAGTCCCTCTCAAACTGCCTCAAATAGTTCCTTTGTTCCACCCCCCATACACGCCGAGACCGGCTCAATCGGTGCCTCCAGTGACGCTATCTCTTTCATTGTTACCCAACGCTTAGGGTTACCTGAACTGTACTCATATCCTTCCATATCCTTTTCTGTACATAATGCCCTGAATCTTTTCTACAACGCCCGGAGAACTGCCCCCTTTATTCTATGCACCCAACGCACTAGAAGACCAGTTCTTAAAGCCTTTAGTCGTATCCTTATTCTAGTCCTCCTCTGTTCCTCTGGTGATGTAGAGGCTAACCCAGGCCCTGCAGCCCCCAGTATCACTCCTACTCCCCAGGAGCTATCATTTGTTGACTTCTGTAACCGTAAAAGTCTTGGTTTTCTGCACGTAAATATCAGAAGCCTCCTTGCTAAGTTTGAGTTATTCACTGCGTTAGCACACTCCGCCAACCCTGATGTTCTAGCAGTGTCTGAATCCTGGCTTAGGAAGGCCACCAAAAATTCTGACATTTCCATCCCCAACTATAACATTTTCCGTCTAGATAGAACTGCCAAAGGGGGTGGAGTTGCAATCTACTGTAGAGATAGCCTGCAGAGCTCTATCATACTATCCAGGTCTGTGCCCAAACAGTTTGAGCTTCTACTTCTAAAAAATCCACCTTTCCAGAAATAAATCTCTCACTGTTGCCGCTTGCTACAGACCCCCCTCAGCCCCCAGCTGTGCCCTGGATACCATATGTGAATTGATTGCCCCCCATTTATCCTCAGAGTTCGTACTGCTTGGTGACCTAAATTGGGATATGCTTAACACCCCGGCCATCCTACAATCCAAACTAGATGCCCTCAATCTCACACAAATTATCAACGAACCTACCAGGTACAACCCTAAATCCGTAAACATGGGTACCCACATAGATATCATCCTGACTAACTTACCCTCTAAATACACCTCCGCTGTCTTCAACCAGGATCTCAGCGATCACTGCCTTATTGGCCTGCGTCCGTAACGGGTCCGCGGTCAAACGACCACCCCTCATCACTGTCAAACGCTCCCTAAAACACTTCAGCGAGCAGGCCTTCCTAATTGACCTGGCCCAGGTATCCTGGATGGATATAGATCTCATTCCGTCAGTAGAGGATGCCTGGTTGTTCTTTAAAAGTAATTTCCTCTCAATCTTAAATAAACATGCCCCATTCAAAAAATCCAGAACTAAGAACAGATATAGCCCCTGGTTCTCCTCAGACTTGACTGCCCTTGACCAGCACAAAAACATCCTGTGGCGTACTGCATTAGCATCAAATAGCCCCCGCGATATGCAACTTTTCAGGGAAGTTAGGAACCAATATACACAAGCAGTTAGGAAAGCAAAGGCTAACTTTTTCAAACAGAAATTTGCATCCTGTAGCACTAACTCCAAAACGTTTTGGGACACTGTAAAGTCCATGGAAAATAAGAGCACTTCCTCCCAGCTGCCCACTGCACTGAGGCTAGGAAACACTATCACCACCGATAAATCTACAATAATCGAGAATTTCAACAAGCATTTTGCTACGGCTGGCCATGCTTTCCACCTGGCTACCACTACCCTGGCCACCAGCTCTGCACCCTCCGCTGCAACTTGCCCATGCCCCCCCCGCTTCTCCTTCACACAAATCCAGACAGCTGATGTTCTGAAAGAGCTGCAAAATCTGGACCCCTACAAATCATCTGGGCTAGACAATCTGGACCCTTTCTTTCTAAAACTAGCCGCCGAAATTGTCGCAACCCCTATTACTAGCCTGTTCAACCTCTCTTTCGTAACGTCTGAAATCCCCAGAGATTGGAAAGCTGCCGCGGTCATCCCCCTCTTCAAAGGGGGTGACACTCTAGATCCAAACTGTTACAGACCCATATCCATCCTGCCCTGCCTTTCAAAAGTTTTTGAAAGCCAAGTCAACAAACAGATCACCGACCATTTCGAATCCCACCGTACCTTCTCCGCTATGCAATCCGGTTTCCGAGCTGGTCATGGGTGCACTTCAGCCACGCTCAAGGTCCTAAACGATATTATAACCGCGATCGATAATAGACAGTACTGTGCAGCCGTTTTCATTGACCTGGCCAAGGCTTTCGACTCTGTCAACCACCGCATTCTTATTGGCAGACTAAATAGCCTTGGTTTCTCAAATGACTGCCTCGCCTGGTTCACCAACTACTTCTCAGATAGAGTTCAATGTGTCAAATCGGAGGGCCTGTTGTCTGGACCTATGGCAGTCTCTATGGGGGTGCCACAGGGTTCAATTCTTGGGCCGACTCTTTTCTCTGTGTATATCAATGACGTCGCTCTTGCTGCTGGTGACTCTCAGATCCACCTCTACGCAGACGACACCATTTTGTATACATCTGGCCCTTCATTGGACACTGTGTTAACAAACCTCCAAACGAGCTTCAATGCCATACAACACTCCTTCAGTAGCCTC